AAAAAAAAAAAAAAAAACCACAGTTATCTCGAGAAGCTAAGACGGGCTTTAGGTTTAATGGTAAAAGAGGCTTCACGCCCTACACAACAGTGGCAGGGAGATCATGTCAAGGCTTATGTGGCGCATCGAGACCTGGCGTTTTGTGGAAATAGTCTGTCAACAGCTTGATAATATCCACACCAAGTCCCTCCGTGGTGACACGGCCGTCAGTTTAGGATCATGAGTTCTTCTCGTACGCTTCATACCAGCCTCAAGGGTTATGGAGAATAAGCATATCCATCGTAATGGGACTGCGGTCTAGAACCTGCCATGCAACAGCGTGGGCAGCATTAATCGGCAGATTCCCCCTACAGCATGTTTAGGTTGCCTGTGGCGTAGGAGAAAGTTTCAGCTGTAATTGCGATGGCGGCGGTCGTGACGTTGATGCATCTATCATGTTATAACCATTCTCGAGGTTAATTATTCTGTTTGAGAAAAAGAAAATACAATTTAGACCAAACATGATTTATCTATGCGTCTAACTTCTGCTTCTGGGATCTAGATCTGGATCTTTTTGGTAAAGAGATGTCAAGTCTCCTAAAACCAGCGGAGGTTGCACGTCACTCCCAGCCGTTAACAGGACTGTCATTAGTTACATAACCAACTTAAGTTGGGTGTCAATCGATAGTGCCGAAACCAAGTGGGGTGCCCACTACAATCTGGAATTAGCGGCTTTGGCAACCTGGTGCCTGGCCAGAACACACCGCAGTCTCCCGAAGGGTTGTGGCGCGCAAAGGATAGTAAATTGATACAGTAGAGGTAGCGTCACCAATAGACGATTTTGAGAGCCGTGCATGGCAAGATTTGATCTCTGCTCAGCTGGATAGCAAGATACCGCCCTTTGTACAAAATGATATCGTTGAAATGTTCCCTAACTTCTAAATATAAATGCTTGTCTGCGTAGCAAATGCTCATGCGTTATCCCGTGGTATCTACATAAAAGTAATCAAGAGATTCAAAGGAAATTTAAATTCTCAAACGTGAAAAGAACAAGAATAAGACTCGCCGTTGGACCGCAAAGCCGGGTTTTGCCTGCACTGACCATGTTGTGCGTGCTAGTCGTGTGTGGCGTAAAGACTATTGATTTTCACGGGAAGTTCCTTACCAATCGACATACTTTCAATACACTATCACGACAAGTGACTTGACACTTGAAGCAGTCTGTAGCTGAACACAATACCCTCACTCTTCCTCCTTGCCACCAACTGGACGTCTCCGCATGTCGTGATGCGAAGAGGACGGTACTAGATCTAGAACTTGCCTCACCGGAAAATGGCTTGCTATTGACCACCATGGAGTCTGGTGACTATCGTAGCATGCGGCTGAAATGGACTGATTCTTTCCTCCCTATGCTGCGAGGGGCAAATGCAGCTTCCAGGCGCGGAGTGCCCAACAGTAGCAAGGCGAGCCTAAACAGTTATTTAAACCCTCTCCTCTCTTCACATCTCAAGCTTTCTTCTTCAAGCACTTTTCAGACTTCTCAGATATTTATCCTTAGATTTTCAAGAAATAATTCTTCGGCCATCGAGGTTTTGAACAGCCATGAAGTATTCTACAGTCCTCAGCCTAGCGGCCGTCTTTACTGGCTACGTCGTGGCTGAAACCCCCTCTACTTGCAGCACTACTGGGGATAACACTCCTATCAAATCTGGCTGCTGTCCTAGAGATCCCTTGAAACGTCTCAGACGCTCTGCTAGGGCTATATTCGCTCGCACGGATAGCCCAACTTGTCCAACTCCCGAGTTCTATGGCGATTCTTGCTGTACTCATGAATTTGCCAAGCCTACTCTCGATAAAGGCACTTTCAACCTTCAGTGCGGAGCCAATGGAGTGGCAGATATTGTCAATAACGCTGTCAAGGTCGAAATCGTGGGCTGCGACTCCGCGGATGATCTCACGAAGGATACTTGCATTCTCAAGATTTCCTCCACTCCAGTTGGCACCATCAGTGACACTCACCTTGAGATCTCGACTTCTGCCTGGACCAGCGCCAAGTATCCAACAAAAGACCCCGCCTCGTGGTCATATAATTCTTACTGCGTCAAGACCACCGGTGTGTGTCAAGTGCCGTTCAACAAGATCGGAGACGGCGCTTCAGCCCTCTGTGACAAGAAATTGAACATTGCCTACCATACCTCTACCAGCGACGGCACCACGTCAAAGACTTGTACCGGCGATGGAACCCTTATTCCTGGCCAGCCGGGCAATCGTTGGTGGGAGTATCTCACTTTGGACTTTACTTGTCCCAAAGCCTGCGATGGCTGGTGTTGTTGCAAGAAGCCGGTGACGCCTCCTCCACCTTCAACCAAAGTCTGCGATATCGGCACTGCATTCGGCCATGGCGATGGAGCCAAGAATCTGAACGGCAAACCTGTTGGTCCAGCTGTGTGCAACAATGCCAACCGCTGGGGTTGGTATTTCGCTACCAGCAAGACTTCATTAAGTGGAAAACTTATCGTTGGTGCCGGTGGCAATGACCTTACGAAGGGAACCACTGTCGGAACTTGGTCAGCTACAATCGCGGGGTCTGATATCACGTTCAGTTATGACTTGTACGACGACACTACTGACGGACGCTTTGACCTTTCTTCGGTACATGTATACGCTTCGTGCACTGCACCTACAACATGTGCCCCTGGCCAATTCACGTTCAAGGATGACAGTCTGACGGGCAGTTCGGACACTTCATACACCAAGAAGTTCTCAGTTGATGGTGATACCTGCTCTACCTACTACCTCATCTTCCACGCGTCAGTTAACCAGCAGATCCCGTCAACTGAAACTTGCCCGACCCCGGCGCAGTGAGTAGACAGGGCAATGGAATGCCGTTATCGGTGGCTGGCTGGGACTCTTAGATGACAGGCGAACTGTTGCTGAGCCAAGACCCAGCGTGAGTCGTCCGATACATGGCCCTGGATTGCGAACTCGAATGATTGCCCCCGGCGAGCCGACGGGACCAGGATTCTTTGAGGAGCTATTTGTCTTGAAAACCACTAATATCTCTGCCAGCGAAAGGGGTATAGAAGAGATATAATATTCACATGGAAATACAGGTCTCAAAATTGGAGGTAGTCACCTTCATGTGTGCAGCATCGAGGAACCACTTCAACCCCCTGGGATCGCCAATCCTGATCTGTTTTTCACTTTTCTCTTCGAAGGGTTTACCTGCAGGTGTTATTTGTTTCCAGAATCAGGCTTGTACTTTTCAGATAGTAATCACCGAATAAGGACTTTCATGTAATCGGTTAACATTAACGGCTATCTGTGTAAATCTGCCGCACATAATATAAGTTGATTGGAGAAAAATGCATCCCATCAGGCCAGCATCATTCATATCGCCACACATATTCAGCGAAGACTGTTCATTCACTCAATAATCCCAGCCATTTGCGGTCATGTTCCGCTTTGTTCACACAATTAGGGGGCTGTTCACCTTGCAGTGCTGGCTAGGTCACACAAAGCTTGGAAGTGACGCGCCGATTGGCACAGAAGCGCAAGCTGCCAGCTGCCAGCTGCCAAAGAATTCATCTGAAAGGCAGCGCAAACAAAGGAAGAAAGCCCCACACCAGGAGATCAAAAGAGCAGCCCACGGCTTCTCTTCCTTCTCCCTTTTCCTTCCACCTTCCACCACAACGACAAAACTGCCTTCGTGATGGCAGACGAACGTGCTAAGATGACCAGCCAGGAAGGCACCGATCATGGACCTCTACGCATTCGACCTCTGGCTTCGTCCACCAGCGAACCCGGCTCGCATTTGCTGTCCTTGCCGGAACGACTAGACCGCCTTCGGGACAACGCAGAAGTTCAGAGAATCACTCCACTAATCACTTCCCTGGCCTACAAGAGCGATAACGACGTCAAGAAACTTCTTAAGCAATTCGACATTGACATCAAGATGATCGTTGAGAGATGCCCACCACAGTGGTACGAGGATCATGCCCTATGGAATATCGTCCAGGAATGCTGTATCCGAGCTGTCCCCCACGGTGGCCTCGATTCCGACATGTATTTCATTGCCAATTACCCGCGGTCACGAGACGAATATGACGAAGAGAAATTTGAGCGATTCAAGAAGAGGATGCAGAGCACCAGAAAGATATGGGCGCGGTTTTGGGCGGTGTCTTTGAACCGCTGCCGAGGAGGTCCAACATTATTAGTATCACCAACGCCCTTCTCTCGACGTGAACCAGGGATACCACTTCGCGACCCCCCGAGATACCTCTTCCGAGTGTACGACTCCTAGAGCAAGGGCATCAACTCTCCCGAGATCATTGCTTCGGTCCGACACTCCACTATGGAACCTCCCATTCCTAAAATCAACATTCTCTTCGGAAACACAAAGCAGCCTCCCACAGATGAGGAGAAGGAGTTGGCTTCCAAGAAGCTGCATAGCCATCTGATTGGACCCACCCTCGATGATGAAACCGACAAAGCAGAGATCCTTCGGCATGACAATCTTGTGTCGTGAAGCAGCTCCTTGTTGTACGCGATTCAATATGCCAACTTACGGTTCTGCAAGTCGGGCGAGGACGTCGCCATCTGCGCCGTGGACACTACGCAGTTTCCCAAAGGTCAGTTCGTGAGGGACATGGATCTACTCGAATACTTCAGCCGCGGAAACCTCACCGCCGAAGAGGACGCCTTCAGCAAGCTTCGACGATCGAGTGTCAGGGACAACAACGGAGAGTATCTGTCCCAGGGGATGCTGCAGGTTGAGGGCCGGTCGTGCACAGTATCCTTGAAGGCACTGAAAGAAGCCGGACTTTGGGATTTGTATCCCGAGTTCAATATCAACGTTGCAACACTGGATGCGCCAGTCCGATCCGAGTGTGAGAAATGGGTCAACTTAATGCGAGGTTTTTGGGGAGAACAAAGCGCGCCCCCCAAGAAAGACATTGAGCTTGCACGAAATATCGCGACCAGTTGTTTCGAACCTTTCAGCCAGACCGACATCGCTTTACTGCTTTTGGCCTTCCACAATCGTGAGCTTGCAAACGAAGGTAAGGCGCCAATCTGGAATTTCACTATGCACAAGTCGCTACTGTATTGGTGCGAACGAACAGGCAGTACATCCTCTCTCACGGAAGAACCGATGGAAGTCAGCCGGTGGTGGGATCTGACATGCAGACTGCAGAAGCTGCGTGCTGCTGATTCTTTGGACGACCTGTTTGTTTTGAAGCTTCACGATGGTAGTTCCGAGGCCGAGCGACCGTTGCCACAAGATGACAGAATCCTTCTATGAGAAAGGCAAATTCGACGGAAGGAGAAAATGGCTGTGCTAGATTCTATCCATGAGGTCTGGAACTGGGAAACTTGTATTGAAGATATTTGCAATGATCGTGGTACTCAATCAATTCTGTACTCTATTGTAAAGAACTCATCCAGGTGGATAACAGAAGAAATGTCCTTTCAGATTTAGGCTGCTATAATAAAGTAGCCTAAGCGCTAGTCTTAGCTGGCATAAAGTGACCAAATTATTTCATCTCATATTTTCTTGGGGCCAGTTCTTCTATGCCTAGAGGTCATCTCAAACTCACCGACCGTGCGCATGATCTTCGTTTGAGCCCAACGGCCATGCAGGTGATTTGTGATAGCACTACTCATGCAGGGACACTGGAACTGCCAACTCAGAGACAAGTGGCCAGGCACTAGTTCATTTCTAGATGCATTATCTTAACACGTCGAGTATGTGTTGGCCTGGATGCCTGAATGCCTGACGACTGGTGGAATGGAACAACTACATTATTGCCTCTCGACTGCGAACGATATCCGCTTTATGTAGTTCTAGGATGATGGGAGTATTCAGCTCGGACGCCGATCTCCTGAGAGGTTACTGCTTGTACAAATCTTAGTGCGTTTCAAGGTATAGGGATGTCAGCATTTGGCGGCTCTTCACCGATCCTGATTCGCCAACGCCTCAGTCTCAACCAATGGCGATGCTTGAATTGTTCTCGGACTCTAGGTCGCTAACAAAGGCCGTGCTAGTTCATTATCTTGTTTCGTTACTGGCTCACTTTGTCCTTCGCGCTTATCTGTCTGTGAAATGGTCAAGATAAACGCCAGCCTTGTTTGCAGGTTCATGGCGCGACCGTATATAGAGACGAAATAATAATGATGATTGCATTTATTCGTCAATTTCTTCCATTTTCTGCTATTTGATTGCTTGAAAGAGTCTCCGACCACAATGACTGACAGACTTGGCTTTGATGATGAATCGAAGCAAGATACACCAGTGCCTCAAGGATGGCCAAGCAGCCCAAGAACATTGAAAGAATCTTCTCTCCCGACGTGGCAAAGGTTCCTTCTCTCAAGTAGTCTGGTCCTCATACCAGCACCATTTATCGGTAAGGCACCCAAAACGAGGATCTCTGTCGCCATTCTGACTTTTCGATAGTTCTTGCAGTATACATGATCTCTCTCAACCAACAACCCGAATCTCAACTTGGCAGTCGTGTTCTCGAAGCTGCCAGCATCGCAGCTACATTATGGCCTATCGCATTTGCCGCTGTGCTAGGCACGGCCCTGAGAAGCGTGGCTCTGTATACCTGTGAGAGGGGGACTACACTTGGTGTAAGTACAAGCACCCTTAAGTCATTGACAATGCTGACATCAATAGACTCTTGAAATCCTGATGGGCAGTTTGACCATGACAAGCACACTCAAACTACTAGTCTGGGTTCGCCTCATCAGCTTCTGGTCCCCCCTTCTCATCTTATCCTGGGCGTTAAGTCCCCTTGGAGGTCAGAGCGTTCTTCGTGCCGTCACCATAAACACTGAGATCATACAACATGACTTCCCCATCGTATCATACCCTTCAACAAATTGGACAGCAGGCTTTGATTGGCTACCAGTTCTATATGCTCCACCATTCGGGTTGCGAACAATTTTCGGTGCCGCATTCTCATCTTCATCGACTCGACTTATGCATGCGAATGGGTCTAGTCCGAATTTTGGAGATACTTTGAGACAGGTTGGTGGTCCTGATGAGGCGAGGAGGATAACGCAGCAGGACACGTGGGGGAATGCGAGGATTCCGTTTCTTCATATGCTCGACGGATATGATTTGGATAACCCTCATGCCTGGATGGATGTTCCCAACGATGCGGTTCCTCCGTATGAATCTCTTATCGGGGTTCCTATACGCGGTATACCGTCTACTGCAGAGGGGAATGCTACCATGATGATTCAGTCGTCTTACATATCGTTGTCGGTAAGTGGCCTGTGACCTCTTCGCTACATGTACTGATATAAATCCAGTGTGACCCATTGATTAATGGCACGTCCTGGCTCGAAGACAACGTCTCACGTTTAGTTCTTGCTGGGCCCGAAGCAGAAATGGGAAACATCAACGTCGGTTTCAACAACTGGTCATTCTTTTCAGCACCCCGTCATAACGAATTTTCCTTCAGGGACGAATTTCCCGTTCCACCCATTCAATTTGATTTACTTGAGGACCAGTATCTCGACAGCAACGGAAGCACCTTTAACCTCACTGTGGGTCAAGATCGACCATTGAAGCAGAGTCTTCTTTTCATTACTGATGGCTCGCCAATCACCAACCAGAGTCACTCATGGAACATGACTCTCTGTACTCCCACTACATCCTATGTCGACGCAATGGTCAGCTGTTCTCGTCCTTCCGACAACGGTTTTCTTTCATGTTCTACCGACAGAGTCCGGCATACCAAAGGGCAACCAATCAAAGCGAATACGACAGTATTTTCCTTCAAGCAAAACTTGTCTCTGTTGTCCTTAATACCGTGGCTTCTTCCGGACCCGGAAGGATCTCAGAATAATTTGGTAAATCTTTTCATTCGAGATCCAACCAGAGCTCGACCAATTGGAGAGTTTTACAAATTCGAGGCATACGCTTTTCCTCCCTCACTGCACAACCTATCAACGGCCGTACTTGAAGCTCGGTTGGCAATGGTTCTGAACACAGCGATTAGAGCCTCCTTCGAACAGTCCATCATTGTCGGCGCCGATGAAATATCGCCGTCGTCCGAATCCTTCATCGACTCTACTACTCTGAATAAATCTGTCACTCCTCTTTCTGACTGGGGAAACAGTACTGGAACCTGGAAAGAGTTTACAGATCAGAAATACCAGGTGAACTGGGTTTGGATGAGCATATATAGTGTTTCCAGCCTTGCTATGGTTGTTTTTACAATCGGGCATGTTGTGCTGCAGTGCAAGATTAGAAGCCCAGATATTCTTAACAGTGTCTCGAGTTTGACTAGAGACTCTCGATATGTGGTTGTTCCAGACGGAGGAAGTACGTTGGACGGTATCGACAGGATAAGGTTGTTGAAGAACGAGCGTGTAAGGATTGGGGACGTTCAACCGCACAGTGGTATAGGGAAGATTGCGTTTACCAATCTAAGTAGTACAGTTCTTGAAGTTGACAGAAGATATGAGTAACCGTGGTGGTTGAGTTCGGGCGCCGATTTCCTGATACCTCACTGCTTGTACAACACAGTACTAGACGATGATACCCAAGATAATCAATTCAATATCAAAACAATTTCTGTGTCAAATTTCCTTTTCCAACCAAAATGCAAATCCAAACGCTCAAACCATCCCAAGTCGTATTCGTGTACATGCATGCAAAACGTTAATTCATCTCATCTGACCATCCAGTCAAGCCTCCATCTCCAACGTCCGACCCGCATTCTCCTCATCCCACTCATCCTCAACATCCACATAACTCCCCTCCAAAGAAGGCGCCCGTCTTCGTCCATTGCCACCGTACAGCTGATCCAGCTTTCGCGAATCGAGGAAAATGTTTTGCATTTCTGAAACGAGATGTTCTTCTTCGGCGTCTTCGTCCGCGGCGCGGACACGGTAGCGTACTACGCGACGACCGACACCGGATGTGAGGAAGGGTTTGAGGAATGAGAAGATAGACCATGCGAAGCGTGCGAAAAGATATTCGCGACTTCCCTCGGCGAGTGTTTCGACGGGGCGATTTTGATAGAGTGCTGTGAATTCCGCTTCTCGACCGTCAAGAACGTGAAGAACATATTGAGGCGAACTTTCTCTTCCGTCAGGTGATCTTGCGATTTTGGGAATGAGTGCAAAAACACTTTGGTCAAAGCAGACGTAGAGATCAGCCTTTAGTGGAAGAATGTTGTGCGGGTCGTCGATTGTATGTGACCCTCCACCGTAAAGACCCATGCCATTCTTGTTAAACCACTGCTGTTCCTCGCGGGGAATTAAATGCGCCCATGTAAATGCGTAGCTGGTGTTTGTGACGGCGCATCGCTTGCTGTGGAGGGTGGTTGCGCAAGCAGGGGGAGACCACCAATCCGGCAATTCATCGTGAGGAAATTTCCAATCTCTAAAGCTTGGAACAATTGGATATCGTTCTATGAATGTTAGTCTTGTGGTGTCTCGTCTTGGCGGTGATAACATACCTTCACCATCCACAAAGAACCAATAATCCCTGTTCAGCAAAATCTGATCATCGTCCGAAACAACATCCTTGCCCTCAGCATCCCTCGCCAAGCGTCCACTCCCAAAAGCATTATTCGCAATGATTTGGCACGCTGTGAGAGCAGTCTTGAAATGAACACCCCAAGCCCCTCTCAAAGGCTCATAATCAACGCGCGGCAGACAGAAGAGGAGGTTCAACGGCTTTAAATAACCCGGGTGGTAAAAGCGGACCTGGTCGCGATTCAGGTCGCGGATTTCCAGGTTGGAGACGGAAGTCAATGAGCGAGGCATTGGAATGCGATGCTCTAGATTGCTGAGTTGTAAAGAACGCGGAGTAGAATCTTCTTCTTCTGTGGAAGACAAAAGACCCATGACGTTCTTTTGTCTTTTGCTGCAGGTTTCGGAGAAGGAGTCAGCCACCGCACATGATGATGACGTAGAGCACACTTACGCTAAGCTTGAAGGTTCTAAAGCCCAGAATCCGTACATTGTTAGTGTCAACGGTTAAATCACGGAAAGACGTTGAAGATTAAATAAAAGTAAAAATATATATTGAAGAAGATACTATCATTTATACAATTGATTTTTCACATTTTTTTCGCCGCCCGACACTACTACACGTGTCAGTGGCCAGTGACAGCTGTTTTGCATACTGGCGAAACGTCTGGCTCCAATGGTTCATAAGCAAGTGGGACACAACCCCATATTTTGCTCTGCTGTACTGATCTACAGGCGGTGAGCGGCATAAGGTCGAGGCATCTTGACCGCGTGTGTAGACCCGATCTCGCCAATGCGCATGTTGCTAAAGGTGACTTCGGGGTTGGGCTCGACCTTGACAATGTTCTTGGGCAGACCTTCTTCCTTGGTGCAGGGTCCGGCGCCGGGGCCCTTTCCGTCGAGCCACTCCATGGAATCGCCCTCGCTCCACCAGACGCTCATGGCGAGAACCATGCCGCGGGTCATGGCATCGCCCATCTCGGTTGTGCCGCCAAGACGGAGATAATCATCAGCGTTGCTGGCCTTGCAGTACTGATCGGTGATAATGTTTCCAGTAACCTTGGGAGGTCCAGGAAGAGTGACGACAGCGGACTTGATAACCTTGCCGTCCTGGATGTAGTGGCGGTGCATCTCCTTCAGGTTGCCTTGCTTGTCGGCGGGGAACTGGGACACGACGGTGAACTTGCGGGTGGTGTCGACCTTGAATTCCTTGCCGCGACCGTAAAAGTCAGTGACGTTGTTGCGGTTGTGGTTCCAGCCGCAGCCAGCCTTGTCGCAGATGCCCTCCTTCTTGCACTCGTCGCCTGTGCAGCCGTACAGGCCGGGGACGCTGCAGGGGTGGGGAGCGATGTGGGTTGCGCGAGAGTTGGCTTCCCAGATGTCCATCTCGTTACAGCAGACACCCTTGCCCTTGATGTTGCCCTAAAGAATCGATTAGTCATGCTCAAAATTAACAGTATCAGGTTCACTTACAACTCCGTTGATGAAAGGTGTAACATAGCACTGAGCATCACAGTATCCAGCACCCTGCGCAGCACCAAGAGTGCTGTATCGGCTAGTGCTCTTACCACCATCGGCAGGCATCTCAGAAAGATACAAAGCACCGTTCATACCGCAAGGAAGCTTCTGAGTCTCAACGTCGAAAGAGAACTCAGCACCGGTAAGCTTAAGCATCTCATACTTCTTCTTGTTCTTCTCAAGAAGGTAAACACGAGGAGAAACAGATTGTCCGTTCCTCAACATCTCCAGACGAAGAGCGCTGCCAGAGGTAGTGATACCCTTAGCCTTGTAGGCAGCAAGGTCCATGCCAGAGAGCTTGCAGTTCTTTGCACATGTCTTCTCATCGGGACAAGCCTTGGGGTCAGCGGCTTCACCCCAGTCACCACAGTTCTGACCGTTGGACTGGCTGATGCCGTGGAGTTCAGCATCGGCGACGATGTAGTTTGTCGTCTTCTTGCAGCCGCCGGCTTTGGTGCAGCGGTATGTGTCGATCTTGGGGTGCACCTCCTTTGTCTTGTCGGCAGTTTGGCCGACGGCGACGTGGGCCAGGAGAGTTGAGAGGAGAAGAGGAGAGAACTTCATGTTGGGCTGTTGTGAGTGAGTGACTGAGTGATGGAGAACGAGACTGTTTGATGACTTTCGGAAGTCGGTTTATATCTATATTTTTGACAGCTCGCGATCACACATAACTCCATGGGGATATACTGGGGTCGGCCAAGTTAGGACGACATCCGAAAAAGCCAAGTCGAGATCATCACGACTTTGGATGAATTGGTCCGATTAAGCTCAGTCCATTTCCCCCATAACAGCAACATTATACCAAGTCTAACCAATCAAGAACCCCAGACCTCCGCGCGCTCCGATGTCCCGATTCGAATTAAGGTGTTCACCCGTCTTCAAAGGGAGCATCTACCGAATTCCGGAGTAGTAGAAATTGCGGGTGAAGACCCTTGTCGTAGAATGTGGGGATTAAGAGCTCAGGAGTTGCGGCCCGTGAAGCCACGGGCGACAAGTTTCAGGACCCCTGTCCAACGTTGCAATTATCCACCTACCATGGCAAAAGCTATCGAAAGAGCTGAGCGGATATGATGGAGGCTTCTGTCCTAGCGGGATGGAGTATCTCGGGCGTGCGGACCGACGCGAAATGTCGGGGGTTCTTGGACAAGACTTGTGATCAATAGTTTCTCGGGCTTGGTATTAATTCAGGTTACGTGGACGGAAAGAAGGAATTGTTTTCCAAGCGAGAATTATGGGTTATCATCTGAGTTAGTTAAAGTGGAAAGTGCACGCGCTACTGTAGAATTTGCTGTAGGTATGCGATCTAAGGTACAGTACATACAGGATCTCATCTATGTCTTAGATAGCTTATTTGCAGCTGTTCCTGAGCATACAAGGTTCTCCCTGCGGGGAAAGGTCTTCCCCGTGGAGCAGAATAGCCGGATGGACGGCTGAGCCTCTCTTCTGCATGGGTTGTGTTTGCCACAGATTGCGGATGGTACGTTATGCGTTGATCATTGGTTTGGAATTGATGATTTGCCGCTCACGCCTCAGGGTCGACACCACCAGACCACAAGGATAGACCATAGCGGAGGCCCATGGATCCTGAGTAGACCATTAGGGTACACAAATGATCTGGAGACTGGGTCTCCATCCTGTCAGGGCGGCGTTTTCCCGGTCAAAGTCTATCGGATAGGATTGACAAGCTTCCGAATGTCAGATTTCTATCGTCCCATGACCCTCCACGACGCGCATCAATGACGAAATATTCATCTTGGCTCTGCAAAGACCTACAAGACGTGCCACTTCCGACATCAGCCACTGGCCCAATGGCGGATTAAACTATCCTGACCCTGAAACTTCAGGCAAACTCAGTACTTAGTGTTGAGGTGGCTAACGGAGGTTGTCCCATGGTTCCGGTAGCGAAGTGAAAGGGGTTTAGAAAACGCACTAGACTACCTATGCAGTGGTTCAGATATTTGTCGGTCCGAAGCATTAGTGGCTGTTGATCGTGGGGAGTTCATCCCATGTTTATTTTGACGTGTTTACATGTGAACAATGAAGATATCGTGTGGGTGGTGGTTACCCTGTACTATTGAGTGCAACGTCAAGCTTGATCTGACAACGCGCTCAACCTTATTTTATTCAAATGCAATTGACTAAACTATGTGTTTCATATCTATAAAGAAATTATCCAAGGAAGACGAAAGTCAGAAAGTGTAAGGCTTTCTCGTCAGATCGTGCTGTTTCCCCCGCAGCTGAGACAAACATGCAAATTTAAATGACACACAAATCAGTACACAAGAAACAACTAGTACCTCAAATAAAGCTAGTGTACGGAGATACAATTCGATACATCGCTAAAATAAAATTTGACTTTCTCCTCAATTCCTATTCGCGGTAGTCCACCGATAAGCCGGATCAACCAAATGCTTCTCCACCTCAACAACAGGCATACCGCCAAGCGTAGAGCCACTAGCAGTACTGTCGACAGATCGACGACGGTTATTGGTGTCTCTCTCGCTCATGACTTGTTTGTATCTCCTTGATGCTGGAGATGACAAGGCACTGAGGGAGAAGCGACGCTTTGAGCTAGATATTTGTTAGTCGGTTAAGCAGAGGAGAAGTGGGCTGGGGACAGACTTGGGAGCCATCTTGATGATTTATCTTTCGTATTATACTAGTTGAAGCTTTCAGTAATATTTCTTTGTTTCTTTGTTTGAGTTTGCTATACAGCACTTTGTATAGACGTTTATCTTCCGGGGTCGGAATGGGCTGTTTTATAGATAATTTCACGATGATCGATATTGACTTGAGGAACAATCAATCCCACGGATTGGAATCTTCAAGCACAAGAATTCGCCATTTTGCGAGATCATATTGCCCATGTCAACTCATTCCGCCACCACAGACATCATATTCGATACAATAGTCAACCCTCCAGTTCGAGCAAATGACATCAGCTTAACCCAGACAAGACACCGCGCCGCAGAGATGACGCCGTCTAGATTTAACCACGCATATAACCGCCCAATGATAGGTAACTGTCCTACCAGGGTTTCAATAAGGGTCTTTCTAAAGTAGATCGTTAAGTGTGGAGTAGGACCCTGAAAATCATGAATGCCACTGAAATGCGTCATGAGGTTTGCCTCACTATGAGATATGGGGAAGTGATAAGACTGATTATCACGCTGCACCGGTGATGATGTTGAAGTCTCATGGGTGGCGAGTTAATTCGTTCATTTGGAAACTGTGTCCTTAGAGATACAATTCGAGTGACCATTTCTCAGAGGTCACGGACATCATTTCTCCAACATCCCCTTCAACGCCACAATAACTTCATCAACCCTCCCAACCAAACTCAAATGACTCTCCCCCTCAAAAACCCTCAACTCCGCCTGAGGAATCAACTCAACAGCCCTCTGACTCACCCTCAACGGCACATTAATATCCTGATCACCATGCCACATAATCATCTCTCCCTTCTCAACCTTTACATCCTCAAGCTTAAAACCCCAATCGCTACCGTAAAGATTGGCTTCCCAAGCTGATGCATATCCACCCTGCTTCATAGACGCGCGTGTAGAATCAAGAAGCGCCTTTCTAAGAACCTTATTTTCTGTCCAGGCTTCTGCGTCCTTTGGTGCTCGGGCGACCATGTCTTTATCCATCATATTTTCAAATTTCTCAGGATGTTCATAATCGCGTGCTGTAGTCCCGAGTGCTTTGTCCATTAACCATCCCAAAGGCGTAGTAGCATACGGCGCGACGTTGAACAAAATCCTCGATATGACAAGCATACCACTCGTACCAAATTCAATAGGCATGCATCCCGCCATCGTACCAATTCCAACCAACCTGTCTCTCGGAATTTCTTTGAAACAAGCAATGGCATAAGGCCCACCGCCCGAAACACCAAGAACAGTAAACCTCTTCACAGAAAGAAGATCCGCTAGTTCAATGACATCTTTGGGGTAATCAAGCAACCGTCTATTTTGCTGAAAAGTTGAGTCGCTGTATCCTGGTCGTGATGGCGCGATTACGCGGAGACCGTTTTGTAAAGCTGAGGCGTGTGTTACGATGCCTTCGTGATGAGCCCCGGGAAACCCGTGGAAGTAGAATGTGGTAGGTGCATTTTCGTTTTGATTGCCGTATATTGCGTATGCTATTTTTCGGCCGTCGGAGAGGGTGGCGATTTGTGTTTTGTGGTCTTCCATTGTGAATTGGTGCACCACTTCTGCGGCGCAGTTCGTGAGGATGAGAATTGATTGGTATGGGTTGGTAAGACAAGATGACCGAAAAAGACAATGACAGAAAACGGCGCTTGTCAAGAACATGTGAGATCACGTGTGTCAGCATCCGAAAGCTTATCATTTGCAGTTGGGCAGGGCCACGAATCCTTCGTCATTTTATTTATCAGAGTCAGTCAACTGCCGAAACCTCTTGATTAGCCCCGTAGGATTCTAATCAAAAGCAGGCTCAGGCTTAGACCCATAAGGAATAATCCTAACCATATGCCTCCTCTCCGAATCCTCAAAATCCGGCACAGCCGAATGCGCGACGCTCCTCTGATCCCAAACCACAACCGTCCCCGTCTCCCATTTAACCCTACAACTAAAATCCAAACTTCTCATATGATTCTTCAAAAAGCCCAACAAATGATCTGACTCTTCCGGTAAAAAGCCTTCGACAGATCGTGCAATGGTAGGATTGACAAACAGTGAAGGTTTTCCTGTGACAGGATGTTTGATGACTAGCGGGTGCGTCGCGTTGATGGCTTCTGCTAAAGCGCGCTCTGTGCCTACGCGTTTAACTTCGCCTTCTGAAGCAGATGTATGATGCAAGTTCAAGTGGGAGAGTGTTTGGCGGAATGCTGGGGAGAGAGCTTCGTAGGCTGCTGTTAGGGATGTAAATGCTGTGTCACCGCCGCCGGAGGAGGGGATTTCGAGAACCCAGAAGAAACTGGTTGACGGGACGTTGGCAGTGAATGTTTGGTCGATGTGCCAAAGATCGTAGGTTGTTCTTGGACCGAGGAGGTTTCTTAGATTTCCTCTGTACAATATTTGAGTAATTGGTTGCTGGAGAGGGTTGTAATGAGGGACTTACGATTTCTCATCTGCGTATACAACGTGGAACTCAGGTCCTGTACCCTGTGGATATCCCATTGTAGGATGTTGATGAAGAGGTCCATAATGTCTCACGATCTCTCTCTGCTTATCAAACCCAACATCTTTAAAATTCTGGTCTCTCTGAGTGCCTGTCAGCTCATATTCCCTCATCAAGCATAGAGTACTCACAAAAACCACAACTCCTCTCTCAGCAGCCAACAAAGCTAGTTCATCCAATCCCTTTCTATCCAACTCACTAATCTGCACACCCGTGATCTCCGTCCCAACCCTCGGCGTAATCCTCTCCACACGCGTCGCGCCCCGAAGTAAGTTCTCCTTCTCGGGATCAGCCCGCAGACCCGGCTCCTCCGCTTCAAACTCGGGAACTGGCACAGGCTTGCTATACCCTTCGTCGCGAGTGGGTAGATAAGCAGGATACAACGGTTCAGACATTTTAACGATGTCGAATGAAGCTTTTTACTCCAAAATGAGGGGATCTTGTAGACGATCGGAGGTAGGCCGATGGATTTAACCGTTTAGGGATAGAGTTTCCGCGGGGAGAGATCGAGATCTGCAGGGCTGACGATGGTCCTCGGTTACATTCATCCGGAGAATCACCATTATCCAATCACTAAAACTCTTCAGTATCGGCACTTGGAATATCCGAATTTCTGGTAAAAGCTTGGTAATGATGCTTATCCGAAGACTAAGGGAAGTTACCGCAGCCCATGGCTCTAGAACTCAGTCTAGAACCATGGGTTGCACTCGCCTACGTAGTGGATTTGGAACTAGTCGGCAGTGGCTTGAAAATCTTTGGTTAAATGTCTCGTCGATCACTTTCCCAAACTCAACTCACCTCCTCACTTTTTTTCTCCTCTTCACCCTTTTGTCAGATCAGAATGTCTCCGCCGTCGAGTCTGAATGATGTAGAGGACCAGACAGAGTCGACATCATGGCTGGCAAAGGTCCATCCATATTTTAAAAACCCATCGCATGTCTTGGTTTTCAAACTAGATTGCCTCTTGCTTGTGTGGGCGTTCATAGCGGGTCTTTTCAAGGTGTGTTCTGCTGATCATCAATCAGCCTCAGAATTAATGAATTTATTAGGATATGGATCAATCTGCTACGACAGCTGCTTTCGTCTCGGGCATGAAAGAAGATCTAAATCTCTACGGCAATGAACTCGTTGAGTTTACGACGTATTTCTCTATCGGATATGCTCTTTTCATCGTCCCGTCACAACTTATCCAGACGCGCGTTCGACCATCGCTTTTCTTACCAGTTTGTGAAATTATCTGGGGTCTTTTTACGCTTTTCACTTATAAAGCGCCGAATGCGAAAGTTATTTATGCGTTGCGATTTCTTCTTGGTGTTTTTGAGTCTACGTCATGGCCTGGTATCGTGAACTTGATCTTCAACTGGTATGGCCCGAGCTTCAAACTACTGTACACAGCATGATATTGATTGATCGTTAGGTATCGTCCTGAAGAGCTTGGCAAACGACTCGCCATCTTTGGAGTGAGCGGTGTAGCAGGAAATATGTTCCTAGGCATCGTCCAAGCAGCTCTCTACAAGAACCTCAACGGCGTCTCCGGTCTCGCAGGCTGGCAATGGCTCTTCATCGTCAGCGGTATCATGACGATATTCTGGGGTTTTGTCGGTCTCCTCATCATTCCCGATTCGCCAGCGATCACGAGAGCTCTCTGGCTTACAGATGCTGAAAAAGAGCTTTCTCGACTACGAATGAGCGACAGTGGTGTCAAGACCTCCAAGATCATCCCGTTTAAAACTCTGCTTCATAAGATGAAGCTGCTTGTTCAGAGCCCTTTGTCATATCTGTTTCTGGCGGCGTATCTGCAGTTTGCTTGGAGTCAACGCGCCAATTCATACTTCCTGCTCTTTCTCAAAGGCCTTACTCTACGCAACGGCACTCCACGGTACTCGATCTACACCGTCAACCTCATTCCTTTAGGTGGCTACGCAATCAGTATAGTCTGCAACATCGGTCTCAACGCACTCAGCGACTGGAAAGATTGGCGATGGCAAGTCAGCATCTTCGCAGCAACAATTCAACTCATCGCAACGTCCGTTTTGTCCGGCTGGCCCAGTTCCTGGCATACGATCATGGCATTCTACTTCCTCACCTTTGCGACAGCCGCATGGGGATACGCTTTACTCGCCTGGCTGGGCGATATTCTTCGCAAAGAACCTGAAGTGCGGTCTATCTTGGTTGCTATCGCTATTACCTTGACATACGTCGGACACGCGACTATCCCACTACGAGCATGGAGAGTCAGCGATTCGCCGAGATATCCAGTCGGTTTCCCTCTGGCAGCTGCATTTAGTGCGGGAAGTATTATGGCTATCTTGGGCATTTTGTGGTATGTAAGAAGGTACCCACAGGTTATGAGTTGGGGGTTGGATCCTGTTAAGGATACTGCTGTGGAGGAAGAGATCATCCCGAGAAACGATGATGATGATAGGAAGCGACCTGATGAAAGGAGCAGTCAACTCTAATTTGGTATTGTGAATTTGTTTATGAGATGGAATAAGCGAGCCAATTTGATCATTACATACTGAACCTTGCCACAAGAGTCTAAGGAATAGTGACTCTATGGAATCATCCTATACAACCCAGCATCCACAGCCCGTGTCACTCTGCAAGCCCTATACAAGCAGAAAATACCTCCACCTGAATCTCTGTCACGTCTCTACGCCAAGACCTGGACCATGACAACAACCAACCTAGTGACATCAACCCAGTCTTTCAGCCACATATTGAAAAACACACCGAGCCGTAGCAAAGGGGTTCCACTCGAGACAGCCCTTCTTCTCGTGGTATAAATTGTAGAAGTGGTTGTACGAGTCGCATCGGACTTTTACTCCAACGGCGGCGGTCGACGACCGACAAAGGGGGCCAATGCGGATTTTCCAGTCCGCTATGAAGGTTAGTATTGGAAGAACAAGATGGATGTTGGAGAGATATACGTGAATCTGGCTCTGGGTGTCTCCAGGCTCTTAGTAATTCCAGCCATGTTGCTTGAGTGATGTTTGCTACTGCCAGAATGGCGAGTAGGGTGAAGAGAAGTCGAGGGATGTGCATGATAGATGCTCGATGAATTGTCGATCGGATACTTCAGAAGGTCTTTTCTTTTCCAAACATTTATTTTATACTTATGGATGATGGAGAACTCTGCTGCCTTAGCTTTGCCTTTCTCTTATACTGTTATGGACATGCTTATACTTGCATGATCAAAAACTTCTTCTTCTCAAGCTTCATCGGTCACAATGCTTACCGCCGGAAGCGCTATAGACAAAGCGCTCAGTTCTTTTCACAGACCAGCTTCCCAAAGGGAAAATAAAAATAAAAGAAACATCTGTTCGGTGATACCACTGCCGCACCCGTAGGTGAGCTGGATGATTTCCGCTTGCCCTCCTTGATCAAGCCAACCAATATGAGAATAGGGCCTTTGAAGAAGTAGATGGCTAATGCCTGTTTATACTACATTTAGACTAATAGATATCGTTATACTAAGGGCTAGGCTATACCTCTCTTGAATTATGAAGCAGCATGCGCCCTGTGACTCCATCCGTCCAGAAACCAAACCCCAGACAGCCTACTAACAATGTACGCCCACTGTCTCGCAATCACCATAGCGAGGTGATCCTTGCCACGAACAAGATCCACAAAATTGTCATCAAGATTAGCAGGCCACCACAAAACTTGCCCCCAAGTCCTCGGTCTTGCCTCAACCCGTAGAATCCAGATCCTTAATGAGACAATAGCTTGTTGATAAACACTATCAAGAGCACTTACTCGACCCATACCTTCAAACTCGCTCTCTATATACTTCAACAGAAGAAGACTTTCCGCGTCGTCAAAAGATGGTTTATGTCTGATCATCTCATCTTTTTGTCGGTCATTGACGAAGTTTGGTGCAATAGCGCGCGTTAGCTGTGCACCATTTCGTAAAGCAACGATGGTGTTGGATATGTAGTCTTCTCCGGGCTGAATGCCTGCTACACCCATTTCGAAAACAGATACTATCATCGCAAAAAGCACAGAGGCCACCCAATCTGACCGGGTGGATATCTTGCGGAAATCTTGCAGGGCTGAGATGTGTTTTTGGTATGCTTCGAGATAATCTCCCAAAGACGTCATATGCAACGTCCTCCGTGTATGAAGCACTGTTAAAGCTTCGTAACCATGTTGGAGGAAGACGTGTGTGTGGATAAGATTGTTTGTGATCGGCTTCCACATTTCTACCACTGGGTTGCCTGGGTCGATGGAGAGTAGTTGGCCGACGTGGATAGGCATGTCGACTACATCCGTAACTGGTAGACTAGGACGCAAGAGCTCAAAGTCACACTTTTCCTTGCGTCTCTCACAGTTTGAGCAGACATAATACCGAACGTCACACTATCAATATCAGTACTGAAACCCCGGTAGTTCCGGAAGCGCATACCTTGACGCGGCGCTGCTTGCACTGTTCACAGCCATGTCGTCCCTTAGAGTGCCACTTGCGAGATGGCATGTTGAGTACGGAGTAGTGTACGAGGTGAATGACAGATGCCAAGTTGGATTGAAACGGAGAGGATGGGATGACAAGATGAAGGCTTGATAGGGTGCATTATACATGGATGCGCTAGGCTTGATGGGGTATGGTGTACGAGGAGGTGAAGATGACGAGGATCTTGATCGACATCAGCCCTAGTCGAACTGTTAAGCCTCCGCTGCGCCACGTGGAGTCTACATTGTAGTTTATTTGGGGAATGGTGTACGGCAGTTGGCATCATTCTTGAGATGGCAAGGCATTAATGCTGGATCCTCAGTTGTAAATCTTCGGCATAGCCATGAAGATCCATAAAATCGTGATGGAAGAGTCGGGTGTCAGGCTGCCTCAGCCTAAGAGACGAAATAAATCCATCAACTTATGCTACCTTGGACTAGCCTTTAGTCTACTTTATTTTGACAGCCTAAACCTTGGATGACAATCATTTTGTTAACCAATTGTCGGATTGCCGGTCAAGGGTATGATGAATTGCGAATGACAGGGAAACTGACCAAAGATATAAGAATCTGTATAGTCCATCGACATAAAGACTTGAAGTTCTCATACAATACATTACTCTTGACAATATCGAAACACTACCATGCGTCCTTCCAATCTCTTTTCCTTCAGTTTCCTAAGCAGCCTCACCTTGGCATGTTCCCTTCACAGCTCCGGAGATCCTCCCTCAACATCCAACAGCCGCAGATTCACTCCTAACCCTTCTACACGAACAGCCATTCATGGCATCCACATCTTTAATGGCAAGACTTTCACTACTCCTCAAACCATCTGTCTAGACAACGGTCTCATTACATCCTTGGAGTCCTGCCCAGATGCTCCCGTTCAAATCAATGGCACAGGCAAATTTCTCCTCCCAGGTCTCTTCGACTCCCACGTGCATCTCTCAGACGTCCATTCTCTCGAAGACTTTACTTCCTACGGCTGCACAACCGCCATGCACATGAACTGTCAGAACCTAACACAATGCGATATCTTGACTTCCCAAGAAGGTCACGGTCTCGCTTCTGTTAAACGTGCTGGACGGTCAAGTGTGGGTATCAATAGTTCCCATGCGAAGCATGAACCGATGAGGCCCAAGGATGAATTCATTTATCCGAACACAAGTGGAAAAGCGTTCGCAGAGTGGCAGTTTGGAAATGGGAGTGACTTTCACAAGATCACTGCTGAAGTCAATGGACCGACTCTGGGGCAGCAGATTGATATGGTCAAGACTGCGCATGGGGAGTTTGGAAAGCAGACTATGACACATGCTGCGGATGTTCTGGCTTATCAGCAAGCTATCGCTTCTCGAACTGATGGAATTCAGCATGTGCCAGATGATGGTCTGCTGTCCGACGCCATGATTCGAAGAATCAAGGCTCAAAACCAATTCGTCACACCGACACTCAACATCTACGAGTTCGGCTTCCGCGATCCCCTCCTACAGAAGTACTTTAGCATCCAACCCACCTCCAACCAGTCCATCGACCACGCAGAAACCAATGCCAAAGCTTTATACAAAGCTGGCGTTCCTCTCATCGTCGGAACAGACTCCATTGGAAAACTGACCATGAACGGAAGTTCTGTCGAGGTTCCATTAGGACTCAGTGTTCATTTCGAAATGCAGAACCTCGTTAATATTGTGGGTATGTCACCTGCTGAGGCTATCAGCGCGGCTACGAGAGATGCTGCGGAATGGCACCGAGTGCCGGATCGAGGTGCGATTGAGGTTGGGAAGAGAGCTGATCTATTGATGCTTGGGTCTAATCCTTTGGTGAATATTACGAATACCCTGGATATTGAGAAGGTTTGGGCGCTTGGGGTTGAGGTATCGCGGGTTACGAAACGCGATGGGGATGAGATGGGCAATCCTGCATGTACTGCAGGACGAGTCTGAGATCTTGTTTTGACATTTACTCTATCTCTACACTATGTATCTCTCAATTAAAGCTACAGTAATTATTATTCTGAGGACCTTGAGAAGTGATTCGTCTATGCACTATGTTGCTCTAAAGCTTAGCGAGCCAAATTAAAATACCCTAAAGGCTGGTCTAAGCAGGTCGATTTATTTCGTCTCTTATGCTGTCAGCTTACTACTCGGGGTCTGCTGGTGACACATCTGGTGATAAAGATGCCCGCTTACATGAGCGGGTTTCACTAACGTTAAATTGTTTATGTTTCAGACGATCCTCCGAATCCTTCCAGCGGAAATACGGCACCAAGATTTCAGCTGGCGTCCGTGCGGAAGGATTTAAGTGCATAAAACTGTCGATCGTGACGCTTACAAACACCGAAAAGGAAGCTCGTTTGTCGCATGTTGAGTGATTGGTAGCACAGCCTTAATGGCTCTAAATGAGGGGAGAAGAGATGAGATGACAGCAAGTGCATAACACGACCAGGCTCTATATATGAGGTGCCTGGACGCTCACTTTTTTATTTATTTCCGTATTGAACAGGTCTCAATTGTCCTGGATTTGCAATGTATCCTTCGCTAGTATCGCTGCTGCTCGTCGGCTCTGCCACAGCCTGGCTTCCCCACGAGCACGATTTGGCGGCATTCAACCAGACAGCTCGCCACGAACAACTCGGAAAGCGCTTCAAGCCAGACTTAGCCGATGGCATAACCAAGATCCGCGGCGTCAATTTCGGCGGTTTGTCTTCCATCTTCTCGTTTGTACACTCACTAACAAATGCAGGCTGGCTGGTCTGTGAAAAATGGCTACAGCAAAACACATGGAGTAACCTCCTCAAATGCGGCAACTCTGAATCAGAGTTTGACTGCATGAACGATCACTACAAAGGCGACAACCGCGAAACAGGAAACAAGCGCTTTGAAGAACATTGGAAAACGTGGATTGATCCCGCCACTGTTCAATCTGTCCACGATGTTGGCCTCAACACCATTCGCATCCCGATCGGATACTGGTCCTACACGGATATTGTTGATAAGAAATCCGAGCCATTCGCTGACGGCGATCGCATGTTGCCTTACCTCGATGCTGTGGTGAAGAAAGCTGCTGAGCTGGGCATCTATGTCATCATGGACCTTCACGGTGCGCCCGGCGGGCAGCAAGAGGATGTGTTCACGGGTCAGAACAATAAACCCGCTGGATTCTACAACGATTACAACTTTGGTCGCGCGGAGAAATGGCTGGCTTGGATGACGGATCGTATTCACAACAATCCCGACTATAAGACGGTCGGCATGATCGAGGTTCTCAATGAACCCGTCTCGCGTCACGACGCTGGCAATCGGTACCCAGCTCCAGGTCAAGATCCAGGCTTGGTAGAGAAATACTACCCCGCCGCCCTAAAAGCAGTCCGCGACACGGAAGCCAAGTTGAAGGTTTCCGACGACAAGAAACTCCACGTTCAATTCATGTCCAAGAAATGGGACTCCGGTGACCCTCGCACCCAATCCTCCATCAAGAATGATCCCCTCGTCGCATTCGACGACCACAATTATATCGGCTTCGCCCTCAACGACAATCAGCACAGCAATGCCGACCCAACCAAGCTGATGCACAGCGCCTGTACCGACAACCGCGTGGTCGACGGTCAAGACTTTACATTCACTGGAGAATGGAGCATGACTTCAGACTACGATTGGAAGGATAAAGAGTTCTTTAACAAGTTCTTTACAGCGCAGCAGCAGCTTTATGAAGAGCCTGGTATGAGTGGATGGGTTTACTGGACTTGGAAGACTGAGACTAATGATCCGAGATGGACGTATTCTTATGCTACGTATTTGGGATATGTTCCTACTGATGCGGCGGGGTTGCAGAAGAATGTGTATAGGGACGTTTGTGCTGGATATAGATAGACGACTGGGAGTCAAGGGAAAGTGACGGCGCCTCTTTAGACGAACCTTTAGGTAGCTTTATCTCAGTACACTAAGTATTAGACAATAATCGTTCTATCACGCGTCTGTACGGTCCCTTGTCAAAAGATCCCCGATTCATCGGCTATGTGAACATTGAAATCTCTAAATCACCATGCATCTTGCTGCCATCTTCACCCTCACTTTCCAGAGCAGCCTCACGTTCATGCTCTTTTCCCAACTCCAAAGACTTTTCATCTATATTAATCAAAAATGAATAGCGATAAAAGCAAAATGGAAGTTAACAAAGAGTTTAAAAAAGAAGTAAAGTGATAAAAGAATAAAGAGATAGGGAGAGAGAGAAGGAAATACAGTATCGATAGAGATCTATCACGTAGTGGTTATAATAGATACAGGAAATCCAGCAATAATAACTTGTGGGAAGATTACATGCTGTTGAGCAGTGACGCAAAAGCAAAAAACAAGAAAATGGTTCCAAAGATTGGAAAGGACATTGTCGCTGTTGAGACGATAACAGGAACTTCAGACGGAACATTCCACGATGGCAATGTTATTGTCTTGATCTCGTATCCTCCGGCAAACTTCGACGTTGGGTGAGCTTGGTCAATGGGCTTAGGCTCCTTGATGGGGGCTTTTGGTGCTTCGACTTGGGGTTTCTTGGGAAAGTCGTCTTCTGGGCGGTTGTCGTTGATGCGGACAGATACATCATCCTCCTCCGATACTGGCGGGAGAGGGTTATAGTACGCCTTTGTGGGTTTGGCTTGGACAATGGGCTTTACATGATGAAAGCCTGTCTTGACCGGGCTTGCCACAAACCGTTCTGAACCATGCTGAGGTGAGTTACCAATATGCTCAAACCTGTCAGTAGCGGATGGGGCTGTGACCGCGGCCGGTAACGTGAGGTATACCGAGTTCTCGCCGTTGATACCACATGCATTGCATTGTCTTTGGATAGTGGTCATATGGACCGCAGGAATATCCTGGTGCTCGCAACGGTGGCAAGGGTAGTACTGAATAGTTGAGCAGTACTCCTCGACCTTGAATGTAGACGGGTTCTGCGGATCGATAATTGTGTACGTGGTTGTAGACACAGTTATGACAGGACTGGCAGCCTGGGTCATGTTGTTCTTCCCAAGCCAGCCACTGGTTGGCACGGGTCTGTTTGGTGGGAATGGAACCACTTGACCAGAAGTGATGGCCAACTCGAGAGAAGATGCAGTCGGTTGGGTAACAACGTCGGGGATAGAGTCAGACATGACTGGCTCTACCGTAGATGCAGATGTCTCTCCGATAATCTCAGGGGCTGACGTCGTGGCGGGTGGCCCAGTGACTGAAGCACTGTTTGATGAGTCTCCAACGTCACTGGCTCCATACAATGTGAGCAGCACATCAAGAGGTGCGTCACGGCGGAAGCGAGATCTACGCTGCAAAGCATCGTTTGCTTCAACCAGTCCACCACAGAATAGCAGAGAGGCATTGTGACAGGGGGTATTGCATCGACCCTCGTCGACCAGACTGGTAGACTTTAATGAGTCTGACGCGTAGCATGACCTGGCAGAGAGATTAGTTACGACAAAGAAGAGTGACCTTTCTATACTAACCTATCATAGATACCGACATACAGTCGATCTGTCGTCAATGAGATATAATTTGAGGGCGTCATGTCGTCCGAGGTGGCTACCAAGTCGAAAGAAGGGTAGCCGTCAGGTGAGTCAAGACATCCGAGGAAGGTAAAGTCTCCAATAACTTCCAAATTGGTGGGACTGATAGTCTCTGTTGGTGATACAGCTGAAGAAGTAGAATCTGGAACAATTGGGGAAAAGAATTCGGTTGCTCGATCGATTGAACATCTTCCACTGAGGTCGTGTCTGGCAAACTAGGCTGAGTTGTCTCTCCTGAGGGAGTCTGCCTTTCAACACCTTCTGTGGAAGTTGTCATTGGCAATACAGTAGTAGAAAACTCATAGGTGGTCGAGATGGTCTCTGAGGCTGGTATTGGTTCTGCAACAGTAGTGCTGCTTGATGCAGTTCGCTGTTCGTTCATGGTGCTTGACTCTGGTAGTGTTGCAGATACCTCGGGCTGGTTGAGCCAGTCTCCACAAGATAATTCAGTTGCTGGCGAAGCCATGGTAGGTATTTGAGATAACGTGGTGGTATCTTCCAGTTCTATTGCCGTGGACATCTGCGTACTCTCCTCACTTGTGATACCTAATGTAGATGTCGTAGTCGAGCTTTGGTCCAATGTCTGGCTAGTACTATCTGTAAAGACTATACCCGATGTCGCAGTACTGGACTCCTGACTTTCTGTAGTAGTTGCAGTGTCGATAGTCGCCGAGGATTCTATCATTGTTTAAGTATCCCTGGCCGTGGTAGTAGGTTCCTGCTTTGTCTCAATAACAGCCTGGAATATGGGCTGATCAATGTCAAAGAGTTCTACCAAAACAGTGACGGCTGTTACAGCCCTGTAGCTTCTCATCATCCAGCAGACTAAGGACAGCTCTTCGGATGCAGATGTAGAGCCGATCATGGTGGTAGCTGTGAGTGGAGCCTATGCTGGGCTGACGTAGCGAAACACTCTTCACCAACTCACCAATTACCACCCATCGAGACGTCACAACAAAGCCAATCACTTACACAAACAAATAACATTCAATGCTTAATTGCCGGGGAATATTCATCCAAAACATCTATGCAGCTAAATATCCATGCCACATCCCAAACAAAAAGGCTCCGCAAAATTTGTCATTTCTAGTGTTACCATCCCATTTCACTCCACATTAGGTACTTTATATACAATCCTCATCAAATTTACCAAGGCTTGACCTTGAGCATGCTACCCTCCTCAGCAAGAGCCTTGTGCAGGTCGAAAGCGTTGAAGAGAAGGTGAGGCTCGTGGCCCATACCCTTCTTCAGACCCTCGCTCTCGGCCTTCTCGTAGTAGTGTGTCAGGATGGGCTGGTACTTGGGGTGGGCGCACTTGTTGATGATAGTGCGGGCGCGCTCGCGGGGGGAAAGACCGCGGACATCGGCAAGACCCTGCTCGGTGACGATGACGTCGAGATCGTGCTCGGTCTGGTCAATGTGGGTGCACATGGGGACAATGCAAGAAACACCGTGGGGGTCGGTCTTGGAAGGTCGGCTGGAGGGAGTGTGCATGATGGAGTATTTGGCGTTACGGAGGAAATCGGCTGATCCACCGAGACCGTTGAGCATGCGTGTTCCGCTGACACAGGTGGAGTTGGCGTGGGCGTAGATGTCGACCTCGACGGGGGTGTTCATTCCGATAACTCCAAGACGCTTGATGATCTCGGGAGCGTTGGAAACAGCCTGACTTCGGAGAAGGATCTTGTCGGCGTAGGCGTCCCAGTTGTCGTAGAAGCGCTTGAAACCGTCGGGGGAGAAACGGGTGGATGTAGCGGTAGCGTAGTCGAGCTTGCCAGAGTCGAAGAGGTCGAGGAAAGTATCCTGGATAACCTCGGTCCAGACCTTGAGGTTCTTGAACTTGGACTCGTTGAGACCTCCGACAATGGCGTTGGCGACGTTACCGATACCGGATTGAAGAGGCAGAAGGTTGGCGGGCATGCGACCCTGGGCGACCTCGTGCTCGAAGAACTCAATCAGGTGGCCGGCGATTTGGCGGGAGGTATCATCCATGGCGGCGTTGGGGCCGGTGGCATCCCAGTAGTCGGACTCGACGATGGCGACGACCTTGGAGGGGTCGACCTTGACTGAGGTGGAACCAATTCGGTCCTCGACAGCAGTGATGTTGTAAGGTGTGCGGTGGGGAGGAACGTCGGTGAAGGTGATGTCGTGGAGACCCTTGAAAGAGGGGATGGAGGTGTTGACCTCGATAATGACCTTGCGCAATTGTCAGTTCAATTCTTGTTTCGTGTTCGAAGGTCCATACCTTGTCGGCCATTTGGATCAGCTCGGGAGTAGCACCGACAGAGGCACCAGGAACGAAGCTGCCATCCTCAAGAATATCGGTGGCCTCAACGACAGTAACGTCGAGGTTGCTGTTAGGACGGTCCTTTGTGTAGAAGCCCTGGAAACGAAAGTCAGCTCAATTGCTCCTTAATCGGAGCTCGGTGGGAGATTAAAGCGAGGCCGAAGCGTCAAAATGGTGGGGCGCAAAAATGGCAATTGCTGTTCTTTTGGGGGGATTGACATACGTAAACAAGATCAGAAGGAAACATGGACAGATGCTTGTCGAAAAAGTTGATGCGTCCAGAGTTGATTCCCTTGGCAATATCCTTGCCGACCTGGTGAGGGCTTCGTCGGTTGATCATGTCGAGAGCAGCCCATCTGTTCTCCGTCTCGGAACCTGCCGAGGCGCCGACGAAGAGGGAGTACTTCATCTTGCTCTGGAGGTTGTTCTGCTCGACGTAGTCGGCCATGGCAGCTGGGACCTTCCTATTGGAGTTGTCAGCTCAATTGCTCTTTTTGCGCCAAGCTCGGGTAATGAGGAGCAGCAATTGTGTCATAATAGCCGGCGGGGAGAACAGCTCCCCAACTGTTCACCCGTCGCAATTAATCTTCCCAGCGTTGATGCAAACTTACTTTGGGTATCCGACAGCGGTAAAGCCAGACCAGCCGATGTAAGAACCATTGGGAAAGTGGTGCATCAGCTCATCAGGTCGCGCAAGCTTCTTGAGCATGGCAGGATTGCGCACGCGCGCCTTGAGGGCGGCAGAAGCAACAGGAGAAGCCATATTGACGAAAGAGACTCTAACAAGAAAGCAAAAAGGGAAGAGGGGAGATTTGTCTAGAGTATACAGGAGTGGAAGAAGGGGGAAAGGAGGATAAATAGAGTAGAAAGTGGAATGAGGAAAGGAAAAGTGACGAAGTGGAAGTGTGGATCACCCAGAGCAGAACTGGTTCCACAGCGGGGATGGATCGATTTCAGTGGTTCAAGGGTTTCGGCTACAGTGGACGACCACCCCAGGTCTTTTTGTTTCCGTCGCTTCTCCAATTTTGACGTATCTCAAGTACTGTTCTCTTTATTCTACGCCAGAAGATACAATTGTAGCGGGGAGAAGGGATGGCTTGCCAAGCCCCGCATGAACTACCGGGTTTACAATTCCGTCCATCGTCATACTGTACCAATAACCAGCTAGTGGTAGGTTGAACAAGTTACTGAGACGCTACAGTGCACAGTGAATTACCCCAAGATCTACCGATGATGCCGAGAAACAAGTGCATCGGGCATGTCATATTAGGCAATGGATCCGGAGAAGGGCACATGGCCTGATGTTCATACATCATCGTTCTTGGCCATCATCAACCTAATAGTACCTATCTCATACCATTTTCTCAATCATGGAATTTACACTCATGTTACTGGAAGACTCTCTTATACTGTATGATATCTCCGGTACTTTTGAAGAGTCCCCATTTCGTCCCCGAATCTTCCGTCTTGTTCACCTCCGAATGCCGTAAAGTGGATCCTTTGCTTCTCCAAAAATGCGCCCCATCTTCCGCCCGGCCGAACTGAGCACAGACCATTATCGGCATCACTCGGTTATGAGCCTCAAAGCTTGCCTCACGAATCAGTCTTGTTGATTCACTCTTACACAAATAAGCCCGATTTATTTTGATTGGCCCTGGTAAGAACTCAATCTCACTGGCGCACAATGTTGCAGCGGAAGTTGTCCTGGGGTAGGCACACAGGCAGTCAGGTACCAGAACAAGATCCGGGGTCTAGCGTCTCGGTGCCGTTACTGTTACCCCGGAAAACTTAATCTTTCTCTCCCGAAAGGCGTCGTGAATAGGATTTGCTGTTGACTAGATCCGGGGTAAATAGTCGGGGAAGTCTAGATGGCATTGTGCAATTGACTCGGCCATTTACCGCAAGATGAATGCATCGCAGTGTAGTTGTTGTTACCTTCCATGCTTCGGGTGAGCTACCTGTAGGTCCATGTCAACGAGGGAATACCGATCTCCCCTTGAAATCCTATGGGCTGCTTTATGGAAGCTCATTCTATCCCCTAGTCTGACTATTACTTTAACTCCCAGTCCAGGTCGTGGTAAGCTGATGGATTGAAGCCATTCCAGCGTTAAGCTCGTAGATAAAGCAACAATGATCGTTAGAGGTCTCTACAGAGTTCATTAAATTAACCAATGCAAGCAATACTAGACACAAACAGCCCTTCCCCTAGTAAGTCGCAAGGTTTACGTTATTCCAGTGGGCGACCAATCAATGGTTATCTGAGGTTTACAATTCTAGTCTACGGATTCTATCGACCTCGACTCCTCTTTCCCAGACTTTCCTCTATCTACCGTCCAGCACCCAACTCAGCAAGAACACTGCCAGTGCACTCTCAGTGCACTGGTGGAATCAAATCATCCTCAAGCGCCATGAAAAGGCCCGCAGCCAACCAGTCCTCCTCCGTAGGCCTCACACTCGGCCACCCCACAATCACCTCAATAACATCATTCGGCACTCCCCACACTCTCAGCCTCGCAGCAGTCTCAATGTCCCTCTCCGTCCACGCTCGATCTAGGATGTAATGCCCAGGCAGCGCCATCCTCTTCTTTTGCTTACAGTCGTCGACCATGGTTTGCAGATTCGGCCAACGCCTGCTGTACACATAGCCTAGTACGCGCTGGATATTCTCCTCCCACTGGTAGTTGACGTTGTAGTTTATGGGTAGTGGGTTAGGTTCCATTGGAAAGTAATAAGGACTCACTCCGGCGGTTGCCGGATCTTCTGAAGGATTGTTTTGGTCGTAGATATAGGGATTCTGGATGACAGGGAGAGACTCGACGGGGACGTAGTAGCCGGTGTTGAAGGGGTAGGGTAAGTCCTCCGGCCTTCTAGGGTTACGTGATCCGTTTCTGTTATCCATGTTGAGTTTATTCGTCTCGATAAGTGGAAAGATGTTGATGTCTATAGTTTATTAGACGTTCGATCAGTTTGATGTTTTATCCAAGGGACCAAGGCTTAGCTATTCCAGCTTATTTATACTGCCCCATGCGAAGTGAATCGCAAGAACAATTGACAGGTATACACGGTACATCAACTATAACTACGCAAGGCGAACAAATGTGATTTACAGCCCAAGTCGACTGCTCAGCCTATCACTTGGTTGTCCGTTATAGACAGTCAGAGATAGATCGCAGTCATTTGTCTTCGAGTAACTCTTATTGTAAGACAATCAGGATGGGATAAGTTCATGACACCTCTGCAAAGCAGCAATCCTTTGCGCGGTTAATCTCTGAGCTTCGGAACCAGTTCCTGCAGACGCAATGAACTCCTGCGAAAAGGATCAAGACAATGGTGATGGTCTATGTTCACAGTAGTAGAAGCTTGGTCCTAAGAACAGAAGTAACGGGTCACTGGTACGACTTAGTCCATTTCAGACTATCACTGACATTCATTGAAGTTGCACCCATCACAAGACTTGTTCCATTTCTTGGAAGCGCCATCTGAACTTAGTCGGGGACATTCATCCTCTCCATGTCGGATGGATTGCTTCAATACTGCTCACATCCGCTGTCGAGGATCATTTCCAATGCTGTCAATGACAACATCAAACCAAGGATAGGGCAAGACATAGAATGACTGCGTCATTTGGAGCACTCGCCCAAGGCTCATAGGTTAATAAGCAGGAGGTGTCGGTGTATGTTCAGCTCGAGAATTTTTGTCGCTGGTCAGTAGCTCGACATCAGGTCAATCGTCTGAAGAAGTGGGCCAAGAGACGAAGTAATCCAGTCACTTGATGCAGGATTTCGACCATTGACCTGTGCCTTTAGACTTAGAGGATATCTCATTGCCACTCAGTTGCCATGGAAGCTACAAAGGCGGGAGCAATGCATGCAATTCCTTCCTTCTCCATCTTACCTGATTCGCGCTCGACGAGCCGGAGGCTAGGCTGTCTGCCCAACTGTAAGGCAGTTCGGATTAGTAGCCCGTTACTGTCAGATCATAGAATCTGCCGCATTGGAAGGCAATAGCAACAGAGCTACCTGTCCTTGACTTCTTTGACCTTTCGTCATGATCGACTGCTTCTTCTTCTACCCTCTCCAGGATGCCTTACAGAACAACTCATTTCATCCAAAAGTTCACACCCTCCATCCAGACAAATTACGTCGTTTTTGACAGCAAAGGTGTCAGGGCCAGAGGAATAGCTCCAGGATCACCAAGCTAATACTGAGGCAGTTGCAAGAACAAAACGCCCTGAGCGCATAAAGGCCGCCACGGCGGGGGTGGGGACCAGTCGAGTAACCGCGCGGTACATACTCGCGATCACCCAGAACGGCGTTAGAGTACGAACAATATCGTATCCAATTCACGGAGCCATACCACGCGCGTTCGCGAGTTTCCGTGACAACGTAATCTGAAGCTTGTTCGGAATCAGCGGCAAATGTCGTTGGCGCCTCGACACAACCAGGTTGGATGTCGTACTGCCCAAATGCCCAGTGTTCACTGTTCCCACTTCGACTTTCGGACTTCGATTCGGAGAATGCAAGGCGGGTTGCATGGACACGGTCTTGCTGTTGGGACACTTATAGTTCGTCCATCGATCTCGGTGTTGTATGACACCGGCCGCAGTATGTGTCAGTGTTTGTCATTCACGTTTCGGTCGCGGGCCACTTACATGGTCGCGGCATGCTTTGCGAGACTCGTTGTCATTCTTTGACTCGATACATATATGCTCAGAGTTCATCAGAGGAGGTTCTGGCATCTATAAGATGCGTGTCAACCTTCCTACGAGAATACGTCGATTACACGCTGTTCATCCAGCTCTTCAATGGTAGAGACTCCATGCTTCTCCCTCCTGAAGAGTGGGACTGTCATCTTGGGATCTTTTGTGTTGAGAACAATTAATCTGTATTCTTTGACCTTCGACTTTTCCCAAGTCTTCACTCGTTCTCGCCGTTGATCTTGGTCTTTCGCCTGGGAACTTTGGGTCTGCTGGCCTCAAAGCAGCGCGGCGAGACCAGCTCGGCACAACACTCAATGGTAGCGCCGCCAGACTTTCCATAGAGAAAGTACAGTGCCAAACTGCGACTTCCTTTTCCTGCGTCATATCCAACAGTATCCTCTTCAATTGGGCTCGTGTCCTTCCCAATCGACTCATTAACAGTAACAGCCACAACAGCAGAAGCAACAGAAGCAGATCCAACAGCAGCAACAACGATGAAGAGAGACCTGTCCGAGCTTATATCAGACCTAAAGACTTAATCGGGCTGATAACCAGGAACACGAGATTGAGCTCAAGGACGTCAACTAGCGGTTGTCTGCTCTTGAGACCTCCCATTGAGTTTAATGTATCAAACATTTCGAGGTATGTCCGAACTTCTAATAGTTCTGTTCTTGTCTATTCTCACAGATTTGTCGCAGATTATGGGCATCGTCCAAGAATCGTCTAGTCCCACGAGTAAAGCATGTATGAAACATGGTCATCAAATGGACCTTGAACGTCGCTGTTATTGGGCTTAGGTTGGAAGATGAGGAAGTCCTTTGAGAGGCAATTCTGCCTGGGTCGGGTTGCTGCCTGGAGTAAAGTCCATACATTATCAATGTTTATGAAAGTAGGACTATGGCTCCGGATTGTCTCTTCAAGTGAGCGTTAATCTGCAACGATACAATAAGCTACAAGACGAAGACTCGGCACAGCAACGAAGAATCTTTGCGCACAACGCCGATGAGTCCACCGAGCTGCGTACAGAGGTCCACGTACCATCTTGTCTAGTTCCTCCACACCTTATCGAGATATTGTGGTATGATTCATGTGCATAGGCTGCCCCAGCCAAGGACTGCATCAGCGATTTGGATGATAGATGTTGATCCAGGAAGACCAGTCAGCAGCACACAGCCAGACAATAAGCAAGTATTGAGAGTCGACTCCGGGTAAAGGACTGCCCACCCCCTGGGATGTCCTTCGGTGGGGAAGTTGCAAGGAGGGCCACCTTCATCTTAGAGACTGAGAGAACAGTCGTTTTGCTGCCCATGAGCGACCTTGTTACAGAAACTTTGGATGGGCACGGGTGATTGTGCGCCGTCATGAGAGTGAATTTTGCGGTGACATCGATGCAGGGCTAGTACTTTGGCCAGATGGTCTGATCACGTTGTATCGGTTCATGGAGTACAGACCACGCACTACTAGGCCTTATACAACTTTTAACTACGGCCTGAGTGCTCTGTTTGCTGCTAGTAAGGGCTATTGGCCTTACCATAATGTTGGTGATAGCCTCAATGGCTGCTCATTTCATCTCTTATGGCATCGCTGGCTAGATAGGTCTGCTATACCCTTATCCGGTGTAGGTGCTACAGTCCCAGGTCGCTCATTCTCACAAGCCTTGCATGAAGAGGGAACATGGTGTCTTGACAATTTACTATTACTATTTATACTATATATCCGATCGTTCAACATGCAAATATACATCGCTCCCATCCCTCCTCAACCCAGCAACACTCATCTTAACAACCCGTTCAATAGCCTCCCCTCCACAAACAGCAACGCCAACACTCCCCGGCTTACCCCCAACAGCAGTCTTCAAGAACGTCGCAATCTCAGGCCGTCCCTCAGTATGTTCAATAGCACTGGCGTACGCACCGTCAAGATCCATGTCGACCTCCTCTTTTAGCAGTTGCTCTTCTCGTCCGCTCTCTGACGAGGCTTCGGAGTCTATTGAGAAACGCTCCAGCTCGACACTAGGGCCTCGTGCGGTCTCGGGTTCGATTAGTCTTTCACGACTTTCGTTTGCGTCATCGCGGAGAACTGCTTCGGATACAGTGTTGCTGCGCGTTATTGCGACTTCGATCTTTGCTGATATACCCATCTCTTTCGCACGTGAGAGGACACGGGTTATTCGTTGAAGATACACCTCCGCATGTGCTTTGCGACGCACAATGTAGAGAACGCTAATCTTGCGCACACAACCAGGCGATTGAGTCGTAAGTAGATCCTCAAGAACCGGTGTAATGAACGATCCTCCTGTTGATGCCGCGACAAGAACGATGTTCTCAAACTGCCTCCAATTCGGTACCACGCCAAAGGGTCCCGTGACGAGCACTCGCAAACTCCCATTATCGCCTCTCAGACCCGTTCTTCGCGCCCAATCGTTCAAATCCCTCGTCAATCCAGTCTTCGTCTTGATCGTCAGCTGCAAATCCTGGTTCTTCGTTTGAGGATCAGGAATATTCGCAATAGTAAACGGATGTGGCGTCTCCCACTTGAAGACAGGCGACCAAATCAACACATGCTGTCCAGGAATCCACTTGAACCCAACATTCCGTATCGTCATGACCGTCAATTCAGAATCGATAGCTTCAACCTGAGCATCGTACGCATATCGCACAGAAGGATTCGCCGAAAGCCGCAGTCGTAAATTCCGCCAGATCGGATTTGCCGAGCGTGTTACAACGTCATATGCAAAGACGCCCACGGCGCACCAGATACTGAATAGGTGATGGTCTGGAACGTGCAGGACTAGAAAGGCCAGGAGTAGTACCACAGAGATAATATGCTGCACGACAAAAAGCTCGTACTTAATCCGTCGAAAGAAAGGGATTGTCGAAATGACCGTCCACGCGAGAATGAACCACGCTCCAATTCCGGGAAGGACCATTTTTACCGTCTTGACTTCTGTCCAGAAGAAGTTGGCTGCAAGCCACTCGTACGTGAAGAAGCCGCCATGGATGGTTGCGCTGGCGAAGAAGATCCGGGATGCCCATCTGTGAAACCAGTTTATCCTCTCGTATGAAGTTCCGAGCAGTAATCCAATTGGATTGACGCGCAGTGCTAGAAGAAACGGTAGGGACGTCTGTGTCGCAGTAATCCAAGCCGCGCGAAAAGCGATACGCTCGTGAAAATTGCCGTCATGCTTGATAGCCTTGTAAATAACCAGCAATGCGACAAAGGCAGCATAAACGACCACAACGAGCGTTTTTCGTACTGGTAATGTCGCGAACCAAGCAGGTCCCCCAATCACTCTCTTCGGAGCTTCAATCCATTTCTCAATGGTGGTGAATCCCGTATCTGAACTGGCCCCCAAATCTCTCCTCTTTATCCTGCAATGTCTCAGCGATTGTTCAGCATGTGATTATCGCACTTACCTTTGTTTAGCAACAAATATTGAGACACCGCGTGAGACAGCAGCTATTATCAGCAGTGTCGCCAAGACATACCAGTAAAGGCATGCAAGGAAGTGCTGTCTCAATCCATCTTCGCTTTGATGGCCGTGGCCGTGACCTTCCTCCTTGTGTCCATGTCCATGGTCGCCGTGTCTTTTTAGCAAGTCCATGACATCCAAGCACAATAACCACAGACAAAAGAAAGAGAGAGTTAACAAGAATAAGATCTGAGAGAAGACCTCGTGTTGGAATGAAGAGGCTTGTCCAACAAGGTCAAGCTTATGATTACGTTATGCAGCATTTCCGGCGCTTCCGAGTCGTTAATTGGTTGAGATAAGATAATCTTGCTCAAAACTACTCAGCCCCTGGACAGTCGAGACCATTTCCGGCTGGTAATTGATTACCCCAGCTTCATCTAAACTTTATCTCGTTCAGCCCCTGGAGGAAAGGAGATGATGCTATTTTGGGACAAGCTCACCCTATACCGGATCACGGATCGAAGTTGAGATGAGGTGGGATGAGTTTCACGTCTTTGACGATCGGGTTGATACACAGAGCTGGGCTACTGCTAAAAGTCTAAGAGCTTGCAGCATAAATAATTGCTTTTTGTTGCGACAGGAGCGTCGCAGCGTTTGACGCGACCCGATCTCATTCCTTTGTTGGTCGTGGATTCGCGACACCATCAAAAGCCAAGGAAATACCTGCGAAACTCTTCCAACGCATGTCGCGTACCCTGTAGCTTTGACCTTTAGCATTCTCATAAGTAAAGTCTTCCAGGCCGGGCTGCAATGTTGCGACACCTGCATTCAATGACTGTCGCAAACACAAAGCCGAATTGGGTGCTTTAGTGATAAGATAAACCCACAGCCCGCCGCGTTATTGCATGTCCAGTCTACCAGTCAAACAACATCAAAACAAATACACTGATTCTAGACTTTAACCTTCAAGGTTGATCCTCGCTGCATCTGTCAACATCCATATTTGGAACAATGACGCGGCAGCCAAGATAAGGTAACGAGCGACGTCGACAACTCACCACCACCAACTCACCCTACAGCAGCATGTCTCACATCCATGTCCAATAGCCATTCACTACAGTTCTTTAGCATTCTTACATTTCCAGTACCAGTTCCTGTATTCCCGGTGCACATGACCAAAGCCACTGATCGGCAAGATGCATGTGAAGTTTTATTTTCGCAATCGATACGACGCTAGACCACCGATGTCGGTCAATAATCTTATCATCCGTGGTAGAGAATGAAGGCATCATCATGTCTCGAAGATTGAGCATGTCTTATAGAATGAAGCAACTGGGACTTTACTTGCCTCAGCTCTGCAGATTTCGCAATAAAAAGAAAATAAGATAACCTTGCAGTAGAATGAGGCACAGCTCCGTAGGTGGCTGCCCATTCCGTACCTGGGCAAGACAAACACGCTTAGTGCCCGTCAGGTGCACGAGACGACTGCCACATCAAGTCATGCAGGAGGGTGTCGTTGACTTTTAATTTACCCTTTCCTCGGCTGATATTCTGAATCCGAATTCACATGTTTTTTTTCTGTTTGTCCTGTGATGGGAGTTTAGGATGTTGTTTTAATTCAGGTCAGGTACAATTTGCGGGGGATCACAGCCAAGAAATGACCAGTCGTACACAGAGCGAGAGGACATAGGTATCCATCAAGTTTATTTCATTCACGTCTAAATAGCTACCATAGCTTCATGAATCATGGTCAGTTCTTTGAACAAATAACCGGCCCGACGGGAAGACCCGGCTCTCATTCCATAGCTAATGGGCTGTTCACCCACTTGGTACAGGGAAAGTGAGGGGAACATAGTGTCTCAGGTCTCCCCGCGCTTAACTTGAGTTGGTCCAAGTCACGAGAATAAGTCTTAGTCGATGAGAGCAAAAGACGCCGTCTGAAACGTTCCCCCACCGAGGATCAGTGCGCGCGACAAGTTATGAGAGGAGAGTCGAGAGACCAGCTGAATAACCCAGGCATGATTTGCATATCAGGTCTTTGTTATTATGCAGTATTTGTCCCACTTGATGCTTGACACGTGGGGTTGACCCTGCAGACTTTTTACTGTACAGTAGAGAGTGAGGCATACCCGATAATTCAGTGCCACTGAATCCATCCTCTACTGCAACACTGTCTCTATCTAATCGCTCGTTGATCCCCCCAATCGAAGCTCTCAGGCACGGACCTACCGAACCAAGAAAAAAGGCGCAGGCGGGCCGCGTGAAAAAGCCAAGTTCGGTTTACGTTGCAGCCAACCAATTGACAAGGATCCCTGCAAAGAAGATCAATAGACGCTTATTTGGATGTGGATGTGGTTTCCGTAGTCCGCCGATTTTATGACCAGAGCTTTTACAGTAGATCGGGAGCACAGAGCTTTTTGTCGGTGTCCATGTCCAAAAGACCGGATGAAGATGATCCCTGACCATAATACACCCTAGGTCTTAAGCTGGAGAGAGACATTCGATGGTGATACAAAGCACTGTCTCTAATGAAACACTGAACATGTGAAAGATGAGGGGATCTCAACTGCTACAGACATGCTGTGCACGTCATATGAACATTCCTTTCCTCTCTCTTTCCCCCTATTAAACACCAACTTCTTCTCTCTATTGTTCCTTATTTTCGCTTATTGTTCCTCTCCGGTTTCCGCTACCGAACCGGCCCTGCTCTCTTTTCCATCCGGTCTCCATACGTTCGATCGCCACCCACTGCGCTACTGCACTATACAGTATCCACTGTTTGTTGAGTAAGGTGACATTTTTCTTGAGAAAAAAAGCTCCATCGGACGATCAGAGACTAATTCTTTGGTGTTTTTGGTAGAAGAACGGCCGAGAGGGATTTAAACTTGCTACCACCGCTAGAGATCGTCAGTGCGCCAGACTTTCTGATCGTCAGATCTTGGTTAAAGACAGTACCAGAGTAGAGCACTCTCTTCACTCTCCGATTTACTGCCGACTCTCACTCACTCTGATCAACCTTTTTCTGTCTCTATCCACTCTAAACGCCTGGGTGCATGACACCACCTTGTGCATACTTCACCGCCCAATCCCAAATCCCCTAGCTAGTCCCTCCCGCTTAGAGCATCCCTGCTAGCGGTCCCTGGAACTGCAACTCAACTTGGCATCTGTCAATATCCTGGTCACTACTCGTGGATAAAGGCAGTCGCTGCTGCTGCAGACCGCAACTCTTTTTCGCTTGCTTGAGATTCTCCATTTTCTTGTTTCTCTTCCCAGCAACCGAGAACCCTTTTCGCTTCCCGCCTCACCGCGTAAAGGTCGTCATTAACTCCTGAACTGGGTTCGGAGATTGTTACTGTCGCTTGTGGTGTTTTTTTGTTGTTCTAGAAGGAGTGGTTAAGAAGAAAGGGAATGGAGGTGCTGTTATAGAAGCTGTGAATCCCCTCTACTCTTCTTTCAAACAGCATACTTTCGTTTGTTTTTCTTTTTTCTTCTTCTACTACCTTCTTCAACATACATAAGAACAATTAATTATTATCTTCCCCCCACTTCAGTTAATACTTCAGTAGTGGGTCTCATGATGGATGAGAGGTCCGAGTCGAGAGCGTCAGGAACGACATACCACAGCTTCGACACGGAGTTATTCGAGCCAGCTTCACCACCTCGTCCACCTGTAACATACAACACTACCACCCTTCAACAACTTCAGAATGACCTTCAACGTCAACAACAGCCCATAGATTGGGTGAGGGAACGTCGACCACCCATGGCAAAAATGCAGCGACAAGACTCAGGCTACGAGTCCAACACCCCACGCCGCACATCAACCTCCAACACATCCTCCACAATCGGTCGAAGATCCTCCGATGGTTCGTCAAACGGCTCAGGCGTGAGATCTCGCTTCCGCAATCGTCCATCTCTCCATCGCTCATCAAAGACTCATCCTCGCACGAGCGCTCAATCACTCCATCTCGTGCGCACAAACACAGCAACCCAACAGAAACAAAACGGCACATTCTTCCACTTCCCCTCGCCAGACCCCATTCAACTCGCCGACAGCGTTCCCGATCGTCGCGTGCAGCCCACGCCCATCCCTTCACCACCGCCTCAGACAACACACTACTGGACAAGCGATCGCACGCGCCGTCTAGAATACGCAGCCATCGATGCTGCAACACGAGGTGTAAAAGGATGGGTGTTGCGACATTTGGTTCCTGATTGTTTCGTGTCTCGCGAGAACAGGCATGTTTCCTTCGACGACGATTCAGGAAGTGTAAGACGGTATCGTCTCGATTTGGAGGATGATCATAGCCATGTTGCAGAGAAGAGCGTGGCGGGGAATAAGAAGAATAAGAACCGACGACGTAAATGGCGATTCTGGAAACGCCAAAAGGCCGAGGCTCAACCCGCGGCGTACATTTGATCTCCCCCCTCAATCACTGAACTCTGGGGTACAACAAAGAACCTCCGCAAACATACATCAAAGCAACACAGCATCGTTGGCGTTATATACCCGTTGTCTTACAGTTTGTTTTAATTGCTTCATTTTTACACTATCGCAGGCACGGCAGAGCATGATAATTAATGATTTCTTCAAAGCGCACGCAGAACTAAATGAAACTAGATGAAGAGACGGATTTGAACGAAGAGAAGTATGCATTGCTCATTACAAGAGAATAAATCGCTATTGCTATTATTAGTTAGTATTGTTTAAAGCCAAGAAATTGAACATTCTTACAAACAAACATTGATCATTCGCGCGTCCGTGATGTTTTCTTTGTTCTCGAATACCAGCTTGGACCATTGGTGCCTTTGACAATAAGAATGAGCTTGTCGCTCTCGACGGGGAAGTCTTCATTTGTTTTTCTGTTCCAGAGTCACTGGACAATATATATATACTGATTTAGAAAATGTCTTCGTCATCTGAATTGAGCAGCGTTTATACGCCTACAATGCTCCTCTCGCCAACTCAATCCCCGACGCGATCCCCGACGCCTGCCGTGTCCGAGGATCCACTTCGGCGGTCCGCTTCGGAGCCACCTTTGGGACCCATCACGCCGGCCGCAAGCCAACAATCACTGGAAGCAACGGAACGCCAAACAAAGGGACGTTTATCACTTTCAAGAAGTGAATCTATAGACGATGCCATCGAACAAGTCCCTTTCAACATCGCCCAAATGGTAGTCAACATGCAAGAATACTACACTTCCGAACTCGCAGCCGAAAGACAAAGAACCGACGATCTCACCCGTCAAATTGAGGATATGTTACGAAAGATGGAGGAAATGGATAAGAGGTTACAAATGCATGTTGTTTTGATGGACGGGTTTGTCGGGGTTATGAGGGAGGTTAAGCAAGAGCAGGCTGAGTTGGCTATTGCGAGAGAATTTGGTGGTGTTCACTTGCATGAAGTCAAAGAGCTTGCAAACAGTCCTGTGGGCGTTCAACCAACCCTTAAACCGACGCCGTCGTCTTCAAATGATGATGGGACTGAGGTAAGCGATGAACAAAGAATCGTCCGGTTTGAAGAAGATGAGATAAGACCTATCGTGGAAGAGCTTTTTGATCAATTACCGCCTACGCCAATCATAGATGAGCCACCCAGGATGAGCACTGGACGACGAGCGCCAAAGAGGAAGAACCCTCCTCTTAGACTGGACCGGCAGGTTAAGAGAAGAACGAGAGCGGATGTGAGGAGTGTTAGGTTGAGGGGCAGGACATGGACACCTATTAATAACGAGTATGAGTCGGAGAGAGGCGAAGATGATCAAGATTATACTCCGGATGCTGAAGAGGAAGACGATGAACCAGTGAGAGTACCACGTACATCACCATCACCTTCTCCATCCCCATCAGAATCCGATACCGAAAAGCCCCGCTACTCGGTCTCCCGCTCCGTCGCCCCCCGCCACGCAAACGGTCCACCCGGCAAACCCTTCAAATACCACCGCATGCCCAAGACAGTCGCAGCAGTATGGCAAGAGTGGAAGATCGGCAGTCACGGCAATCCTGCCATCGAAGAGCTTGAGACAAAGTATAACACGACCTGGCGGATGGGCACGTTGAAGGAGCGCAAGTATGCTAGTAACTATGTCGGTGTGCGACAGAAGATTGTTAGGAAGGTGGAGGAGATGTGTGAGGAGTTGGAGATTGGAGTTGCAGAGGCGTGTGAGATGTTGGATAAGTGTGTTGATGGACGGATGCAGCTTTTGATGACAGCTTTGAGGAAGGGGGAGGATCCGCTTGTTGTTATACCGAGGAGATGAGCCAGAAGAACTGGCTGCATAAGGGACGATATCTCATCTGCAAGATTAAAATAGCATTAAGGCTACCTTATTTTGATACCCTTAGTCTCAGCCCAATTCTTGTGTTACCCCCGCAACCTGGTAGGCAGGAAATTGCGTGTTACTTGATATCATTGAGGAAGGTGCACCTGCCAGTTTCTGTGAGACCCAGAGTGACGACAGCTCTTTCACACATTGCATGCGCATAAAAAGGCAAGGGCGATGGTGCTGTCATGAGAACATCCATATATCTTCTTGACAACCGCTTTTCTTCCTCTCGTCATCCCGCAGATGTTAAGTGTGGATTGAACGAGGAGAACGAGATACCCTAAATACCTTTCTGCTCGCTGAGTGCACAATGCAGCCCGACAGCAGCACACTTACGGTCTCTAACAAATACAACGAATCGACACAGTGTATTTGAGCAGTGATTTATAGCGACATCTTGGACAACCATTTGTTTCAATGCAATGAAACATGGTACTGCCTTTTTTGACCCTGGAAAAGACTGATCGGCCGAAGGGCTTGGTGTTCTGTCCGAGATCAGAGGTTGCGACAAGTATTTTAATACAGACTATCGCTCTTAACATTATCTCATTAGATAAGAAATGAAGAACTGTTCTCTGAGGCCTAAGGCGTCAAAATATGTAGCCCACATGCCTTTCCAAGCTGACAGAAGGCATTTCATCTCTGATGCTCTCAGCAATCAATTCTTTGGACACGCTGACGCCTACCGACCTACTCATATTCCATGGAGATCTTAGAAGAAAGAATTAGCTTGGTGTTCAATTTTATAAAGAGCGTTTTTGTCAGTTTTAAACAGCATGTACAATGAACAAGCCCTTTGAGACCCATGCACACTCAGCCATGTTGCTTTGTTCGAACAACGACAGCTCCTAAGAACAGACTTCATAACTGCGAACAAGACTCATTGCAGAGTGGTATAAAGACCTCTGGATGCCGCTTACAATGGAATTCGCTATCTTCTATCACTCCACAGTCTCTGGTAGACATTTCTCTAAAAGCGTTCTGGGCATATCTCCAAGCATCTCTACATCACTCTTACGCAACTTGATCGCATCTCACACTTGTTCAAATACCATTTCTACAAAACCGTCAATATGTGTTACACCAGTATCCTGCATTTCACCGACTGCGACACCCGTCGCCCTGCAGTCATTAACCCCGAAACCCGCACAACCCTCTACCATCCCCTCGAGCCTCCAAAAATCTGCAAACATGCTCACCCTCTCATCCCCGGCTGTCCATACCACGGATCCTGCTGCAAACCACGCCAGATGTTCTATTGCAGCAGAATTCGCAACCCGCAGATCGCATGTCTAGGCGGACAAGCCTACCACCAAGTCGTGGACCCGCGCAGCCTAGACTCATACGACGATCTGTTGACTGTCAGCTATTATGATTGGGAGGATATGCACAAGCCTACGCAAGGATTGAAGTATGAGGAGGATATTCGACGGGAGTTCTTTGATGCGGGCGCAAGGATGTATGAGCTTTCTACCCATGGCTTAAGGACTATCAAGTGCTTCAATCAGAACGCAATTTTTCCCAATGTTGCCCAGATGGAAGAACTTGACTTTCTCCAGCATGGCGAGACATATTGGGAATGGTTGGTCGCGCGCGAAGAACTTCACCAGCTCACGCAAGGATGGGAACGTCGCGCCAGAAAAGGCACCATGGAGGTCTGTCCCGCCAGTCACCTCGAAGAGCATCCGATTTTGAGCACCTTCCCCAAAGGTCCCTGGACACACCCTGGATTCCCTCAATTTGTGTCTCTACCGTTCACGACTGCCCAGACTTTTAAGGGTCTTGAGGATGTTCTCCGCTGGCACCCTTTTTACACGACGATGCATAACATGCCCTCTACGCCTAAGACTATTGTTCAGCGATCGCACTCTCCTGCACGACCACACAGCGTCAATACTGACTATGTTCGTCGTCGGGTAGAGAATGCAAACCGACCCTGGCCGGGTGAGTGGGAGGGCATCATTCCTTCAGGCAAGGATCTTCCTCTCCGGGATTGGAATCCCTCTAGTAAGCATTCTTCTATGCTTCCTGTTGCTGGAAGTGATCTGGATGCTGAGTCTCCTGGACCTCAGATTCCTCCTTGGGTGATTCCTTACGGTGAAGACCCTGATATGGGCTTTAAGAAGGTCATCCCCTGGAATGAACCGGCTACATTTGTTGAGTCACCGCCTGTCAGTCCCAAGACTGTTCCCTCTCGCGTGGTGATTCCAGCTACTCCAGAGGTTAATGAAGCCGTGGCTGTTCTTGATGAGATCAACTCTATGCCCTACGACGATGCAGGTCAAACCGAGTCTGCCTATCCCAATGACGGTGGATGGAGCGAGTACGTCAATGTCGAAGGACGAGCTATCCGGGACTACATGCGTGTTTCCATCCCTCAAACTCCTTCTGATCATGATTCAGAATTGACCAGGGATGATCCCAATGATGAGCAGTTCCAGTGGTGGCACGATTACATCTCTGCCGAAGAACGAGCTGTTTGGGAGTTTCTCCGTAATATTGACCAGCAATCGCCTAAGCTTAAGAGGCGACGAAGCGATGACTCGGATAAGGAGAATGATTCAAGAGAAGCCAAGCGATACCGTACGGCTTAAAGTATTGAGTAAGAGGAGCTTGTGGAGAAGTAGGCTGAGGCTGGTTCTCGCCGATTTAGGGTGGAGGAGTTAGCTGAGGCTGGTCCTTGGCACTTCAGGATAGAGACTTAGACTTGATGAGTTTGTGATACCCCCTTAGATTGATACCCTGTTTAGACTGAATAGAAATGAGAAAATTGGCGAGAAACACTACTGCTGCAATTGTGCCTTATCGTGAAGCCTCCAGGCGCATTACTGAGATACACAGTATCCCCATAATGACAGCATGGAATAAGCTGATTTATCCAGTTTTCGGGTGAAAAACCTAAGCCAAGGCACTTGTTGAGTAACAATTCCATCTGTCGCGACGAAATGAATGTCTGACTGGTATGGTTGCCTTATTGGCGTTGATTGGCATCGGCCCGGGGTGTCTGCCTTGTCTCATTGCCAATAAACCATCCCACAGTAAACACTGGAACACATAAAAGAACAATATGAAACGATGGAATTATCCGAAATAGGAAACCAATACGATTGCGAATCCTTGACCTGTCAACCACAAAATCGGGACCTTTTGCATCCCCGCTTTAAGGCAGAGTCCCGGGCATTTTTGGATGTGTCACCCCGATTGCTCTGTCTAAATGCGGCGCATTAGCCTATACACCCACTCAGGTGTTGCATGTTCCGGCGTGCTCAGTTGGGAAATCAGCCTTAACAAATGCCTTGATCGAAATGGGGCAGCTTACGGCTTGTGCTCACTTGTGCTAGGGGAACACAGCCCGGTGATAGGATTGGATTGCTCGTAGCGACACTAATCGGTCTGACAGTCAGCTTCCTTTACAGAAACGCGGTACACTAGGACTTGTTTATTGTCGAAGATGAGATATAAGATGGCGCTTATGCTCTTTTCTCTTTTCTCGACTCATCTTCATAAATTCATATCACATACTAATTAATATCTTGAGCTTTGACAATAGCCCATCATGGTGGTAAGTTCCACTACTCTGAGGCTTAGACCAAAATAGTGGCAAAAACGCCCGTATAAGCCAGTACGAAGCGACAAGAATACCTTGACTTTCATGCGACTCGCGATTCTTCTGATGCCACTGAATGAAGATCCAACTAACACCATCGCAGAGAGTGCCTATTTTCAAGAGTCCCATTAGCGGAAAAACACCTAAAGATGAACCCATCAAATCCGAAGACGACCTAGCCCCAGGCATAATTTCCGACAAAGACGCAGCACTCCATCTAGAACCCATTCCCAACAAAGCACTCCTCGTCAAGATCCAGCCTCCCAAGAAACCATCAGTCAAAATTCCCCACGTGCCATGCGACATCGTCCTAGTCATCGACGTCTCAGGCAGTATGGGCGAAGCAGCCCCAGTGCCAGGTGAGACTGACGAAGGTACTGGACTTTCTGTTCTGGATCTTACGAAACATGCTGCGAGAACAATCATTGAGAGTATGAATGAGAATGATAGGTTGAGTATTGTCACTTTTGCGTCAAAGGCAAGAGTAGTACAGCCGCTTTTGTCGATGGGCAAAGTGAATAAGGCAAAGTCCATTAAGAATGTTCAGAGTATGAAACCTCTTGATGCGACAAATTTATGGCAGGGCATGTTGGAGGGTATTAAGCGATTTAAGCCGGAGGAGGGGTCTACAAATGTCCCTGCTATCATGGTCCTCACAGACGGTATGCCCAACCATATGTAAGTTGCACCTCCAGACCACCCAGACAACAAAGCAGCTCGGACTTACATCTTTAGGAACCCTGCGGCTGGCTTCGTACCCAAGATTCGCGCTATGGGCTCTCTTCCAGCATCAATCCACACCTTTGGGTTCGGCTACAGTTTGCGTTCCGGTCTTCTCAAATCCATCGCTGAGATTGGAGGCGGTAACTACGCCTTCATCCCGGACGCAGGCATGATCGGTACAGTCTTTGTTCATGCCGTCGCTAACTTGCAAAGTACCTTTGCAACACGCGCAGTACTTAAACTTACATATTCCAAGCCTTTGGAGCTGTATCAAACCACTGGTCCTTCTGTCCAACAAGACACTATCAAGTCTGCGGATGATTCGGAGAATAGCGTGACAGAGATGACTATACATCTTGGAAATCTACAGTTCGGCCAGTCGCGCGACGTCTTTTTGGAGATGAAGAGTGGCAAGGAGGTGGAATTTCTGATTGAGACGGATCCTTCACGTTCCATTGTGGAGGCTTATTTGACGTACATTAAGCCTGGGAATGACATCAAGAGCCGCATTGCGGTCATGGAGTCAAAAGAATCAGCCTTCGTCCCCATGGCCACCGCCCAGCGCAGTGTTCTTGAGCACACTGACCTCCCCGCTTCAGAGATCGCATACCATGAGTCCAGATCTATGATCTGCCACTTCATTTCAAACCTTTTCACTTTCCAGCGTGACGATGAACGCGTGATGCTAGGCGATATCAACAGAACGGACAAGATGGGGCAGCTCAAGACCCTCATCACCATACTCCCTGCAAAGGACTTTGACGACGAGAAGAATAAGTCTCTCATGCAGGACATCTCGCCCGAGGAGCCCAAGGGACAGGTTTTCCTGGCGATTGAGAGCACTGAATACTTGTGGAAATGGGGATGTCATTTCCTACCATCTTTGCTCAATGCGCATACTCGCCAGGTATGCAACTCGTTCAAGGATCCTGGACCTCTGCAGTATGGAACGGAGAGTCCCCTTTTCATATCCTGTCGTAATTCGCTTGATCAAATCTTCGACGATCTCCCCGTTCCAGAACCATCAATCGATATTCGCTCGCACTCCGGAATATCTCCTGTCGTCGCCAAAGCCAGGGCCAAGGTTCCTGTAAGCATGAGTGTTTATCGCAACAGCGCAGGCGTCTGCTTCGCAGCATCAACAGAAGTAACTTTAGCTTCCGGTCGCATCGTACAAATGCGCAAACTGCGTCGTGGAATGAAAGTCCGTACACCCCGTGGATCGCGCCGTGTCGCAATGGTTCTCAAAACACCCGTCGAGCAAGAAGTTCTCTGCCGCGTCGGCTCCATCCTCGTGACACCATGGCATCCTATTTCCAGTGACAGCAAGCGCTGGGACTTTCCCGCCAACGAAGCTACAGCGATTGTAATGTATACAGGCTGTATTTACTCCATTCTTCTAGAACGCGATGCAACTGTTGCTGCTCATGCTATTCGTGTTGGAGATATGTGGGGTGTTACTTTGGGTCATGGAGTTACGGCTGGGAATGATGTGAGAGCTCATTCGTTCTTTGGGGATTATAATTCTGTTGGAAAGAGTCTTTTGGGCCTTGAGGGACGAGGTAATGGGGTTGTGATTGGGAAAGGAGTTGAGAGGGATGGGGAGAGTGGACGAGTTATTGGGTTTTGTCAACCAACAAAGTGACTTAGACGAGGGTGACAGAAGTTAAAACATGGTGAAGACGTGGTTAATTGACTTAGTAGTTTTGTCACCATAATAACGAGTCGACTATAGCTCTCCATGGCATCATCGCGAATTAGAAGGATAACAAACACAAATAGCCACCAAGTCATAGACTGTTCTAATTAAAATGTGTAATTTTCCATATCTTTTCAAGCCGCCAGTTATGTCCTCTCAATGGACAATTCCATCAACTGTTTGATACAGTGACTAGAGTGGTCTTTAAGTGCTGAGATCTGACCTAGCGAGACCCCATTTTCAGCACACCCCCACCGATGACGTCCGAGGCAAAAATGACGGACTTCCGAACCCTCAACACCAACTTTCTCGGCTCCGGCGCTCTCCATTACCAATCCAACTTCTTCACTTTCTGTAATAACCTCCAACGCCCCTCAGCCGCCCAGACGTATCTCGACAACGTCGCGCCAATTACGATCCAAGCGTTAAGTTCTCACACACAGCACAATGTCATTACCGGCCAGAATATTACCGAGGTTACGGCCCTTCCTCTCAACATCACGAACAATCGTAAGCGCCGCACCAAGAACACAACCAGACCCATGGCCGCAAAACAGCCCCCTAGGCTCATACTACGACACTATCTTGCAAAGTCCCTCAACTCAACCCGCCGATAAACCCGAAGTACCGCCCAAATCCGCCGACGAAAGCGTTCAAGACGAATTTCCTACCAAACAAGCTACACAAACACCGCAAGAAAAGGCACGGCTGGTATTTGGTTCGCGCGTGCTGGGTCAGGCAGAGAAGGACGAAAGATTAGCTACGCGGAAAGCAAAAGCGACATACATCGCCGGTGTTCTCGTGCCGCCGAAACCCGAAGAGCCGGATAATTGCTGCATGAGCGGGTGTGTGAACTGCGTGTATGATCAATACAGAGATGAGCTGGAAGAGTGGCAATTAAAGAATGCCGAGGCGCAGGCTGCGCTGAAGAAGCATGAGGGGTCTGTGGATGCGGACGGGGGAGGCTCGGAGGCTAATTGGAAGGTGGGCGAGGCCAAGATTGCGAAGGACTTTTGGGACGACGAGTTGTATGCGAGCTTGCCGGTTGGAATTAGAGAGTTTATGAAGACGGAGAAGCAGTTGAAGCAGAAGCATGAGAGTGAGGGGCCGAAAGAGGGTTGAGCCGAGACGATATGAAGACGGTTCTACAGAGGGCTGAATAGGCGCGATGTGAGAGGGACGTTTTCGAGTAACGCACAGCAACACGAACTCTATCAGCGCAGGCATCGAACGATGCCAACGTTTAAGCGCAAAATCGCGATAGGTCTGCGCGCTTAGTGGACGAAAGATGAAGTTAGTCGGACGTTTTACGGACGATGAGGATTATATACCCCATGCATCCCAAGGGGGTGGGAAGAATAGAGTTGATACAATAGACCATAGATACCACACCCCAATTGGGCGTGAAGAACTGGAGTCCAGAGTTGTAGGCATAAATAGAGCGAGCCATCGTCCAACAGTTACTTTCTTGTCTCCCCAGAGATCGCATGTTCAGCGCTCGCAGCCCCAACTTGTACCAACCGAAGCAAAACGTAAGCACGCCTGCCCGTTGACTGTTAAAATAATCGTCTATACCCTCACGAGAACCCGTCCTGAATCTTATCGCTTAGGCAAAGACACCATGGACATCAGTCGTAAACGAAAACTTGACGACGTCGCCATGGCAGACTCGTCGGAGAACAACCAAGTGAACAGGCCAGCAAAGCAGTGGAAGGCCACAGTCCCCATGTTGGGAGATAGGGGGACTGGCGGCAATGGCTTTAACGAGCAGCGAAACGACATGCGATTGAACAGACCACCACAACAGTGGAAAGTCACCCTCTCCATCCCTGATACTAGGAGGACTGAGGGTAAGGACACTAACAACCGAGAAGAGAAGCAGAGCGATACCCACGAAGACGAGGCATCGCAGGAACAGGAAAAGGACACCACTGTGACGGAAGTGAACTGGACTTCCAATGAAGATAAGATTGCAGAACAGAGGCAGGACGACACTTCCACGAGGGATGAGGACAAGGAAAGTACAGGATCGGAACCTCTCACGATGAAAACAGACTGGACAACTGATGCAGAGACAACCCCTGAGGACGTGACCGCACCCCTGTCTGAGGATTCACTTGACGGCCACAAGGAACAGGAACAAAACCAGGAGAGGGAAAAAGTCTGGATTCCCACCATGATCATGACCGACACAAACAAGGAAGACCTCGGTCCCTATATGGCAGCCGGAATCATCACCATCTGTCTACGAAACGTCGACCTATACACAGTCAAACTCGGCGATGCCATCCACCAACAATACCATGTGCACCTCAGGATACATGAAGCTTTCCATGAGTGCTGGAAACGTGTGGCCTCCCATCTTGCTGCGAGAAGATGCAACAATCACGGAATCCCACACGCATTCCGTACCGAGAAGAGAAAGTACTACTCTTTTAAGTGGCCGGCTGTTTCGTTCAAGATCAATGACCCGGAGGATAAAGAGAAGTTGGTCGGTTTTGGTCAGGAGACTTTTCAGAATCTGCATCCTCATCATATTCGCGCCTTGGTCAGGATGTTCTGCTGCCTGAGAATCAGAGGGATGATGCTCAACAGCCCGAAGTTGCACGAACTTAGACTTTGGGTGAGATTCGGCTCGATGTCTCCCCCAAATGAATCCATGAACATGGCCTTGAACCGATTCGCCTACTTCGATCAACTATGGCGAGCGGCACCTTCAAGGATGGCGCGTTGGGCAAGGATAATGGGCGCAAGTCTTGCAATAATGCACTGGAAGTGCAATCTCGATGCTCATGGTGTCAACTTCAAGATCGCTCGAATTTCACGGCATTTCGTAGGTCTGGTGTTGACAAACTTTAAAGGCGTTCAGCCTTTTGATCAGGAGGCACCTTGCGCACAAAGTCTGGCGCTACGAATTGTAAGCAATCCTGTATGGCCAAGACCAGTCTCTGCGTTTTTGCCCCAACAGACGCAGTGCACTGAGCTCATTGATTTTGTATGGAAGTCTTTCAGTGATGCATACCTGTCGGCAAGCAAAAAGCTATTGTGGAAGCATGAATCAGAGCACGTCCAGGGTTTGCCCACTTCGGTATTGTCGTGGGTATGTCAACTCGGTGCTATCTAGTCCAATGTGCCCAAGGAACGTATGCTATGCCGTTATGTTAGTGGCAAAACATGCGTTGCACATTCGTAGCAACGTAGTGGCAACGGAGTGTTTATCGTTCGAGCTGAAAGCTCAAGATTGTCATTCGTCAAGTAGTTTATATGATATCTCTCGTAAATCTGTGCGCCATTTTCCCAACTCCAAATTCTCATAAAATACTTAGTTGCCCTTAGTCTGCTGGGCAGCGTTTCGGTCATGCTCGTCGATATCGATAGCCTCCCAGGGGTAGTTGATCCAGACGTCTCCGACAGTCTCGGCAGCGGAGTAACGGGTAGCGAGCATCTCGTCGGGGAGCTTGCCCTTCTTGGGCTTGTCCTTGTTCTGTGAAGAGTCAGTATATATGCGTAGCTTTGTTATTGTGGTACGTACGTGGAGGACAAAGATGCTGAACTGAGTCTTGGGAGCGGGGGCACCGTCACCCATGCGCTGACGAGCAATCTCAACGTCCTTCTCGAGCTCCTTGACGGCATACTCGAGGGTTGTGCGGGTGTCGTCAACCTCATCAACGATAAGGATTCGCTTTCCGACGAGGTTCTCCATCTCGCCGAGAGCGGTCAGGTCGAGCCACTGTGTTCGGGTGACCTTGGTACCGGGGGCCTCGACTTCATCGTTGCCGAGAGATTCGTAGAGGGAGAGGCCGATGGCCTGGATGGGGATGTTGGGAGCGCCACCCTTCTTGAGGAAAGATCGGAGGATTCGAGCAGGGACGTAACCACCACCACCGATGGCGATCAGAAGCTGAGGCTGGAAGTCGGCGAGGAGCTTCTCAGCGGACTTCTGGCACATTTTGTGCACCTGGAGGGCATGTCAGCAAGAGTTCAGTGCATTTTTTGCCATGCCGAGCAGGAATAATAATGAGGACGTAAAGGTGCGTCAAACCACAGATGAGACATGGTGCCTCATATCTGGTGGTATTGTCGCATCATGTCGGACATTTTTCATGATGCGCATCACGGCCCTCATCATCAAGGCGGGGTGGCGGGGTAGTAGTGGCAGGTCCTTACATCGTTGTATGTGACGTAGAGCTTCTCAACCATTTTGGCGGTTATTTATTGTAATCGTGGGATATATATTGAACGTCGAGCGACACAGAATACAGGAGTATACAGAAGAGTAAAGAAAATGGCGCGACGGGGGACAGATGAAGAGGAGAATTATATTACTGCCCAAGAAGCAAAAAATTAAAGACGGAAGAAAAAAATAAAATAGGGCCGAGGCAACCGCGCCCGCCCGGGGATGGATCTCCAAGCAATTTTTTTTCCATGGCAGGAAACGATGGACATGGGTCTCCACATGAAAGACCCGCCGTATCATCGGAAGTCGCCGGTAAGAATTAACGTGCTACCTAAATACGACTTCATGAGTTGTGAGTGGTGTTTGTAACACCAAGGTTGAGTCTCTATCGGCTACTTTGGGTTGTCGCGTTGTCACCAATCTGTTTCTTAAGCGAACCTGGAGAGAAGTAGATGAAGTGGACGAGAACCCGGTATTGCACAGTGAGACATACTTCTCATCTGTCTAAGATACCAGATGCAACATCAAATGCAGTTCATGACTGTCGATTGCTTGCCGCTCTATCACAAGCAGGGAACATCCATCCAAGGTTGCATTTACCGTCTGGAAGTGACCTACGATAAGCTTCTTCTGGATATATCTCACATACCAAAACCATCACCTAAAGTAACGAGGCTTAACGATGGGACTTTGCTTGAGGAAATCGAGCATCAGAATAGAGAAATGATGATTCAATGATTATGCTCCTGATAGCCAATTGCAATTTAAGCATTGTTCCTGTCAGCCTTATAGCGATGTTATGCTTTATTATTAGCATCCGAGCCCGCTAATTGGCTTTGTGCCACAATGGCGTTCCGAATTCAGAAAGCGGTGAAGCCCACTCTACAGACGCGACGAGTCCATTGAAGTAAACAAGTACCAATGCGACAACATCAAATAACGACAAATCATTGAAATCGACATTAAAAAATACGCCAAATGAAAAGACCATAAATCACCGGTCTCATTAATAATTTAAGAATATGGAAGAATCGGCGCCGAAGCGAAGGCGTACATCGCCCAGCACCTCACACAATGTCGGCGCATCAGAGCAAGAACCCGCGTCACCTCGAAGAAGACGTCCATCTTATGCTTCACCCACCATGGCGAGCATGTCACGGAACAACCCCGAAGCTTTTGAAAGAGCAAGATCAAGATCAAGATCTAGGTCACCGGTGAAATTACCGACCAATCGACGGTCGTCGGCATTTACTTTTGATAGCCCCTCGGAAGCTCTTGCTGCGCGCTTGGCGACGAGTAGGATCGTTAGTGATGCTCCTACGCCAACGCGCCCTGAGGATGGATCGCTTAGACGTGTGAGTGGTGGGATGGCTTCTGCTGCTAGACGTAGCCCGTCGAAGTCTGGAGGTCGACCTGCGCCTATGGAGGATGAAGGGTTCAATCCTTTTAAGCGTGGAGGATTGAGGAGATCACCGCCGGCTGGTGCACCTCAAGTAGCTGCGCCCGTTCCATCGCCAGAGGATGAGAACTTCAATCCGTTCAAACGTGGAGGACTACGAAGATCGCCGCCTGCTGGAGTACGAATGGATATTGATGCGCCGCCTGCTTCAATGCCTGAGCCTCAATTACCGCCAGCAGTACAAGCTTCGTCACCACCTGCTCCGCCAGCGTCCATGCCAAATCCTCAGATTGGACCACCTACGGATGAACCTATGGTGGAACCAGAGGACGAATCACCTGTTCCTTCAGACGAACCTGCGCCCCCTGAGGAACCGTCCATAGCCAGGTCTACTTCACCAGTCGCAAGTCCATCACCGGCTCGGTCATTCTCGTCACTTAATATCCAGCTGCCACCTCGATCGTCGTCTGAGGTCCGATCACCCTCTCCTGCTCAGTCATCACCAATCCAGAACCCAGCGCCAGAACAACAAGCCGAACCCGAACAAGGACCCGAGTCGGAGCCATCTTCTGAACCAGTGTCGGAACCGGTCTCGGAACCTGAGCCTGCATCTGCGCCAGCCCCCGAAGCAGGACGAGACTCACCAAGCCCACCACCACCTTTACCGGAATTCTCGCCCTCACCTCCACCGGCTTCTATGCCACCACCGAAATTACCACCTTTGTCCCAGTCAAACCCTCAAAACAAAGCTCCATCAGCATCACAGCCCGTACCTAGACTACCGCCGCCAGATAATGGACCACGAAAAAGCTTTCAAAACAGCCCGGTTAGGTTCCGTGAGCTATCACAGCAACGCGATTCACCACTGGCAAGACCACCCTCACGACTTTTCGAGAAGCCAAGGAAGACCTTCAACCAGGCCACATCAGGCTCTCAACAAAGAAAGCCAGTCGCGCCAACAGACACTGGACCAAGACAACCGCGCCCATTTGATCCCAATGCAGAGAAAAAGAAGGAACGAGAGAGGATCCAAAAAGAAATTGAGTCTCTGCAGAAGGATCTTCAAGTCGCACAAAGGGAGAACGAGCGTATTCGCGTAATGCAAGAGTCTGGTCGCACTCTTGCGCCTACAGATCAGGATGAAGTCATCGACTTGATCCAGCGACATCTTATGGATGGAAATGCGGAGCCTGCCCAAACAGCAACGAAGTCGTTACTACACGCAGCATTAAACCCTACTGCCATGCTACCATTCGGCAAGACTATTGCCCCAGCACCCTCGACGCCTGTCGAAGATAAGTTGGCATATATCAAGTCGCATTACCCCGTCCCAATGACGGCAGACGAAGAACTGCCTTATCTCCAGCTGTTTACACCATTCACGGCATCGTCTACTATCTCGATTCTGCAGCAAACCGACGACGAGCCTTTCAGACAGCGTCATTCCATAGTCCTTCGATCGCGCGAGATCCCTGGAGTTTTCACAGCCAAGGTTGAGATGACTGTCGATCCCCTTCAGCTTTCGGTCCTCGATCTTAACGTCACGACGTTAGAGCCCGCTGCAAAGCCTGAACTCGGCCCATTTGTTCAGAAGATCTGCACTGGCGACTGCAACCGTTCCATGCAGCGCAATGTGGGTATTCTGTCTTGGGCAATGGGAGAGTGGCTTCGCATTGCTGTCGAGCGAGCAGGCTTTTGGTGTCAGTTGGAACAAACTCTGGGTACCAAGGATGGCATCTCGGAGGCTACAAGGCAAATGCGCACCAGAAAACCAAGAAGGAGAAAAGACGACGATGAAGATGAAGACATGGACGAGACAACACGAATCGAGTTTGTTAAGAAGGCTGACCTTATCCGCTATATGGGCCAGCAACATTTTGACCTATCGATACCATACAACGATGCTGGGGAATCCGGTGCTACTATACGGTTAAATTGGGTGGTAGACTTTGACTGGACGGGAGAAGCACAAAACAAACTCTCCGTCCTGGTCGGCGCCCCAGGCAAATGTGAGTACAGGCCACTTCCATCGCATTAAGCTTTTACTAACGACACATTTTAGGGCACCAAACAGACGAACGCGGAGTTCTTGGAAAGATCCCCAAGCTTTTTGAAGAACTTGTACATGGCCAAGGAGACACAGAAACAGCTATACGAACAATCGTGGCGCTCATTGCCGGAGAGCAATCATGATGGAGTTATATAGATCACGTATGCATTGGGTCCAGGAGTCTTTTTTGCGCAGGCCGCACCAGATACCAGATTATTGTAGATTAAAGTAATTGATCCTCAACAGCCAAAACACCTCCAAACCCCATTTTTATCCATTCAGATCATCGTCGAGAGGTTGTTCGATTAGTCGACGGTGACGCCGAGCTGTCGCAGCTCAACCTTGGCCTGCTCAATCTCCGCTGTGAGCTCCTTGTGCGCGTTGGGGACATCGTTGAAGGTGAGGATGCCGAAGCCGAGACGGAAGAGAAGGTATGCGCCAAAGGACACAAGAGCCCAGAAAGGAAGCTGCACCAAATATTAGTAAACAATTCGCCAGTCATTTGCAGGGTTGAACGTACCACGGGGACGATCTGCTCCTGGATCAGGGGAGGAAGAGGGATGAGCTCGAGGAAAAGAGCAAGGTAGAGCTATCACAGTCAGTATTTATCGATCGATCAGAGATTCGAGGGTGTTTGTACGGAGGAGACGAGGAGGGCGAGAGAGATGGTTTGCTGAGCGCGAGTCATCTTGGCGGTGTTGATTAAGGAGCGTGAGTTGAGCGATCGCGGGGCGTCGATTCGATTGCGATTGATGGTTGAGGAGACGTGTATAAGTTGTCAGGGGTCGCGTGGTGGAAATTCCCGATGACTAAGGTGGGGAAGCGGGTGTTAGGTAATCATGCAGGGGGGCGTTGACTGCAGTCGATGTTTGGAACGCCTTCAGCGTTTGGAAGAGAAATTGTTTGTCCCTATTCTTGCAGAAGACCTGAACGTCTTTTCGGTAATTTCAAGGCTGCAAAGATCGTCGTGTCAAAGTTGTAGGGAAGGTGGCTCAGGATCTATGGCAACAGACTGCCCAGGTTCAAATGGCTACCCTGGACAACTTCCACAGTGGCCAGGTACACCAACCTATTGAAGAGGAGATACTTTCAGACCAGGGGCAATGATCGATTGAAAGAGACCCTGGATATTAAAGAATATCCTAGACATGGACCGGTAGCCATTCTGAAAGGCTAACGAACGCCCGATTGTGAAGTGTCATATTTCGTTAGCTCTCATGATGCCAACCGTGATCATGGTTTGTAACAGTCGAATCAACGGGATCATCCTCATAGACTAAGATATGAACACGTTTAACCTACCATTCTCTATAGGATATTAGCCTTTCGATGCAAGGTGAAGCTTTCCCACTAATCTGACCACAACAGCCTTAGTATAGCGGGTTAAATGTTGGAAATCAATTCAACGATTAAGGTTACTTGTCACATTATAAATATTTGTGAAACGTCGGCAGAGAAAGAACAAAGACCTTGGCCTTGTTTTGCCAAGTTGGTATATACTGACTACCACATGAGGGATGGTAAGCCTGTCTAGTATTTGTTGTCTACTGGTGCAGAACGTCTTGAGATATGTAAGCTGCCGCCTACCTTACTTGTCTAAAGACCATTTGGATTCTATACTGAATTGTGAATCACAGTCTCCACTCCTGCCTTCTCTTGATTGATTTCAGTATCCCCTTCTCCTGCCTAATCCTTTTTTAACCCTCTCACCTCATCTCTTCTCCCATTTCAGCAAACACGGATCTTCTCCCTTTCACCCTACCTCACACCTTATCTCTTCTCACATCTCAACGATACGGATATTCTTCTTTCACTCCTACAAACTCACAGTTCCGCGATTAACACTCTTCATCCTCCTTACTTTACTACCTATCCTCTCCCATTCTTTCTTGCATCACATTTCCAATCATCGCTCAACATCTTTGAAAATCTTCCCCCCTTCACCATACACCATGGAGGCTGGGGGAAGAGCGCTACCGAAGCCTATTAAGCGCGAGGCCTCGCCAGGCTTTGACGCCGGAACCGACAGCGCGATTTCAAAGCGCCAGTGCGATGAGGCATCTGGCATAGTTCATCCTCAGATCCAGTTCCCGTGGCAAACTTGCCGAGATCTGGACGATGTTGAGCGCCTAAAGATCAAAGAGAAGGCTGTCCGACAAGCCAGAAAGAACTGCCTAAGAATCAGTCGTTTACTTAAGGGTACCATGGAGCAGCTCAAACAACGACAAGACGCAAAGTATTCTGTTATGATGGGAGAGAACATCATCAAGCAGTGGTGTAACGATTATGGCGAGTACTACTCCGAGTATCTGATGCTTCTTGAAACTTTGACTAATATTCGGAAAGACAAACTTTGCAAATCGAAGAACAAACTCGAGATTCTAGTAGGCGTGGAGGGTCCTACTGGTGCTGGAAAGTCGTCATTCTTGGGATGCCTTTTGGGCATTCCTGAATTGTTCCCAGCGGGCCAAGAAGCTGCCTCCACTGCTGTTGTCGGCAAAGTATCGTGGAACTATTCGAGCAACTGTCATGACAAGTTTCGGGCTACAATCGTGTTTCGAAAGAAGGCTGAAGTCGAGAATGACTTGGTGTCTTTGCTACTGGAGATCAATCGATCAGCTGCTCTCGAAGATAGCGACTTTGGCGAAGAGGATGACTCCATAGAAGGTCTTATCGCCGCCAAGATCGAATCAAAGGAGAGGATCGACTACGAACTTCCCAAAGTCAAAGCTGTCTGGGGACTTGATAAGCACGGCGTGGTGGAGCTCGCACAGCAGCACTCTGATGAGCGCACTTACAGCGAGATAGTCGCAAGTATACTGGAGACAAATCCGGATGCGCTCCAATACCTTGATGCTGGTGAGGAAATGGTGAGCAGCGGGACTGCAATTGAACTGGCGAACATCATCAAGCCATTTCTGGACTCGACCTCCCAAAGCAATGGAGATGGAAATCGTTGGTCTACATGGCCGCTGGTCAAAGAGGTTCAGATATACGCCAAAGCCGATATCCTCAAGTCTGGAATCACTCTAGTTGATCTTCCTGGTTGCGGAGACGCGGTGGCTAGCCGTTCTGATATCGCCCAAAAGTTTGCTCGTCGACTGGATGTGAGAATGGTGGTCAGTCCTATTATTCGAATGGCAGATGAGAAGCAAGCACAGACTCTCATGCAGAATGGCTTCGAGCAAGCACAAATGAGGATCAGTGGAAAGCTTGATGGGAACGGGTTCGCCGTTGTTGGATCGAAAATAGACGATCTAAAGGTTGATACTTATATCAACGACTGCATGGACCTCCGTGACGACGTGGAGCTTCGCAAGAGCCAGACTAGACTCCACGCACTCATCAAGAAGCAGGCAGACCTGAAATCCAAACAGTCGCTGCTGAAGGAGACCAGCAAGAAGGCCAAAAGTGCTGAGAGGGGCGCAGCGAAGCAACTTGCGAGCACTCTGAGAAAGCCTGCATTTAGTCACAAGCGTAAGTATACCCAACACACTGGAAACAACTACTAACATTGAGAAACAGTGAAAGAACTTGAAGCCAAGAGAGACAAAACAGCCATGGATTCTGATGAAGCGGACAAGGCACTTGAACAAAATGAAAATCGTCTAGAGCGAGCTACCCAGGAGATATTGTACCTGAAGCATTTCATCCACCATCGAGCTATATCTACGAGAAACAGACGTGTCATGTCGAACATTCGAACCAGTTTGGCTCGTAATCTTGAGGACAAAGACGACAGGAAGAAGCCTGTACAATCGCAAGGTGAACTAGACTTCTTTCTTCCCATCTTCCCTGTATCAACCAGGGCGTTTTGGGAACTGGAAGACAGTCAAAAGGCAATGGATGGATTTCCTACTCCCAAGTTTACTGGAGTCCCTGCTGTTAAGCAGTGGCTTCACAGAGCCACAATGAGTAAGCGCGAGAAACACCTGGACGAGTCGTTGGACGGCTACCAAAGCTTGATAACAATGATGCGAACCTACTCTCAACCAACTGGCCATGATGGTGAGTTTACATTTACAAGGCAAGATGTCGAGCACGCGCTTGCTGCGACCCATGAAACCTTTGAACATGTAAGTGAACCCGTTCGACAACCTTATAAACTCTCTAACACTCTGTTCTAGAGATTGGGTCAAACACTCGCCGCAGCATCATACAGAATCGACAAGCTCAATCCACTCAAGAAAAAAGACAAAGCCATGAAGAGATTCATAGCAGAAGCCGAAACGATTGTGTCCAAGTGGGGAAAAAAGTTCCCTGACGACGCTGACAACGATGCCAAGATAACATGGAATACTTATGGTGCAAACATTTCTCGCAAGGGGACGGCCTGGACGACGAAGGGCAACCCACCTATTAGATATAGTTGGATGGAGAATCTGTGAGTCAAATTATTCCCTCCCCGATAGGCCTCGACTAATACATTCTGTAGAGCTTCGCCTGTGGTGGAAAGCATCAGCAAAGACTGGGACGCACAGATGAACAAAGAGTTACCAAAGCTCAAATCACTGATGATGGCATATTTCTCGCTGACCTGGACTCAATACCTGGACCAGCTTCATGAGGTCCTTAGATCAAAGGTACCGTCCCTTGGTCACAGGTTCAGCATCATACGACCGAACCTGGACCGCTCCCAGCGAGCAACCGAGACAAAGATCCTCGGAACTCTCAACGATCTTTCTCAAAAGACATCGAACGTCGTCTTCGATGCTGTCAACTACCTAAATCAAGAGATGAGATCGACGTTTCAAGCGGCCCTGACTATCAGTGAGTAATGCCAGTGATCCTGGAAGTATGGCAGAGTGCGCAAAGCTGACTAGAGCATGAAGCTGGAAAGAAATCATTCGCGAATCGCAAACACCTAATCTTGAGCAAGGTGCAGAACGATGTCCAACCAATGTGCAAAGAAATGATCAAACGCCTGGAGGATGGACTCGCAGAAAGGAAGGCAGTGGTGCCAGATCAACTGCGGAAGATAGCCGGAGAAGCAATCGCCGGCGTCCAACGGCAATTGTCATTTCTGGTCAACAATCTTGTGGAGAACTCCCGGCATGATCTGGAGATGCGCGCGAAGAAATCTGAAGTTCAGAAAACAATCCGTGACATGATCGCAAAGTGGGAGAATGATTGGACTGAGAAGGGTAACCTTGGCAGTCACATTCTGGACGAAGATCTCAGCATCCCAGACATGATCCCCAAGCCCGACTTTGAGTATAGCGATGTGGAGGAAGACGAGGAAGAACAACTGGAGGAAGACACTATGAGCGTGGATGAGGACGAGATTGATGATATCAGCGTGGAAGACGATGATCCCAATGACAAGGACTTCATCTGCGGACGTTGAGTTGCTCAGATGGGAGCGAAATTCAAGTCTGGCTTGAACATGGGAAGATTGAGCAAGGTTACTTGGAACATTTTAGTGGGAAGTGGACGGAGAATTCGCTTGGGAATTTGCTAGATGAGCATTGCGCGCAGAGACGATGAGATTTGAGGACCATGATACCCCCAATTGCCCCAGATACCCCAGATACCCCCAATTAGCACAGAGCACATAGACACACACCTAAATTGAGATTGACAACATTCACTGAGATAATACTCGCCTGCTTTGTCCTAGTCCTGATGTGTTGGCAGTATCGTGGCCGCTCTTAGTAGTAGTTTTGCTATATACCCAAGATAGCCGTCATTGGCATTAAGCTCACAATATATTAACCTTAATTTAGACTCATGGAGGCTGAGTTCCATTGAAACAACCCGTGCCAGTCGTTTCCGAAGCAATGTTAGCTGTCGCTTATTGTTATCCTCACGGACTGTACGGTCGAGTGTCTCAGCTGACTACCTCCGCAAAGATCTGCAAAGCTGAGCTTGGCAGTCAGCACCCCTCACGGTGGCTTTGTCCGGAGATGTCCACGGAGCTCCTCTGTACCTATCAACATCTCTGAGAGTACGCTGTCAAGAAAATACAACATACGCGGTCGGGAGGCTGTGAATGAGAGCATCACCGCCAAGGACCCAACAGACGAATTAATTGAGACAACTTCAGGCTGAAGTTTAGAGTTTTTATTCTGGCATCAAGACAATTGCATGGAGAAAGGCCAAGATGTGAATAGCTTCGGGGGCGGAGAGCTTGGAGATGCAAGTGAGAGTGAAGGGTATATCGTGTCAATTGTATCGTCTTGTAGTGAGACTGAAGGGTATATAAGAGATTGTTCATCTGTACTTTGGGAATGGAATTATCTAGCAGAGCATCTCTGAACAAGCACTCTTTCCTATATCTCCTATTTTATCATGGTTATCAATCGTTTCAAAGTCGCCGTCGCGGCTGCTTTGGCTGCTGGCTCGACTACCTTCGCTACTAAAGAAGAGGTCGGTTGCCAGTCTACTAAGGACGTCGATGTTTACGACTACGTCATTGTCGGGTCTGGTCCAGGAGGTGGTTCTCTTGCGTGAGTCAAAACTCCATCTTCTACACCCAAGAGATAACAGGGTGGCTAATTTGGTTGCAGTGCAAACCTAGCTCAAGAGGGACACTCGGTTTTTCTCATCGAGGCTGGAGGTGACAACCATACCAGTCTCAACGAAGAATTTCCCTTACTGTGAGTTCAGGCCATTCCCTGCGTACTCAAATCCCGAAATTAACCCATTTGTAGGGCCAGAACTGCTGCCGAGACGCCTGGCCACTCGTGGCAGTTCTTCGTTCAACACTACGAAGATTTCGAAGCAGCCCGTCGCGATCCCAAGTACACCTACATCCAGACCAATGGATCCTACTATGTTGGTCTTGACCCACCCGAGGGAGCCAAACCGTGAGTAATGCTGTGTTTCAGAGCGAGTGTGAAGCTGACTGTGATAGTGCTGGTCTGTATTATCCTCGCGGCTCGACACTGGGTGGCAGTGCACAGGTCAATGCTATGAACTTTGCCTGGTCTCCTGACAACGAGTGGGATTACATTGCGAATATCACAGGCGACAAATCTTGGGGTCATGAACATATGCGACGTCATTTGATGAACCTCGAGAACTGTACCTATGTTCCCGAGGGCAGCCCTGGCCATGGCTTCGATGGATATCTGGTGGTAAGCAGTCCTTAGATTCCCGTGATAGCAAAGATGCTGACATTATCAGAACGACCTAAGCAACGCGACCGTCAGGCTCGGTAACCCTAACGTCGCCAACCTCTACCAGCAGATGTTCCGCGAAGTAGAAGGCATCGACGTCGAAGATATCACTGAAATGACCGACCTCTTCACTCGTGACCTCAACGGCCCTGACCCCGACCGCTACAAGAATGGTCAATTGTTCAGCACCCCCAGCGCGATCGATCCCAGCACCGCAGCTAGAAGCGGCGGTGGCATCTACATCAACAAGGTCATCGACGCCGGCCATCCTCTGACTGTCAGCTTCCACTCCCTCGCCACAAAAGTCCTCCTCAAGCAGGGAAAGAACAAGAAGCCCAAGGCATTTGGCGTTGAGTACATGGTCGGAGAAGGCCTGTACTCTGCTGATGGGCGCTACGATCCCGAGCAGAAGGGTGAGGTGAAGAAGGTTTTTGCTAAGCATGAAGTTATTGTGTCGGGCGGTACATTCAATACCCCTCAGATTCTCATGCTTAGTGGTATTGGGCCGAAGGAGGAGCTGAAGGCCTGGGATATCCCCGTCGTCGTCGATCTCCCTGCTGTTGGCTCCAACCTGCACGACAACTACGAAGTTCCCCTGCAAATACGCGCCGAGCAGAACTGGTACGAGACCCCTGAGTCGCCGTGCACCGGTGCTTTCAACGACTCAGACCCCTGCTTCGTCCAGTGGCGCGACAACGCTGCCGGTCCCTACGCCGCTCGCGACAGCACCTACGGCGCCATCTGGCGAACGAGCCAAAGCTGGGATGAAGACGCAGACCTCATGTTCCTCAGCGGGCCCGGCCTCTCAGGCCTAGTCGGTTTCTACCCTGGCTACTCCAGAGGCGAACTCTCTGGCGAAGACCCGATGTACTGGATGCACGCTGTGGTAAAGATGCAAACATCCAACAGCGCCGGCACAGTCCGTCTCAACTCTTCCGATCCACGAATCCGCCCCAACATTAACTTCAACTACTTCTCCGAATCCGGCCCGCGCGATCTAGACGCTATCGTCGAAGGTATCGAGATGCTTCGCCGCGCATTTGACGCCACTGGTATTCCGTACACACAGCTTAGTCCCGATCCCGAGAACATGAGGCAGGGTATTCAGGATACGGCGTTCAGCCACCATGCTTCTTCGACATGCGCTATGGGCAAAGACAAGGAGAACTCTTGTGTGGACTCGAGGTTCAAAGTTTGGGGCGTTGAGAATTTGAGAGTTGTTGATGCTTCAGTGTTTCCCAGAAGCCCTGGTGGTATGCCTAATGGACCTACCTGGACTATCTCCAGGAAGGCTTTTGAGACGCTTTTGGAGGATAACCATAAGCCTAAGAATGGGACTGGTAAGTGGTAGGCTGGCGGATGAGTCTACTCTCGAAATTAAGAAGCATGAGATTGCGGTATGGGCGGGGTGATTGGGTAGAGTGAGATTAGAGATTGTTTACAGTAGATTGAGTCTTTCCTTTGTTATAGAAATGAGACGGATATTGGTAGAAACTGGACTTTCCTTCTATATAGATCTAAATATTACTTCACTCCTTTACCAAAACGCCTCTATCCTGCCCGAAGCAAACAATAACAACGAAAACAAAAAAGAACAAGACAACTTCTTAATGAACCCAGCCCTCCTTTCCCATAGTTTCTCTTGTCCAATCCTCCAACTTCTTAGCCAACTCTGCATTCTTCGCAAAGCCACTCTCCCACCAAGGCTCACCAAACCGATGGTAAATCTCAAGATACTGTCCACTCTGCTCGGCCTTCATATCCGGGCTGGCAGCACAGTAGAGGCTGTTCCAAGAGCCCTTATCAGCAGACCAGAGCATTCTGAAGCAGCGGAGTGCGCCGACTAGGTTCAGCATACCCTTCTCCGCAGGGTCGACGGTGGTTGCGAGGTTGGTCTCCACGAGGCCTGGGTGCACGGAAGTGACCCAGATCTCACCTTCCTTGTTATCTGAACCGGGACCGTATTTGTTGTGAAGGGTCTTGGTGTGGAGAACGTTGGCTAGCTTGCTTTGGCCGTAGCGCTCCCAGACGCCTTGGTCTTTGAGAGTGAGGTCCTCAAAGTTGATACCGGTCTTGGGGGCGCTCAAGTGGCCTGAGGAAGTAAGATTCACGATTCTTACACTTCCAGCAGGCAAGTCCTTTGCAGTCTTTTGCATCACAGGAATCAAATGCTCAGTAAAGACCCATTGCGAGATGTAGTTGGTCTGCCACTGGGCCTCATGGCCATCCTTGGTCATATCGAAGGGCGTAGCCATGATACCAGCGTTATTCACAAGACCGTGTAGAGATGTTTCGAGGGTGAGGAAGTGCTTGGCCGCTGTGACGACGCTGGAAAGATCCATAAGATCCATTTGTAGAAGGTCGACTTTTGCTTCGGGATGGGCTTTCTGGATTTCGGAGATGGCTGTGTTGCCCTTCTCGAGGGAGCGGGTGCACATGTAGACTTGGGCGCCGTGGGCTGCGAGGTGTAGGACTGTGTAGTAGCCCCTTTGAAATGTTAGTTGGATATTCTATGGCGGTGGAGGTGGTGAGTGAGGTAGTGCTTACATTCCAGCATTACCGCCAGTGACGATGAAGACTTTGCCTTCGAGACTGGGGAGGTTGTCAGGGTGGAAAGACATGATGTGTAAGAGTGAGCTTGAGGTGGGTATTTGAGCTGGATGTATGGGAAGATGCAGAGAGATATCAGAAGATGATGTTCAAGTGATTGTGTTGAGCTGTTGATGATGAGGATAATACCAGAAAGGCGAGGATAACTGCGATATTTATATTCATCTTTCCAAGGGCTCTTGGGAGCATTCTTTCCTAGAGCACGGAGCTCCGTTCTTCTGGATGTGAGCAACTTGCACGTAGTCCAAGCCATCCATGTCGATGTGAACAGCCTGCATGCACTACTGTATCTGGATGCCAAAATAACCGAGCCAGCAAATGGCCTTAGAATCCATGAACTATTCTGTCGCTCAGATTATCTCCGGCTGTCTTTATACCCGGCCTCGCTGAAGAGTGAGCAACCTGCATATCAAGGCTTTAACCCGAAACGAACAAAGTTCCAACCGTTGGTGAGCAGCTTGCATGACGCTAAGCCAAGCCAAGTTGGTCACCCGCAGGGTGTCAGAAGAATGAACCGTCATAAGCATAAGAGACGAAATAACTTAGGTCATCTTATGCTGATTTAGACAAGGATTTAGACTAATCTTTATTGATAGCCTAATCCTTAGACGACATTATTTCTGCTACCCACCAGGTTTACCTCCAGATGACAACCAATAGCACAATGGCACTGTCTGCGCCTCATGATCCTTCGCTTGATAATGGTGAGTGAGCAGACTGCATATTCAGAGACAAAGCAATTCCCCTCATTCTTCATCATCAGCAACATGAGTACGCACGGGATAGAGCTGGCTTCCATGCCGCAGCTAGTCGAGGTTCGTACTAACGTCCCGGTGTTCTGTGGCTTATTGATCGAATATAGGCGATAAGGAAGGAAGATGACTGGACTGGGACAAAAGATGCTGCTGCGAGAAGAAGAGCGCAGACTAGACTCAACATGAGAGCGTATAGTGAGTAGATAAGTTGCTTTCTTATGCCATTCTAATGATCGGGTAGGAAAACGTAAAGCTCTAGCGAAAAAAGCTGACGATATGTCACTCGTCAAGCAAGAGACGACTATTGATTTCTGGGATATCAAACAAGGACTCATGTCGAGTGTTGCGGCATCTAATTCCAAGAAAGTATACAACTCCAAAACGCCACTGCTGCCACATGGAACAAAAATTAACCAGTCAAAAATCGTCTTCCCTCTCTGTCCAGACCATCTCATCACACTCCTCCAATACAACGCCCTCCGCGCTCTATCCGTCAACCGCACCCTAATATCAGGAATTCTCTACACACCTCTCGAATGCGATCAGGAAGTCATCCACGTAGTTCCCTACCCATCAAACCCCTCGTCCGTTCCAGCCGCACTTCTCCCAACGATTCTTCAACAGACGGTCCCTCATGGAGACTGGGTTGATTTATTCCCCTCTCCAGAAGGCCGTGACAATCTCATTCGTGCTCTGGGGACTTTTGATGAAGATGAGCTCTGGGCTGACTGTATTGGCGGGCTGTATGAAGGATATCCGGATGATGAGATGGAGAGAAGGGGTATGATCGCTTGGTCGCCGCCGTGGGATATTTCGGGGTGGGAGATGTCGGAGGGTTTTGTTGAGAAATGGGGTTGGTTGTTTAAAGGTTTATCAGGGCCTTTTGAAGCGACGAATCGATGGAGGATCAAAAGAGGTGAAGAGCCACTCTCTCACACGTCTTAGATCAAAATTCGGAGCGCCGGGAACAGCCTTCCCGAGTCCTGCTGGGAGTTGCAAAACTCACGCCACCAAGCAAAGTCACTCGTTTCGTATACAAGTGGTTCCGGAAAGAGGCTGTCCCTTTGATGTCTGAACATTCCCCCTGTCGCTGGGCAAGCCCAACTGTGAGTATCGCCTTGCGCGATCCTGCGTATTCTATGCTTGTCTTCCCTCTGCAGATGATGAAGCCTGCAATACTTCACAGCTCCCAGTAGCCCACCATTTGCTGGTCTTGCGGATGGGTCTCTTGGCCTCGAGCACTCACTGGGCAAGACAGGAACTATCAGGATGTCCTTCTTGTAGTTGAACCATGTCCGTTGCTTACACTTTCGTGCCGCGAAGGTGAGCTCGTAGCCTTGACCCATCAAATAGTCACGGGATTCGCGACATGTGTGCAGGAGGGGTGGTATTTGGGTCGCGCTGGTAAAGTACACCCTTTCGTCGGGAGTGCTATAGGGTCCAAGGGTTGATGGTGAAGCAGAGACATTCGAGGGAACGGGTAGGGACTCATCAAGGTCTTCGGCAGGGTCACCGTGGCCTCGAAGGTAGACATAACGGGGTGGTGTGGCGAATAGATATATCTTGTAACGCAGCTCCGGAGGGAGGATAGCGAAGGAAGGACGCTCCATGGTGAATTTGATGTTGAGTTCTGGTCAAGTGTGCAAAGACGAGGGAAGGATGGCGAAGGCACGAAGCGACGCTTCACATTCAGGTGAAATTGAAAATGATCGGGGGGGTCAGTTCCGTCGCTTGTAGTTGATCGGAATGTTCTGTAGCTTGGATGTTGGAGAGAAAAGCCCGCGACTGGCTTGGAGGAAGCAAAGTCTTCTTTATAAACCTAAGGATCATCAAGTTGCAGTACAGGCAGGTCTCCAGGATTTAGCTTCCAACTGAAAATGTTTATTACTAAATTCATCGACGAGAACTTTGAAAAGTATACACAGAACTGTGTGCTTTTTCTGAGGATATGGATCAGTACTCGAGCCAAAATCAACATAAAGTTCACACAAAACATTTGTGGTCAGGTTCGTGCTTTAATACCTCAGATAAGTAGTAGGATTAAGGATGCGGGTTTGTGTGTTGGCGCATATGGAGTCCTTTTGCAAAGTCTCTTGACTGTTGGGATGCGGGAGTTTTTGAAAATCGATGTTGAGTCTCACTTGAATAACTTTGATGTACTCGAAGCATTGCCACGTACCCAAGCTGAAGGAATCGACATGATCGTCGTAACCATCCACGGGTCAGTCGTTGTCCGTGCTACAAGAACTGGACGGCTGGGTAGACCGCGGTAGTAGCAATGCTTCTCATCGTCGTAACGCAGCGCTGCTGCCATTTAATAGAGGGAGAAGGACTGACGGCACCCACTGGCTTCTTCCCAAACAACTATCACAATGTCCACAGCTTGGCTTGCTGATCCCATCGTAGCCAGCTCCTGATCAATAATCGGATACATGTTTAAGACGAAACGTACCTGATATAATAGCGAGTGAGCTGGAGCCGAGGCTGGAGAAGGACTTGGGTTCTTGTCCTGACCAGGTTTGGGAGTTCATTGTGGCCGAGTGTGGCAGGCCTTCGGCGAGCCGCAGCATCTGTTGGATTGTGTTTGAGAATATGTAATATGTCGGGATTGGCAAAGCGGGTGGGGGATCAAGATTGGCCGATTCCCGCATTTCAGTAGAGTAGGGTCTTGCTCGATGTGTTCGACGCGCCCGTCACGCGGCACATGAAGGAGAGCCCGAACCTCTTCATCAGCAAACTCGGATTCGACCGCCACCTGGGCACGCTGTCGTTTGCGCAGATCCTGCAGCTGACCGAGCCGAGGCAGCACGTCCAGGTCTGGATACCCGCCTTCACGAAGATCACGAGAAAGGTCAACAACTTCCCGGCGGCGATGAAGACCGGGCCGATCGCCATGGTCCTTAACCGGAGGACCACCACCCCTGCCCCGTCGGGACCCTTGACGACCATCGAGGACGAAACCCTGAGGACGTACATTCGAGAATTGATTGCTGGTTGTATACCTGGAGGATGCAAGTCGCAGGGGATTGTCGCGCTGTGGAAAAGCTGAGGACTCGCCTGTCCGCCTCGGTCTTGTACACCACAGCTGCCATCTGTGTCTGTCTCTGTGAGACTCGTTCAGGCTGGTTTTACTTCCGTAGTCCAACAGGTTTTCCTATCCACCTTGCTGGACTTAGACTAGACGCATATGTGCTCAGAGTCGATACAATTTGGGATGTGGAAATGGTTACTCGTATATGACCCCTGATCCAACAGCTGTCGCATGCTCTCGTCGATGTGGTGTGTAATCACCACGAGGCAACGGCCGCACTGCAGTTTTGCCGGGTTTTCTTTGTCGCTGGACTTGGATGAAGTACTGTCTACCGGTGCCCTTGAAGTCGGGCTGTGGCCGTCTGCTGGATTTTATTATGTCAATCCCCTCGCGAGCCATGTTAGCAACCTAGGCCGATCCATCTTCATCTGTCACAAGTACACCCAAGACTGCCAGATCCCGCGCAACGATGTCCAGGTGATAAAGCTCCATCTTCTTATTCTCGTCTTTGGTGAACGGGATCCAAAGACTAACATTTCCCCGGCAGAAGGCAAGTTGTCATTCAATATGCAGCAAAGGAAGGGTCCGTTATAGACATCACAAAATTAGCTCGCGCAATGCTACAGTTGCAATCCGTGACGTACATACGAAATTCGAGATAAGGAAGTTGGCGTCTTTCAATCCGTTCCGAACTTTTTCCATTCCCACTTGTGCCTATTTTCCTTATACACAGCTATTCACGCACCTTCAGCCGGGCCTGGGTTCGCAGAGTCTCCTTCAATGTCCATCGTATCCGCATTTGCGTGGGTGAAGGCGACGTGGAACTCAGAAATGGCGGCGACGCAGGGCTAAGCTGGTGACGACACGAGAGACGACGCCTCAATTTCTCCGTGTTCAAATCTACCAAATCGGATTGAGGCTTAAAGCACACATTGAGGCGATGCGGTCGCCCCGGCGGAAAGAAGGTTTCCCAACTGTGCTAGGGCTGTATTGCCACGTGTTGTCAGCCCCGATATGGTCAAGCTACGAGCTACGATTGAGAACTCTTTCCTCAACTAAAGCAAGGAGACCGTTGACCTTAAGCCTCAATTCGATCCGATTCCGTAAACTCTAACGTCGTTGAATGCTGTCGTCACCAAACGTGACTCGTAGTTTACCCCACAGTTGATCTACGATGTGAAACTTGGTGGACGATTGGACTGCAGACAAAGCACGATTCATGGCGTGAAACATAACCCCTTACGCTAAGTTACAAGCTTAAGGGCTTCTACAGAATTCTTCGGGGCCTGGACTGAGCCATTTGAAGTTTGCGCCGTAGAAGTTTCGGGTAGCTGTAGGTTAACCTTGGAAGTCTCCAAGCAGTAAACCCAGAGAGGCATCATGCCGAGGTCAGGCACACATTGTTACAAGCCTTGGAGACTAATTTATCTGCTACCCAAAGGCACAGTTCAAACAGCAGGCACCTGGCAGGCCTGGATATACGGATACACTATGAAACGTAAAAATGTCTGAAGAAAGAAAAAGAGGAAACTGGACAAATGCACCCCGTGACGGAATATTTTGTTTGTCGCGCCGAGCCCAGGGTCCATCCGTCATCCATGTAATACCGGAGATAATAAAAACAAAAGGCGTTTGTACTGTAACTATTCTAGGAAAAGTAACACGTCATTGAGGAAATATTGTCCTGTATTACAAACAATAGTGTCTGTTTTGTTTACATGGGACGGAAACGAAAGAAAAGCAAAGAAAACAATTAGAAAATGAGGCTTTCCGCCCAATGCGACGCAACAGGCGACTCGGAATAAGACCTTCAGGGGCAATCGTGAACGTGAACTGGGATCAGCCACGGTGGGAAGGGTCCGATGGGCCCGTACCTGGACTGTGGACTGCGCTACTGCTACGGTACGACGCTATTTCTGATGGTGGCCTGGGGGAGAAGAGATGGGATGGCACTGTAGCAGTACAGATGTGATCGGGCATGCATTTTACCTGTGAGCATATTACTTGCGACTTCAATCACAAATGATCAGACAATCATCAGACGAACCCATCATAAAACTCAAACAAAAGACAAGGCTTCTGCAGACAAACCCAGGTCCCTGGCTCCTGGAGCAAACTCGTCACAGCAACCAGTGGATAGAAGGTTAGGTTCTCATCTCCAAGCTACCCCTGCCCCTAGAAGCCACTAAACATCATCAGCACCTTAGCGCAATCTAGTGTGTTCGCAGCAGGCAGGTGCAAATCCCCACTGAAAAGACGCACCTTCTCCAGAGGAACGGTAGACGGTACTGTACCTCGCATGTAACCCCTGGAGATATCATTTCTTCTTTACATTAGCCTAGACATTAAGCGAACGAAGTGTTAAAGAACCAAAGAACTTTCAGCTCTTCTTCATCTTCTTTTCTTCATTTTCGTTGTGCTACTAAAACTGAGACTTACTGACTCGATAATTCTTATCCTTCGTAAATGCTGTCGTAAAAAACTGCGTCTGTTCGCCAGCCTCATCGTTAGTTCCCGCCGCCATCCGTCCCGTCGTCCACCCGCCAACGCTAGGACCGCAAAAACATTGGTTTTCATCCGTACCTGGACCCAGCAGAACAAAGACCCCTTAGACGAGACGAGAACAAAGAAAAGCCGTCTCTTTGTCTCACTCGATCTTTCTGCATTCCTTTCTTTTAAGAACGTCGACAGAAGCTAGACTATCCTTTCTTCATCACCTACGCTACGATCATTACTATACCCATCATGGAAGACACTTCTCAGAAGCGCATGAGCGCTATTCCCCGGCTGTCAAAGCTTCCCGTACCTAGACCAACTTCTCAAATTCCAAAGCCCACATCTGCTCTACCGAGACCGACATCAGTCATCCGTTCTTCACCGTCAAGGGAGAGCTTGGGTGGTGGTGAGCTACGGAATCCAAGGCTTCGACCGTCCATGTCAAGAGACCAGCTACGAACAAGTCAACCAGATCTTCAACAGCGAGCTCAACGGCTACGACCTACTGCATCAAGAGATCAACTCGCTGCTCCCAGATCAAGACAAACTTCCCTTATCAACAGACCTCCTCCTAGCAGTCTATCACCAGCAAAGCCCCCTCAACGAATTACTTCCGCGGCTTATCGACCGGTAGACTTAGATGCCGATATTATCGAGGAGCGATCTACGACACCTGAATGTGATCCTCCAGGCGGAGCTGTTGGGCATTTTGAGGGGAGCATGTTTCCTCGTCAATTGACCCTTACAAGAAGACCCTCGGAGTCTTTTGCTGTCTCACCCCTTTACGATCCACCCAATAATATCTTCAACCCCAACCAATCGAGACCACGAACCGCTTCGACCGACGAAGATGACAGATCAGATACATTGAGCGCAAGCTCTCGCAAGGCAAGGCCTTCTCTTTCCGAGAGGACCATCGAGACACTAGCCAAGTCCCCTGCTTTAAGGAAGACGTCAAACTTCTTTGATCAGGGCGTACCAGGAGCTCGAGCTAGCAGTAGCACGCGCTCAAGAGCGGGCAGCAATGCTTCTCGACCAGGCTCTAGCTATGCTTCAGACTGTTCATTGAGATTAAGCCGTCCTGGCTCCAGCTCTGGCCAATCTGACCATGGTTTTCCGAACTTGAGAGCTTCAGTAGGCGGTTTTGCGCCGCTTGCCACCATCGATGGAACGCCTCGAAAACGGTCGGATACTGTGATAAGAACAACGCCTAATTCGAGAGCGGGAGCATCCAAGCCACCACCCTTTGCCAATGAGGCAAGAAGCCCCAGTCCCGGCAAGACAACTATCCCGACCCCAAAGTCGGGCTCTAAGTCTTTAGCTATCCGCCCTGGAAGCTCAAAGGCTTCTGGCCCGGGCATGTTGAAGAAGCCGTCTCTTCCTGCGCTAAACAAAGCTTCTTTGCATAGCGCTAACCGACGTGGATCTGTGAATTCGACCTCAACTGCTTCCTGGGATGGTACGATTCCTTCAAGCGCCACCTCGTTGACAGGCGAGTCAGCTGAGCCTGGATCACCACCATCAGCTCGCAAGTCCTCAGCCGCTCTACGTGAGCAGATCGCCAAGGCAAAGGCTGCGAAACGAGCACAAATGAAGCAAGCTGCTGAGCTCTCGCAAACAGCCGAAGGAGAAGAGGCGCCAATCATTCCCCATGACACGGGTTTCGACTTTGGCGTCAACCATGACGATCCTTTCAACCTTCGCCAAGGAGAAGATCCCAAGAAGAAGGTCCTTCAGAACCGTGTCAGTGCTGCGAGAACAAGTGGACGGCTTAACATCGCCGCTCTACACTTGAAGGAGATTCCTATCGAGGTCCTCAAGATGTACGATCTGGAGAGTATCGGTACCTTTGACGGTAGTTGGGCTGAGAGCGTCGACTTGACGCGTTTGGTCGCTGCGGATAATGAGCTTGAGGAGTTGGATGATTTCATCTTTCCTGATAGCGAGCCCTCGTCTTTCGACGAGGCTCAAGCTGCTCAGGGCAATATCTTTGCTGGTTTGGAGACTCTGGATATGCATGGCAATCTTCTCGTCAATGTCCCTCTGGGCTTTCGTCGGTTGACTTGCCTCACATCCCTGAACTTGGTATGTATCCCGCTGCCCTTCTGTGCCTTTCCTGCTAACTGTCATTAGGCTTCGAATCGTCTCACAAACAACAGTCTTGATACCATTTCGCAAATGACCTCTTTGCGCGACTTGAGGCTCAGCAACAACCTCTTTTACGGCCCTCTGAACCCCGCTCTGGCGAGTCTGAGTGAGCTCGAAATTCTCGACGTGCACAACAATAACATCTCTGCGTTGCCTACCAAGATCGAGAATATGTCTCGCCTTCGAATCGTGAACCTGAGCGAAAACAGCTTCGAATCTTTGCCTTTCGACAGCCTTGCTACCCTGCCCATTACTGAACTTAACGTCAGAAAGAACAAGCTCAAGGGTACCTTGATTGAGGAGCCCATTGGATGCTTGCCTCAACTACACACACTAGATGCTTCCGCGAACCAGCTGGAGCGACTAGTGCCCTTAGGTTCCGCTATTGACTTGCCCGTTCTGCACTCTCTGTCACTTTCCATGAACAGATTGCAGGGACTGCCTGATATGACTACCTGGTCAAACCTGTTGACACTTTCAGTGGAGGAGAACTCTATCTCAGGAATTCCTAACAGCTTCATGGGTCTCGAGAAGCTTCGTCACGCCGATTTCTCTAGCAACGACATCCGAGTGATTCCTCCCGAGGTCTCCCGTATGGACAACCTCACTATGATTCGACTCAGCGGAAACCCTCTCCGCGACAAGAAATTCCTGTCTATTACTACGGAAGAGCTCAAGGATGTTCTCGCCAACCGCCTAGAACCTCCCCCTCCGTACCAAGAACCTGCCAGTCAAGGTATTCTCGATGTGCTGAGAGATGCTAAGGATGCTGATGCTAAACCTTACGATGAGGAAGATTGGCAGTCAAATGATAGCTTTGCTACACCTCCCACGAGCCCTAACCGATCGCGTTCGCACACTGTTTCGAGTCGACGCTCCAGATCGCACACTCTGTCCAACCAGTCCTGGCCTGTGAAGCCCGGTGGTATTTTGGATCGATCCCAAACCGAGTCATCGTCGCTCCACCCTGTCGTTTGCTCCAAGGTTGCTGCTGAACACACCGTTCGTCAAATCTTCCTTCAGAACAACCTTTTTGCCACACTGCCCAACTCACTTAGCTTCTTTGCTGAGACATTGACCGCTCTGTCTCTGTCGCATAACAAGTTGGTAGGCGAAGCATACCTGACTGAGGAGCTGGAGCTGTTGGCTTTGAGGGAACTCAACCTGGCATCAAACCACATCACCGGTCTTGGCGCGCTCACCAAATTCCTCCATGCGCCTGGCCTGGAGAAGATTGATGTTACAATGAACCGCATCAACGCCCTCCCAACAGACCTCAAAGAGGTCTTCCCCAACCTCAACGTCTTGCTAGCAAGCAACAACCACATCGTCGAGCTCGAACCCGACATGATCAAGGGCATCAAGACCGTTGATGTAAGCAACAACGACATCTCCCACCTCAACCCCCGCATCGGCCTTCTCGGAGGACCAGGTGGCCTCGAGAGGTTCGAAGTATCAGGCAACCGATTCAGGGTCCCTCGATGGAACGTGATTGAGCGCGGCACAGATGCTACTCTGCGATGGCTACGGGGTCGTGTGCCGGTTGCTGAGATGGGCGCTTGGCAGGGAGATACGGATGAGAATGATGTAGATTGACTGAGTTCGGATCCAACGGTATCGGAGCATAAATCGGTGGGAAATAGATGGCTGCATGTGTTATGGTGGGCTTCGATTCTTGGTATATATTTTATCTTACTTTAGCTTTTATTACGGGATGTTATATACCATCTTGCTTTCTTGCCGGATAACTCATCTGATACCTTGACGTGTACGTTGTCTTCTAAGGCTTAGGTTGCCAAACCTAAGAGCTGGTCTAAATTATTTCGTCTCTTAGGCTTATAGTCATTGAGCTTGACATAATACGGATCTGTGTTTACTGTTTGGATAACTTTATGGGTGGGTGGTTGGAGTATATTGCCCATGTGGGTGAGTAGCTTGACTAACTAAGTCCGATAGGCGGAGAGAGATTGACAGGACCAGACCATATACCCACCCTTCATCGCACCAGGGGGTGTTTTCAATCGTCATCCTCATCATCAGATGCATCCCAGGTACGGTCGTCTGGCATCTGGGTGGTGCCAGCCCGAGCTAGTCCAGAGTTCGCGATGACAGCGAGAGAATGGCTTATGTCTACCAGAGTGGCCAGAATCTCAGAAGAAACAGACAACAATTGCTCTTCATGTTCGGAACGACGCTGGTCAGAAGCCTCGGCAGCAGAAGCAGAAGCATTGACAGACATGACTACACGGAAAGCCGACAGCGCCTTTCTGCCCTTCTTGCGAAGTTCCTTGGTAGTCTGGGGGGATGTTAGGGGAGAAATCACGGCGAGGCATCTTTGAACAACCTACGGGATCATCCTCATATTGCCGCGCAGTCATGTCGTTCTAGGTGCATGATCCGATGTGGCGGCCGAAGGACTCCAATACTCGTCCGATCTTGCGATTACCCTGCAAAGAGTTAGTACCGAGTTTTATAAGGGAAAGAGAGGATAGTGAGCCTACCGCGATGCATGGCTTATCGGTGACTTGGCAGCGCTGACACTTTGTGGATTCTTCTTGATAAATAGGATTAGCAGGGGGCGCAAGTCTGGACAAGGTCGCTTACCCTTATCAGAAGGAACGCAGTCAATGTCGTGGGAGATATCCTCGCCGCTGTCGGCATACGACTCCCTGCCGGGATTCCAGGCAATCGCGTACTTGAGGCATCGTACACAGTTGTGCTTGCGGGCAGGCCTACGTGAATTAGCAGTGCAAAGCAAGGAGTGAAGGCTGAAGGAGAGAGTGTTTGGAAGCGCTTGAAGCGACACTGGTAGGATTTAGGTGACAGAACAAAGAGACTCACATCTTGACGGCGCGCGATGACGAAAACGAATGAGAGAACGGCGCGCACTATTAATAAATCAGTAAGAAGGTATCGCGGAAGTGTTGACCTTGTGCGGCATCGGGAATGTAGTCAAAAGGGCACATACAGTTGATGGTGTGAAGGTTGAAAGGAAATGAAAGAGAGAGAAAGCGGAGAGATCATGAAGTCGTCCTTTGCTCTTCTAAAAAGCCTAAGGAGGCCCACGTAGCCATTGACTCTGCATTGCTGCCTTCTCTAGTGGATTCGAGGAGCTATCACCATATACACTACTAGAAGAACTTGTAGCCGTGAGGCTCCAGGCGGCTCAACGGTCAACTTACAGATAAGAGACTAAGCCTTATGGATTGAGATAACTTGTGATAAACCATTGGCTCAAGTGACTGGTGGAATGCTTTTAAGACGTTCCATAACTCTGTATCTATGGATGTGCACAGTCGGGGCCAAGGAGATGGGACAATGCGATGCTCGATATGAGTGCACTTCTTTCTCATCTCTTTGCAGCGCTAGGTATTTACATGACTTTGGTACACTGTGAAATACTTTGGAGACCAGTATGATCAGTGCTGTTGTCCTGCTCCGAGTATCATGACATGGCACATACTACGTTGTGGTGCTACAGGGACAGACTCCGCCATGTTCAACTTAATGAGATCAGTGGTTCTCTTTTGGGCATATCATTACTCTCCCTCAGAGCATCAGAGGAAGTAACAGTCATAAGCATAAGAGACGAAATAATTTAGGTCACTTTATGATAACTTAGACAAGCATTTAGGCTACTTTATTATAGTAGCCTAAGCTTTGGATAATAACTTTTCTGTTGCCTACCATCTATTGGTTTTGTCTTGAACTCTATCTAAGAGGGGCGAATTCTCTTCATGGGCGCATTAAAAGAAGGCACATTCGTCCCCCAGCCGGCGAGTGTTCTCTGCGGAAGGAAGGCATCAACTTCTCAAGCATGACCCAAAGCACAACAGAATTGCGACAACTCAGACCCAAATCTTCTGTCCAGATATTAAAGCGCATCATTTCACCATCAGTTAAAAGCGTCTTCTTACCATCCTCTCGAAATCCGTTCCAATATCCTCACTCGCGCTGGATACGATACACAACTACCACGAACCATACGATCACCACTATCGAGAAGGGTCACACAAACAATAATCATATACGATTAAAACAACGACTTGAAGCATCTACAATGCCGCCATTCTACAACCATCCGTTTATTGAGGGCCTAAGCCTGATGCCCCGCGACATATCCGCAAGTGACAACCCCCTAAAGTCCGTCAACCCCAGCCCCGACACAACCCTCAAGATCGTCGCATCAGTTTGGGTCGTCGGCTGGCTCGTCTTTGGCCTGATAAGCGTTATTAGTCTCAACTCTCGCGGCCAAGCAGGATATTGGATACCGGACTGGTACTTGGACACTGATGGGAAGAAACGGGCCAAGTTGAGTGTCGCGACATGGTGGGCTTGTGTTTTACTCTTCTGGCCGATTATCTGGATTGTTTATCTGGTTGGGATTACATGGAGAGCTATCAAAAGGGGATGGAATAAACGGAAGGAGGAACCGACTAAGACATCGGCAGAGGATAGTTCAGAGGACGTTTGAGAGGATCATGAAAGGTTATGGTGTCGGGAGCTGGGACATTTTATTTTGTTGTATGTTTTGGGTATAGGCTTGATGCATTCGTTTCAATATCAAGTAGTGGCTTCTCTTGTTTCAATGAGTACTTCGATATCCACCATCTTGGATCAATCTTGGTGACACAAACAATTGTGGATGTAGTTCATGTTGTCCTCACCGAACCTACACCTTAAATTAGCGCTCTTTCACCTTGATCCCCCCAAAGTTTAGCGCACTCCAACCCAGAAACAAGCCTTGTCAAACCCTGTCTTTGGTAAAGACCCAGCCACGGGCGGAAAAACCCTTGTTCCTAGACAACCGTCGTCAAGCTTAGCTCCCTGTTTCTCTTCACTCGAAAGACAATCGTCACAAGCTTTTCAATTTTCCCTTGACCCTGTGTGTCTTTTTCATTGTCCGCATTGTCTATATATGGAAAATCAAGACTGATTGGTTTTATTTTCTTTTGTTCCGTCATCATAACAATTGTTTTGCTTTTTTTTGTGGATACCTAACAACAAGTCCCGCGGCGCGTGCGTGCGTTTGTTTGAGCCTCGACTGCATCATTGGAAACTCAAATCCTTACTGCGAGATAAGACGCGTATAGAAAAACAACCAGCATATGAACACGGTGGAAGGGTTCAATCATAACAAACATACTCCGCCAATAGCGGTCTTCTAGCCGCACAGGTCGGAAGTACGTCTGCTGTTGACGCGACTTGACCTTTTTCACCATCAGTCCCGAATTGCTTCACGATGGGTTCTCCTGCCGATTCTTCGCAGTCTAAGAGGCCGCTGGAGGGGGATACTATCTTTGTCAAGCATCCGAGAGTCGATCCTCCGACTCAGCCTGCGACTCCTCAAGAGATTGGCCCGCAAGACCCGGTGCAGGAAACATTACCTTCGACCGAGATCCCGAACTCACCTATCGATCCAAACGAATCTTTCAGTACTCAAGTCAACGAAGAACGACCACAGCTCACAGTCATTCCCTCGTCTCTTACACCTCCTCCTTCTACCCAGGTTAACAACAGTCAACATGCAAGCCAACCTGGTCCCTCTAAACGAAAGTTCTCTGCTTCCCAGCAGTCGACGCTATGCTCTCCGCCAGCTACTATCCAGAACATCATACGCGACCGCGCTAAAACATCAGGCTTTCTCCCACCCGCCCCTCACCAGGTCCTCGAAGCATCCGCAGACGAACTCCGTGTCATGGTCCAGAGTGCTCTTGCAGAACAGCAAAAGCTCAAGACGGAAGCAGCCCATTTTAAGTTGCAGTACAACCTTATGGCTCTCCAAGCCGACGACGACAGCAAGCGTGCCGCTGTGGAACACGAGATGATGCGTCGCGAGGTAGACGCGCTACGCAACGCAGAGCACACACGACAGGCAAAGAAGGAACTCGATTCGGCGTCCGAATCACTGCAGGCAAAGTATCTGCAGATGAAGTCATGGTACGAAGGCTCGCTACAGGAAAAGGAAGTCCTCCAGCGTCGCTTAAAGACTGCTAAGAAGGTCATCAAGCAGAGGGAGGATGAGTACAACTCTCTTGCGGAGGAGCGGGACATGTTGTTGAACAGGATCAGGGAGAACAGAGAGCACATGCAGATGCTCTGCAGTCCAGGAGGTATATTTCACGCCCTAGCACCCAAACAGAGAGGCGTTGTTGTTCCGAGCTCACAGGGACAGCGTGGCTCTCAGCAGCAGGCATACAGAACACAGGTACGCGATAGGCAGGGCGAGCATGGGCATGGTCTGTCGGCATTGTTGCAGGCTATGAGCCAGGATAACAACAGCGCGCCTTCAACACCACTGCATCCTCACCGTCCCACGCCACGACATGTCGGAAAGCATAGTCGGAATGCTCAGTCTATGTCGTCTTTGCCTACGACACCAAACAATCGACCCATTGGAACGCATGTTGGACTTTTACCATCTGTCGACCTGGTACCGCAAACGGAGCCTCAACGATATACGCAGCGACAGTTTATTCCTACCACGCCAAAGTCGGAGCGTCATCGACGTAGGAGTCGGGAGAGCACTATTTCGGTGGACGATAACGAGGAGCTGGCTAGACAGGCTCTCGAGTCTGTTGCTGCAGCTCAGTCATTTACATCACAGGCATCACATTCACGGAACCGCAGCAGTCAAGGGGAGGTCCATGATAGTCAGGCCAGCCAAGCAGCTGCACAGATGTTACGACGAGATCCACGACAGAGCTTCGAAGTAGCCGAGGCTCGCAGGGCAACAAATACACCAGGTGCAATGGAGAAGTCGGTTCGCATGCAGGAGAAGCTATTATCCCATCGCAACGGAGACACAGACGGAGATAAGCGCAAGTTTAGCGGTTACTATGCCTCAAGTGAGGAGACGCGACGAGACCAGGAGAGTCCGGCGAAGAAGTCGAGAGTTGTTGAGCCTTTGACTGATAGTCAGAAGACACTGGGGTTGGGGATTCAGTACAGAGAGTAGCATGCTGCAAAATGCGGAGTTTGGAGAGTTGATACGATATTCACGACGGCATACGGCACTGGGGCGTTTGTTGATTTGTAGCACATCATGTTGGTTTTATAGGATTGTCAGAGTCATAGCCAATGTATGAAAAGATTGTTTGCAACAATGCAGTATAAGAATGTGATTGTTGAGTGAATATAGGGTAGCAGAGACTCAAGATTCAAGCTCAAGGGATAGACCAATTGTGAGTTCCAGAGTAGCAACGCGACTGCATAAACGGGACTCTTATAGTCAAGCGTTAGTTGACTGTAGGTAGTAGTGCTTGAGGCGAATGGATGTTTCGGTCAGTGGGTAACAGAAGAATTATCCTATAAGGCTTAGACTACTACAATAAAGTAGCTAATTTTCTAGTTTAAGCTCGCATAAAGCGACCAAGTCATCTCGTCTCTTGTTTTAGGAGCCAATCCTTCTGACATCCTGAGGTCTGTTTCAATGTGGATGGGTGTCTTGGAGATCCCGGCTCTTACCCGACAAGCAAACAACGCTACCCCAATAGCCGACATCTAAAGCCGATCGGGTCGAGGGTCCACAATTCGGCGGTACTCCACGGGGGTCATCCGGCTTTCGGCTGGGGAAGAGGGCAATTGGGAGACCATTAAGTAGGGGATATTTACTTACCCGGACTTTCATCAACATCTTTATTCCTTCCCAAATCTTTGTTCATCTTCCTTCTTATCAATTGGTGTTCATCCCAGATCAGGTCTTTAATACTATACTCAAGCTTATCTTCACAATGTCGGCCCGTCTCCACAAAGGGTTGTCGAGCGTCCTCGCCAAATCCCCCTCTGACACTGTCATCCTCTCTTCTGTCCGTACACCTATCTGTCGCTCTTATAAGGGCCAGTTGAAGGATGCTTATCCTGAGGAACTTCTTGCCAGCGTTCTCAAGGCTACGCTAAAGGCGCATCCTGAAGCTCCTGTCGACGATGTAGCCGTTGGTGTCGTGCTCTCTGAGCTCGGCGGCTCGAAAGCTGCGCGCATGGCGCTCAACCATGTCGGTTTCAAGAACACTACCAGCCTGTACACTGTGAACCGCGCCTGCTCTAGTTCGTTGCAGGCTATTGCTGCTGTGTCGGCGCAGATTCAGACTGGTATGATTGACACGGGTATTGCGGCGGGTATGGAGAGTATGACGAGAAATTATGGTTCCAGAGCTATCCCTGTGGATGTCTGGCCGGAACTGAAGGAGTCTGAGAACAGACATGCGCGCGATTGCATTATGCCTATGGGTTTGACATCAGAGAACGTCGCGTCGCGATATAACGTGTCGAGAGCGGACCAGGATGCCATGGCTGTTGAGTCGCACCGTCGTGCCGCACGAGCTCGAAGTGAAGGACGCTTCGCGCAGGAGATTGTTCCCGTTGAGACACGCTTCCAGGAGGTTGACAAGCAGGGTAACAAGGTCGGCGAGGAGAAGCGCATTACTGTTACTGCGGACGATGGTATCCGCGAGGGCGTCACCATCGAGGCTCTCCAGAAGCTCAAACCTGCTTTTAAAGCAGACGGAACATCCACAGCTGGAAACTCAAGCCAAGTCTCCGACGGTGCCGCCGCAACACTCCTCATGCGTCGAAGCACAGCCACCGCTCTCGGTCTACAAGATCAAATCATCGGTAAATTTGTTTCCGCTGTTACAGTAGGCTGCGACCCTGATGAGATGGGTATCGGCCCCGCCATCGCCATCCCCAAGCTACTCGACCAAGTCGGTCTTACAACAGAAGATGTTTCGCGATGGGAGATTAACGAGGCATTTGCCAGTCAGGCGCTGCACTGCGTGAGGGAGCTTGGTCTTGAGGATGCCTGGACGAAGGAGAAGGTTAACCCTGATGGTGGAGCTATTGCTCTGGGACATCCTCTTGGTGCTACTGGTGCGAGAATGGCGAGTACGCTTTTGCATGGGTTGAAGAGGGATGGTGGCGAGGTTGGTGTTGTGAGTATGTGTGTTGGTACGGGGATGGGTATGGCTGGTATGTTTGTTCGGGAGTAAAATAGCTATTGGTGAAAATAGTTAGAAGTATTAAATAATGCAATGGTAAAGATTGTTCATCTCATCTACGCAGTCGGGTGGGTAGCAGAAGAAATATTTAAGATCGTATAAGTAAACCGGCTTCAAGGTGAGGTGGAAGTGCATGACGCCAGATCAAATATCTTCATTCTCATTGAAACTCAGGTATAACATTTACTCTTGAAAGTCACGTCAGTAATTTCCACCAAGAAGAATACACCAAAGGACATCAGAGGCGACAAAAAGAAGATCTCGTGTTTGCAGCATTGGCAAAAAGGATGATCACGCTGGGGATCGAACCCAGAATCTTCTGATTCGTAGTCAGACGCCTTGCCATTGGGCCACGCGACCTCGTCTTGTTATTGATTCCTCCTCCGAAAATGGAGTATACGGACCCCTGTTCGTCTTCCTTCCCCTCTCGAATCTTCCCCCTCTGTTAAACCCGTGGAGAGAAAAAAGGGGACCTGCGTTTTGACAGTGTCGATCCAAAGCCTAAACCAGATAGCATTAACGTTCGATCAAAGCGCAACTTTAATAGCGCAGGCCGTTACAGGAATCCTGAATCCTTTATATAAGTGATCCAAGATATGCAATGTCTTTTCTTCTTCGAAAAAGGGGCACAGCGGAAAAGAATGCACGTGAAAATAAAATGAATTATTGGTCTGGATTCCACGCCACATAATGTAACCCCTGGGACTAGGAAGCTTCTCTTTCCTCCCCACCGCGTAAGGTATTTTATTTATCTTTCTTTTCTCTCCCTTGAGTTTACCAACGGCTAGATCAGAGCCTGATTTTCTTAAAAGTTATTTTAATGGGACGCATATAACCTTGATTTCTACCTTCTTTTGACCTTTTGTATGCAATCATTTACTCGCGACGGGGACTGAAACATTCCCTTGCTCTTGCCTTATACCTGACGTCAAATCCCCCTGTACAACGCAAAACAACTTTCACTCATTATTTACATCCACCTCACACAACATGGCTTCGCCGGTTCTACGTCTCTTTCTCGGCACGTTAGTAGCCATATGCTTCATCGCAATCTTCACACCCACGGAAAGAGTCACCTCGGTCGCAAACTCGTTCAGAACGCCTCAAGCGCTGAAGAATCTCGACGTTGTCATTTCACAATTGGAAAAGAATCCCGTCCTCATGCGCGCCGCCGTGACGAACCATAACGACCACCCCGTTACCATCCTCAACTACGGATCACCACTGGATGCGCTGGCTATTCAGATGGGCACGCTGTACATTACTTCCAAAGACGAGACTACACCTCTGGAAATCCTGCAGATTGAGGCGTCGAGGCTGTGGCCGCCTCTGGAGGATGCTTTGATTGAGATTGGAGCTGGACAGACTGTTTCTTGGGAATCTACACTACAGGAACCTGTTGTTCCCATGGATAGCGTCTACGAGCGAGGGACGGTTCAATTGAAGGGGAATTGGTTGGCAGTATGGACACAAGAGAAGGCGGGAATTGATCCCAGCGAACTGGAGGAGGGAGCACTCATCAATGGCACTCTAACGGGGCCTTACACGTCGAATGTTCTTGAGATTGAGCTCAAGTAATCACATCTTTGCTTTGCAGGCGTCTAGGGTACGATTCATGTTCTTTTTTTCTCAAGCTGTACAGTACAACTCCGCATAGATGGGCATAATTGGTAGCGAATTTGTCGAAGGGAGATAGAGCGGTCAAAATTTTGGGGGTAGATACAATCCAACAGTATTACATGCATTCCAGCTGTCACCCTGCTTGTGATCAGCCAGCCACGAATGTTACCCTGCAACTAACAGGAGAAATGGCAAATTTGATGGAACATACGATGAAAACAATAGTTTAACAAACAATTGGAGATCTAGCGATTATGAAACTTCTCTATTGAACTCTAATATTCAATGTTATGCCTTGTGGGAATCGTTTTGTTCTGTCAACGGTTGAGCAGCCACATACTCGACAAGTGAGACATCGTGACATGTGTGTGTTATTGTCCAACGTTCTGGACCTTTTACAGGTTCCCCCATCATGTCTATCGCATTACTTCAATGACAGGCTATTGTCTTTCTTCAAGTATAATATGTTCATACTTAGTAACATTCACGGCAGAATTTACATCATGCTCATTAACAGCCCTCTGTCATTCTTTTATCATGGAAGTCTGATTACGTCAGTTTCAATGTGGGGCCGGACGGGTTCGCGGGGGGGTCAATCGTTACCCCGGATCTCGGTTAAGGAAGCTTCACCTCCGAATCAATATCTCGACTCGCGTATCTGAAGCTTCTCTCTTACTGCAAGAGAAACTCATTTTATTTGAGGCGACGGTCAAATCATAGTACACGCATTCTCACTTGACTTGTCACAATGGCTAAGAAGCTCAATCCTACGCAGTTCACCAAAGCGGTTCGTCTCCCAGTCGCATCTTGAGTCGCATAACCTCCAAAGTCCGATTGCAGGTCGGGAGGAACCTTGTATGAGATGAGATAGTCTTACTGACAGCTTGTGGTACATAGGTCATGCGCTCATTCATGAAGGACTCCGGTCTTGAGCCAACGTACGTTCACTTGCTCCAGATCGAATGAGACGAAGGAGTCACAAGGGCCCATTGCTGATACCATTTCTCGCTACAGTCTTCTTGGAAAGCATGTAGGTTAAGCCATGGTCAGGTCATGTGTACGGATATTGATGATACCGCAGTTCCGTGTTCTTAATGCCGTAGAAGGCAAAGTTGAATTCGAGCTCGACATCCAAAAGAGCCACACCGTTCGTCCCTCTCCCTCATTCCCCAGTACCTCAACTGACCAAACACAGAATCGTCTACAAACCCTCCACGGCGGAACGCTCGCCAGTCTAGTTGATCTCGGTGGCTCTCTCGTAGTTGCTTCAACAGGCCGCTTCGCCACCGGTGTCTCAACCGATTTAAACGGTACGCATCCTGTCCCTACCAGAATTGCTTGACTAACTTGCTAGTCACTTATCTGAGCCCCGGAGGCCGCCCGGGCGATGTCCTGAAGGGAGTTGCTACGCTGGATAAGATCGGCAAGACTCTTGCGTTTACGCAGGTTACCTTTACGAATAGTAAGGGGCAGCTTGCTGCGAGGGGAAGTCATACGAAGTAAGTTTTCCTAAGTTGAAGGAGTGAAGTGTGCTGATCGTGTGGTAGATATGTGACTGGAACCATGGGTGAGGCCGGCCCCTATGTTGCTCCTCCTGAGTTTTCGGATGTCGATTAGATCAGGGATCCAAGAGGTCATCAAGATGTATAGATTCGCTAAACAGAATGGTCTAAACTACATAAAGGAAACATAGAGGTATCACGCTAAAAGAAACTCAGACAAACCATTCCTTCTGCTCGCATCATCATATCCGTGTTATCATAACATCGATCTCATCGTTGGGTCGCATCCTTCAATACTGCTTCTCAGAGTAATGCTCAACTGGGACCGGCACCTAAGGGGCAGTGTACGCAGGGCCAAAAGTATTCACGGTCGGCAAGCGTTCCTCCTGCTTCATCCAGACACCGTCCTCCTTTTTGCGTCCCATAAGATAGGTCAAAACAAGAGTGATGAACTGAGGCCAGATGTTGAAAAGCGCTTCGAAAATGTAGTAGAAGGGTTGATACTCCAAAGGACTGATCTCTCTGGCGTTTTCGAGATTGTTCCAGGCGGCAAATGAAGCCATAGCGAAGCTTGTGTGGAGAAGCCAGACTACTGATGCAGCGATGAGCATGTTTGAGACCTGGATGATGTTAGTACTGCCGCATTTCCTGTTATACATACTAAAGGAGGAGGGACTTACCCAGGTGAGGTTCCTGTCGGATGGTGTATGGCCAGAAGTCTTAGCACCATCAAGCATACCCATGTCCGGCTTTACACGTCTCTTGACCATAACCGTCTTGGCAACCATACCAAGAGAAATAACAAAAACAAAAACCTTGAAAGCAAAGCTAACCTGCGTAGCCCTGGTCATAATAATAACATAATCGTCACCAGGACCATAGTACATTGGAACAAGAAGACGAATATGAAGACCCAACGTCGTCAAGGCCAGAGCGAGTAGTACCAGTGCTGCACCGTAAGAAGCGAAGCGAAGGTTCTTGCCAAGGTAAGGCTTTTCGTTGGGAATAGATGCGTGGTGCACCATGAGAATACCGGTACATAGACGAAGGAGGATAATCATGATGAGGATATCGGTAACCAGCTCGAAGAACATCCAGACTACGTTGCTGATAGGTCTAGCGTAGCCCATGGCGATCATGAAATTGATGGGCATGTCGTCGTCGACATTGATTGAATCGCCATTATCCAGGACCAGTATGTTCCATGCGGCGTTGAAGGCGGAGCTGGCGGCGGCGAATAGCGCGTATCTAGTTTCGTTAGACAAGTTTTATGGCAGTTCAGAGGAAGTTTAGACTTACAATGAGAATGTGACGAGAGCGTATTTGAGATATGTAAATGCCGTTCTGGCGGGGTCTTTGTTACGGCGGACTGTGCAGAAGGTGCTGCAGAAGATCATGACGGCGGGAACGAAGCAGCCAAAGACCATAGCCGCATGGGCGATGGGGAAGCTTTCGAAAGACTGCATTGTGTTGGTTTCCTGTCAATGTAAGAAGACAAGACTGTTGGTGATGGACGAGATCTGCGAAAACAAAGTGAAGCCAAGCACCAGCCTTTTAACTAAGTCATCTTCATCGTGGCTTTCCTGTTCCATCACGAGCAACAATCTTGGGACCCGTTACGGCGTAGTAAGTAACAACGAGACTTACAGCCAAGAGGTGATATTGAAGGTCGGGCCAATGAACAACCCTGGTCAAGTAAGGGTGCAGTCGGCACTGCCTCTTGGGGCGCAAAACCAAGATCTTCATTGGTCGTTCAAGCTACGTATACGGATTTTCGCATGGGAATTGATTCATGTTTGTAATTTGGTGTAATTTGTATGTAGTGGGTTGTCGGTAGTGTGTTGTCACTCGGGAGGCAAGCAGTCAAGATGGACGTCATGCTCAGCTTTCTCTATGTCCAACTTGTTCTCATCACTACTGCTCTGAATTAGTTCGATGATAACTAGGCTGTTATCCAGCTTCTCTATAACTATCCTGAATATTTGTCTGTGTAGTAGAGCAGAGCGACTTCAACTTAGCAATCTTACTCCCAGCTCAGCCCGGATAGCGGGGCCATTTATCGTATCCATACCCAAGTTTCCTACCTTAATTTCATGCTTAAAAGGGTAATAGCCGGTGCAGCTGCCCTGTTAACCATTCTGCACCCTCGTCTCGTGACCGCAGTAATGAGATGATATGTCTGAGATGGACCACAACTGTAATTGTCCTTGGAATATCGGCTATGCTTCGAGTGTACCCTGATTCTAGAAGCTTTATCAGACCCCCACTATCAGAGGTTGAAGCTGGCTTAAATGCTCTGTACCTACGCCGCAACTATGCAGTTATGTACCGTGAGGTGTAAGTGAAGAGGCCTCCGAGTTGAGGCTCTGTTGTTCATCAACTACTGGCAGAGAATACAGATGAATAGTGAAAGTAGAACTGTCAAAGCGGACATTACTAATGACTCTAGAGCCATTCTCTCTTCATTCTCCCAATCCAACGTCCATAGCCAACACGACTATACCTCAACACCCAGGTAGCGAAAGAGTTGTTTTGTGAGACTTGGACTACCAAAAGAGAGGTATTCCAGGTGCCAGCCTAAAATGGCAGACAGCAATCAGGTTGTTTCGTCTCTTGGGTTCTCAACGGCCACCTCCTATCGCTCAACCTCAGCTACCTCAAATGAATCAACATCTCAAATTAACTATCAATCTTAGCATACAAAAACCTCGGCAACCTCTCCGCCTCGGGAAAAAGCTTCCTCGTCCCAGTCTTCAACCAACAATTTGCCCCATGCTGCCTCATCGCCGTCGACATATCCTGCACAAACGCAATACTATCACAAGCTTTGACATCTGCATCATCCTTGTGCAACTCCGTATACATCGCGCACGCGTGCATACAGTCCCAAGCAGTGTATGCTATTAGAGGCGCTATGTCGTTGGCGGGGCCGGGAAAATCGAAGCCGCATGTGTAGCTGAAGACGTAGCCGTTGAGAGTCGTGTGGGAACCTTGGCCGTTTTTGGAGGAGCAGGCGGAGGGGAGGGCTAGGTTTGCTACTTGATCGGGGGCTGTTGGTTCGTAGAAGTCGGAGGTGCTTGTGTCTTCGATGGTGCTTGTTCCGGTGGTTTGGCTCGAACTGGAGGTTGGGGTTGGGCATGATGAAGCTTCTGCGACTGGCGACAGGACGGAACCGGAACTGCTTGAACTGGATGGCTGTAAGTAATTATCCTGCGATGCGTAGGTGAAGATATCATACCTTTTACATGAAGCCAGAGCTGCTCCTAAACCTCCTCCTACACCCGCTCCAACGATCACAGCCGTGATGACCGCGATTAGAGTACACAAACTCAAGATACTCAATCCAAAAGGCCCCTTCCTCACTTCAACGACCTGAGTATAATTCGTGATGGGTTCTTTATGATGATACACCTCGGGCGCATGCGCAGCGCTATCTGTGAACACCTCCATACCATCATGTCGACGAACCTCCATTTTCCAAGAAACTCCGAATCGCCCAAATATTATCGTCGCAAAAGAACAGAAAGTTGTTTAGAGGTGATGAGCAAGAAAGGGAACTTCGAATCGGGCGAGCTCAGAGTTATGAGAAAACATAGTGAAACAACCGGCAGCTATAGCTTCAGCTTGGACAGTTGACGTACCAATAGTAAATCACGATGTCACCGCTCGGTTACATCACTAGTCAAATGAAAGTGGCATCCAAGCTTTTAAGGATTGGGGTTTTGGATCCATGCTTTCTTCTGGGGGGTAGTTAATGAGACCACTTGTTTGGACGGCAACCCACACGTGAACGTCCGGGATATATTTGCCGATAGAGTTTCCAAGTTTGAATGCTTCTCAGAGTTACAGTGACCGTTGAAGCCTTGTGGGTTAAGCTTCTCATCTGGCAACTCGTCTGTTTGAACGTTGAGGCTAAGCGACAAGGCTTAGCCCATCATGCCAAATGTGGAAATTACCGACGTTAATCATCCAATCATAATAAGGCCAAGTGAAACATCGGTGAAAAGATCTAAGACCGGTCCCGAGACTGACTTGCTTTTTAATTCCGAGGACAACAAGACGCAGGCAGTAAAAGTTCTATGGGTATATTGTCAGTTGAATTAAAAATAATATATACAAATAGTCATAAAGTCACCGTCTTCTACGGTAACTCAGATGGGGTTCCTCCTGCGCTCAACTCTGCCGGCTTCATTGGTTGATAGTGGCCATGCCCAGCATTCGTATTGTCTGCTCCATGCTTGACCATATACTCCTCAGGAATAGCCGTTGGCTTGGAAGCTCTCTTCTTTCTCCTCCAGAGCCAGAAACCTACTCCGAGTCCGAGAAGAACGACTCCTGCTCCGATACCAACTCCCAAGCCGATAGGTAGCGCGTTGCTGCTGCTGCTAGAAGAGCTGTCTGAGGATGTGGTTTCGGCGGCAGCTGTGTTTGTGCCTGTGGTTGTGGATTGAGTCGTCGAAGTCGTTCCGGTAGTAGCGTCGCTAATCGTTGATGTCTTCTCGTCCACCATTGACGCGTCTGTGGGAATAGTCGTTACGATTTTGACAGGATCCAAGGTGAAAACTTGTGTTGAATTATTGCAGTCGCAGCCACCGTAACCATAACAGCAGTATTTTCCTGTTCCACAGGGCACAACTCCATTTCCCGTGTCTTCAGAAGTCAGTATACCGAGTGAAATCCTGACTGCGAAACAAACATACCATCGCATTGATGCAGACACGTTGGATCATCCCAATTATCGTCCGTACATCCGTTAATAAAATAAGGACTTAATGTGTCTTTGTTAGACGTAACACACAGTCCGTTGCTCGCGCAAGAGTCACCAGCAGCGCAGCAAGACTTGAGATCGCCTTTGGGATCGCATGCGAAGAGGTCAAGGACCTGATTCCTGTCTCTTCCAAAGCAGCTCGTCATGATGAATATTACGGCGAAAAATAAGTGAAGAAAAAGAGGAAAGAGTGCCTCAGGGGAGACCCGTGTTTCTATCTATGTATGAAGAGTTCCAGCGGAGTAGGATCTCTTCGCGAGAGTAAGCACCAGCGACACAACCCCTGTGTCTTGTTACCGCTGCGCCGCTTTCCCAAGCATTAAGACGATAATCGGGACCAATGAAAAGATATACCGTACGATTATTGAGCTGGGAATAGGAAAGCTAGTGCTTCAACGTTGCAGGGATGGAACATGGATGAGGGTCTCCAGACGTGGAGAGTCTCGGTTTTTCAACGGGTTTTCTAGATAGGGCTGCCAGAACACATTAGATCCGACCGTATTACCGCTGAGTTTTGACAGAGTTTGAGGCTATTTGGTATTGGATACAAAGAAAGTCTTTGATTGAGGAAAATGAATATGAGTTGGGGGATATTTTTAGGGTCGTCAAGTTGCATCTGTGGCAGTGACTCTGAAGGATTCAATCCTTGTCATCATCTTTAATGAGCATGAGCTGAGCGACCATCACAATAACGCCTCGCGACATTCCCAGTATCATAAAATACAACCTGTCAAATCCTTCTACCTCGCTTAGAACGTCAAGAAGCTTTGAAGCGTACGTAGATGCCGGAGACTTGAAAGGAACATAGACTGTATTGCGGATACTACAAGTTTGGACGAGCGGCCCGTCTTTTAGCCCCCAAAATTGATGGATTTAGTGGACATCCAATCCTTTCTTACTGCAGACTCACTTCATCTCCTTAAAAACAGGGAATTCTCAAACAGTTGTTGATTTGCACTTTTACGCGCTAGCTACCGCGGTGCTTAACATTTAACAAGCTGCTATTGTCTCCGCCACAAACTTGACAGCCGAGTCTATGACGGGGACAAGAAGTTATTCAGATGGTCTATACAATTGCCTTAGATCTCACTTAATTTGTGGTTCATGTCAAATCCTTACCGTTGAATCCAACGTCTAACCGCACGCACGCGCACCCGTTGGACATATCTGAGACCAACAGCGCAGACTAAGAAAGCTTAGCATGGACCCCGTGGAGGATTTACAGAGCTAAAGCAACCTTGTGATTGAGCCGCATGTCACTAACCAACAGTCTTAAAGGTCAAAGCGAATTATCAATCTGTTACTGATTAAACAATTACTAGTATCATCCTATCTTAGGGTATCGTGTGTAACCTCCATAACACCAGAGAACCATTTACTGAGTCTTTTTGTTCGCGACACTCTTTCCCTGAGCAGTGTATCTCACGTAGGCGAAAGCGCCGAGGGCACCGATGGCAAGAATAGCAGCGTTGCCTATGTACATCATTAGCATTGATATTCCTACCACTCTAACATCACGGAATAAGGAAAACTTACTGGCTACAAACTTGCCAACACCACCAGTGACGTCCACAAGTCCAGAGACAACATCGCTGATAAGATTGAACACTCCCTGGACAAAGCTCAGAACCGCAGAGAGAATAGAGTGAATGACGTTGTAAAAGGTGTTAAAGACTGAAGCGAGGAGCTCGTAGATTGAGGCGAAGAGGTCGTTGATAGCGCTGGTGACTGCCATTTTGAGTGTGTCGTGTGAGTCTCAGATATGTGTGTGAGTATAGTATAAGTCTCAGGTATTCTGTAAAGAAAATGTGGCCTCTTGGCTCTTTTTATCACTCAACTACATCTTTCAGCTCTTTCCAGAAATCTTGTTCCTAGCCGTGACGTCGTCATGCTGAGGACTCAAGATCGCATCGATGTGCATGTGACGTCACCCTCGTGAACCACCAGACACCATTTAAAGAAGGTCAAAGATTGCTATTGCGTCTTGATGAGGTAAGGTCGCAATTTCTATGTTTCAGCCTTGTTTGTATGCAAGAGCCACGAGTCTTGGAGGGCATGTGACTTGTTGGTTGATGAAGTGCTTGGTGAGACATTCAGCGACTCAACGCGCAGAGATCCTCTAAGGTCTAGAGAGGCACTGCGTATGGATCAAGTGTACTCGATGCAAACAAGACATCTTTATTCGATAAAAGAACATCTTTATTTACACTGCTGGCTAGTACCCAAGTTCCGACCTTACTGACCAGATCCCAGGGCGGCCAAGTCCACAACTGGGGAGTGACATATCCCCACGAAGGAAGATTGACATTTGGTTTAGCAGATGAACGATACGAGCCCTGTGGGCAAGCGCTAGAGTTAAGGCTGTTGATCTCCCGTTCATCGTGAAGCAACTGGTGGAGTACCCATAGGATAATAGAAGGACTGGCCACTAAGAGAGTACAAGATATAATGATCTAAACACTTTATTACTTTAGACATCCATTAGGCCATTTTATTTCAGCTTCCTAAGCCCTGGGGAAATTCTTCTTTTTCTCAGTACCTGAAGTGCTAATAACCCAAGGACAAGCACGCCGCTCAGGTAGTCTCAACACAACGCAGCAAGGCGCTCAGATGCACAAATGCTAAGGATTCCCAGAAACAGAAACGCAATATCAGCAGCAACTTTATAGTGAGTACAGCTACCTTAATAATCCTGTCTCGTGAAGGACCTATATAAAGACCAAGAATCATTCAGTTACAATGAAATACAAACACCGATCAGAACATGAGACAGATTATTGATTACCGAGTATTCCAGTGAAAGAATGGAAGTAGGAAATCATCTAGCAGAAACGAAGAGTATTGTAACAAGTCGGCGACAAAAGATTTGTCCTAAAGCTTAGGTTATCATAATTACATAACCGAAGTCTTAGTCTAAACAGACATAGTAACTAGAATATGTTGTCTCTTATGCACTTGGGGGCTGATATCCTGAGGTGTTGCTAATCTCCCGATCATCATGTATTGAAGAAGCAATTATTAGAGAACTGGAGTCTATGGAGTCGCCCAAGGACAAGTATCACATTCACTCAACACAAACTCAAGCACAAGACAAATCAAGATTATTAAAATATCGTAAATTCGTTAATGATGTAGGGTTTTCCATAAAAGACTCCCAACCCAAACCAAGCTCGTCTAAATCTTCCCAAATAATAATAGGTACACACCAAAATCGTTTATATCCAAATTGACGATCGTATACTCGCTCATAAGCCGTCGAGGCTGTCCATATTCTTTTCCGATCAATTTCGTAGTCGTGACGTTCAAGTCAGAGTAGCAAACATGGCCCGCATGAGCTTAGGGGGAGGTCCTGTGCAGCCGAGTCAGCCACACGTTCTCACAAGAATGTTTAACGAAAAACGCGTACCTTTAACGGTACTTAGGTACGCTAATGGCCATCCTACCTTTCTTGTCCTTCTCGATACGAGGAGGTTTACGGTGCAGCACTTCCTTCTCAATACGTTCTTCCCTGATGACCAACTGGCCATCAGGCAATCGCTCGGCGCGAACGAGCTCACCGCCAGTAGAGCGGCCTCTGGGTCGGTGTGCCAACTCGCGCTCGAGGGCCTTGATCTCTTTTCGGATGTCTTTGCCGTTTCGGGATCGTGAGCGGGATCGGACGACGAGCTCCTCGGGATGGTGGTGATGGTGGTAAGTATCCCGGTAGTAAGAGTCGTAGCTTGACATGGTGGTGGAGGTTCGGGATGGTGAAACGTCTCGATAGACGGTCTCCTCGTAGTCATAGACAGATTGTTGAGGAGGTCCACCAGGTGGGGGAGGGCCTGCAGGAGGGGGTCCAGGCTGGTAGAAAGTGGGAGGAGGCATGGGCTGAGCCATAGGAGGTGGAGGAGGTTGGTAGTGCATGGTCGGAGGGGGACCAGGCATTGGCATCGGCATAGGCTGAGGTGCCTGTTGAAAAGGAGGAGCTGGAGTCGCCTGGACTGGAGGAGGAGGAGCTGGAGTCGCCTGGACGGGAGGTGCAGGAGTAGGTGGTTCCTGAACAGGAGGAGCGGGAGGAGGGGGAGTCTTTGCTGGTGGTGGCTCAGGAGTAGGCTCCCTCACTGTCTCGGGAGGTGCAGGCAGAGCAGCTGTGGGTGCCTTGGGTTCTCGAGAAGCAGCAATCTCAGCTTCGACTGTATGGTGTTAGTTGAATTCGAAGCAAATGCTCGTGAAACTTACCCTTCTTGTAATCCTCGCTGACCTTGAGCAATTCGTCGATGTTATCTTGACCAAGAGCCTTCTGAACAATGAGTGTGTTGCCCTGAATAATGTTAGAGATTGTATACTAAAATCGGCTGAATTAACAAACCTCTTCGAAGAATGGGTACCCGAGATCGATGAGAGCTCGCTTGGAAACAAGCTTGGCAGGGATGCGAGTCTTTCCCTTCTTGGGATACTCGCTTCTCACTGTGGTACCTCCGCTGCTGCTAGAGGAACGGCTGGAGCTGGAACCGTAAGAGCTGCTTCGAACGGAACGAGTTCGAGTAGAGCGAGAATCGCGGCTTCGACCACGGCTTTTGCGTGATCGAGTGTACTCTCTTTCACGAACACGCTCAGGCATAGATCGGTAGTCTTCGTCACCGTAATAGTCGGGCTCGGCAACTTTGATGTCGTCATAATGCTCATCGTTATATCTGCGAGGCGGGGGCAGTCCTCGGCTCTTGGGCAGAGGAATAGGCTGGTAAGGAGGAGGTCTGTATTCATCTCGGAAATCTCGAGGATCCCGAGGACGAACATCCTCGCGGCGAGCAGGAGCTGGGTATTCCTCACGATGGTCGAGGAATCTGGGTCGGCGGTCATATGTGTCGAGAGATGATTGTCTGCGGAGAAAGCCAGGTCGACGAGGAGGAGATTCACGACGGGGAAAATCTCGCTCTCGTTCCCTTTCTAGGACATCAGTTCGCCGAGCCCAAGGAGGAGGCATGTCTCGATCTCTCTCGCGCTCCCTCTGAGGCTGAGGTGGGTAGCGAGAGTCATCGCCGTAGTAGCGACGGTCACGGACATCGTCTTCGTCATAGTAACCGCGGCCAGGTCGACGGTCATGTCGCTCATCTGAGTGGTCGCGGCCTCGAGTGCTGCGTGTATAAGAGGCTCTGTCATCGTCGAAGCCGCCCCGGTTTTGGGACATACGCTCGAAGCGATCGCGGTCCCAGCGTTCGGCCATTGTTGGAGATTTGTTATTTGCAGTGGGTGATTTGTGATGGTGGCTGCTAAAAGCAGAACCGAAAGGTATAGAGACTGGTCGTGTGCCAGCCGGTTGTTAGTCGGGCGCCTGTTTGTCGAAAGGGTATCGAGTGAAAAGATGATGAAGAGAAGAAAGAAGGGGACGGGAAGAGAGAGGAAATGTACTGGAGGGTGGGCGGGATAAGTGACTGAGGGAGGGAGAAAGGACCAAGGATTAGTGGTATCGAACTTGTCCTGGGATTGGATGAGCCAAGATGGAGGGTGAGGGAGAGAAGACCAAGAAGGCCGATGACGTTGACAGCTTAAGACCTGACCCCGCTTGTCGCGACATTCCAGGGCCGAACGAGGTCTAGTGGAGACTTTTGCACTTCCACTGCGACTGCTTAGCGGCTTGTGACTCCCGCTAGGTGTTAACCTACAGGGGGCTGAGCGGTACAGGAAGAGCCCTGAAGTTTTAATTGCTCTCTTGTCCAGCTGATGACGCCCTGTGATGAAAGACCCTTGATGAATTTGGTGAGACAAGAGCAAGACAAGACACCTGATGGGGGAGAGTAATTGTACGACATATAACCAGCAGACTGGGGACTGGAGACTCGAGTATTTGTTTAAAGCTTACGACGAACGGTATCAACGCACAAGCGGGTTGAAACGTTACGTACCGGTCGGTACACAGCCATTTTTACACAAAGAAAAGTCTCCTCAGCCATAGATGGTCTCGACGCCCAAAGCACAAGCCAAGTGGGCCGGCACAGCCAAAAGCCGGATTATGGCACATCAATGCAGGGACTGGGATTGCGAAGTTAGCAGCTGGATGCTCATATACACAATGTTAGAATCGTTTAAATCCAATTAATATCAAGAAAAAAGACAATAAAGGCATTTGTTAAGTTACAATTAACCATGTATACGGTGATGATCATCACGTGGGACCAGCCGTTCTAAAAATGGCATCTCCATCAACGGGCTCTTCTCCATCTTCATGATAACAACTGACAAGACAAGAACCCACAATGAACAAAGTTTCTCAGCCTGCAGGGTCCTCCCCTGAACCAGGCTAAAGTACGAGCCTCAGTTCTTTGTCTTTCTCTTACCGAGCTCTGGACTTGAAATACGGATTCTCCACCGACAATGGCACCGTCCGTCCGTTTCTTTGTGATGGATGCAGCGCTATTCTTGGGAAGCACAATTACAGTATCTATTGAACGGAAATTCCAATCGTCAACAGCCGCAATGATGCCTGTGCGACCCCGGGTGAGCTTTTAGTTCTTACCGAGCTATTGAGTAAAAAATAACAAACTTGTTCGGGGACTCGGGATGTTTTTTCTGACTCGCTCTGACCAGATGCCATCCTTGAACGAAAGCTGCAAGGACCTCTCCTCTCTGTATGATGACGTCGAGTCCATCCCCGCTAAAACAGACAGTCTCCGGACCAATCATTTGCTCTCATCTTCTTTGGGTGCTCTCACACACGTGAAACCTGGAACAAGTTCCAAGTCCAAGTCCCCAGAAGTGATCATCGTGGGAATGCTTCGGTTCGATCCGACGTTAACTGCCCGATACTCTGGGCTGGGCAATCTCTTTGTGCCTGATCAGCCCTTCCCTTCTGGAGTCTTGACAGCCCAGCCCAGATCTTTAATCTTCCGACCGAACTCGATGGACCCCTGCTCCCGGGAACCGCTTTCTTTGTGCCTTGGCCTAGGTTAGTCTCCGGCTGCCCTGCAGATGCCAGCACAACTTATTCTTTGCTGTTTCCACCTTTTCTTTCGTCTCGTTTCAACGGCGTGAGCTTTCAAGGTAAGTGCTTCCTCACGGTCCAGCTGTCTCAGTCTCGGGGTGATGTTAGCCGATATTTTCGACTAGTGTCGGAGGAAAGCGAGGATACCCTTGGTTCCTCTTTCAGCGCGAGTCCACTTGTCAGTGTCTAAACTTTTCTTTGTCCGGGATGGTATTCCCAGATGCTGGTCTGTTTAAATGTTTTACGTCACATCGTTAAGTTTGGATATAAGATGACAGCTGTCCTACACCGATGGCTTCAGACACGGGATCGGGAGGTCACTTTATGTCGCTTCAGATCGAGCGTTGGGCTATCACATCCCAAGGGTTGCAGACATTTTATGATATCCTACCCTGTTCAGATGAGTGTTAGTTCGCCGAATGACAGAAGCGCAAATTACGATTCACGCCATGCAATATAGTGGATTGTTGATGAGTACTGCACTCAAACCGTGATCATTCATTGTGTATCCTAAATAGCCCGAAATATTCTGCAAAACCCCGTCATTACCTTCCCACTAACACTTGTGCTGCGAATACCACCCAATCAACAACTCATAGAAACAGCCTGAGCATACAAAGCATACGTATCAGCGTGATTGATGTTCTGCTCCGCCGTCAAGCTGCGGACAAAGCTGTATCCGTAACCACCAAAATCAGAAGTACCCTTAATCTGATTCAGATGCGTCATCTCATGCAAGTTGGTGTTACCCTTATCTTGACCATGACAGCTATGCGTCGTGGCAGGCAGACGATCAAAGTACAAGTCACAGTATGACATGTAGTTGGCATTAGGAACAGTATACGCGAGAACACCATTCTTGCACGCGCCGTACTGGTCGCTGCAGTAGTAGCGCATATCGCCAGAATCAATGGTTCCGCACGCGCCGGCGATTTTGGAAAAGACGTCTGCCACGATTGAGCGTGTCGCTTGATCAGATCGTTTGAAGAACTCGTCCAGCTTCTCGGCTGGACCGCTGGCAGCAGCGTTTTGGGCGTTGACAGCTTGGTCGAAGCATTGTTTCAGAGCGGCTTGGGTGACGGCGAGTCTGTCGCCTGAGCAGTCGCTTTGGACTTGGGCTCGCTTGTTCTTGTTGTGGAAGGCTGTGCGGACGGAAAAGGCCTGGGGACCGTCGACTTCGGCGTCGAGTTGGTTGGAGTAGTAGGGGACGGAGCCGATGAGTTCCGTTGAGTTTTCAAGGGCAAAGGAAAGGGCGCCTGAGGTTGAGATGCTGAATTTGCCGCCGGTGGAAAGGTCGTGGAATTCGGCGATGTCAAAGGTGACTTCGGTAGAGCCTCCAGAGGGGATTCTTTGGAAGGATGTGTCGTCGAGCATGGAGGTGTCGATGGAGAGGCGAATGCCATCAAAGGGGACAGGCTTTCTCTCTGTTCAGTGTTAGTTTGTGTCTCGTGAAGCGAAGATGAGTGAAGACAATTGGGTAAATGTAACGGACTCTGATATCGTGATCATTGGTAGCATCACTAATATCTTATACCCGGCATCTGCCCAATACGGTCACTCATCTTGAAAACTTACCAGCAGTAGCGCTAAAGTCACTAGCAGAGTAAACCTGAGCCTTCTCAACAGGAGTTTCATCAAGAAACGTTCCAAGCCGGAGCAACTTCAAGTTGCTTCTACCATTATTGGTAATAGTAGCCTTGATCTTCGAGTTGCCCTGCAACTGCAATTCGACATCGAGAGGAGTGGGAGCGCGTTGACCCCAGAAGGGAAAAGGGAAAGCAACAGCCACAGAGGCAAAAGCAAGACCAGCAAGCAATTTCATGATGAACGATGAACCAGATCGGAGAAGATAAGATAAAAAAGAGTGTGTCGTGAATTAATGAAAAGTACAGCAAAAAAAGAATGAACGAATGAATGAAGAAGAAACAAGGGAACGGCGTGAGAAGGGATGGTAAAGCATTGTGAAGCAGACACTGCTGTATACTTATAAGATTGGGTTTGGTGTTTATTAAGGCGACAGGGGCATGGGACGATTGCGATCTTAATGCTTGAGCCAACATGCGGACCGTGTCCTTGGTGTATCAGCTTGTTGCTGTTTCGGCTTCTGGGTCAGAAGAATTGACCCTGGGGAGCATAAGAGACGAAATAATTTGGTCATTTTAGGTCACTTTAGACAGTCACTTAGGCTGTTTTATTTATGTAGCCTAAGTCTTGGAGGACAATTCTTCTGGCAACCACCTGTTCGGTTAGTTCTGTAGCTTACGGTTGTTCAATATGTTTGATACAGAGGAACATCCAAGGTTCTTAATTAAGTGGTCTCTTTTAATTCTCCGAAGGATCAGAGTCTTGCTCACACCCAACTGCCAACAAATACCTCCAAGTATATACACTCAGACTCTTCAATTGAGACATTTAATCGATCGAGTTTGTAACGATCTTGAATCTGCAAGTCAGAAACCAAATTATCTCAGGATCAAGTGCCGGTCCGGGCGTCATGCCAAATCGTCTGTCTCACCCGTTTCCGAAACACAGATTGTAGCATCGTCACAAGGATATGGTCCAGACCCCCACTACCAACAACTAAAGAAAGGGACATGTCAGAATATTATTCCCGATAGCGTAAAAGCCAGCGAGAATCAGATCGGGTAAATTTCTTCAGTGGTATTATGGATCGTGTTAAGAAGACTAGGTTGAGTTGGATTGAGCTTGTTTAGTATGGTCTTGGCGGTTGTGAACTTGTGAGTAGCGGGCTGGCGGGTAAGTGGTTTTCTGGAGACGTGAGTACCATACAACGTTGGTTGGTGGACGGATGTAAGAGGCTCGCGTGCGTGTCAAGTAGATAGTATATTCCGGTGGTTGATCAATTTAAGTGCAATATATCTAGGTAACCAACCGCGTGTTTGTAGGGCGCCATGAACATCGGGCGACCAACCTGGAAATGATCTTATAGCCAATCGACTTAACCTGGTGGTTGGTGCTCGCCGAGGAAGTCGAATGGGCAACATGACCATTATCCTCGAAGTCTGAGGGGGCTAAACTAAGTATCTAAAGTGTGACTCTAAGTCAGATGGTAACTCAATTCTTTCACCCCTTATGCTTTCAGAAACTAACTCCCGAGACCGACGGATGTACCCAGTGAAGGAGATGACGATGCTTATGGAGGCCACGGGAGTTAATTGCGAGGTGCATTCATTAATCAGTGATGGGGAAAGAAGGAGAAGAGATCTGGAAGTCTATCAAGAGACCGATAAAGAACGAAGAGCAGAGGAAGAAGCCCAATGCCGAGATAGGGGAGCCAACTGTGTGTTCCCAACAGCAACCCAACGAACCCGTGACGTTACGTTTCTAACATGCCTTTGTAAGTACAAACTCTCTCCTCTATGACTGCTTAGTTGTCCAACAGACGGTCAAATCTGAAGAGGCCTCCTTGTAAGTCATCGCCAGACTTTAATGGCAGCGCTTAGACCATCAAGAGCGATTAGTACTGTTTGTCTTTACGGTGAGCCATTATTCTCATATATATTGCGCGTGACCATTTAAGGTATTTGGTCCGTGAACAGGTCACTTGCACGAGGCTGGCGGTATATGGGATCCATGAGTTTGGTGCTTGACTTGAGGAGGTAGGTTATACAGTAGTTAGCAAGACTGACTTGCCGACTTGTGTCTCATCCTCTGAGTAATTATAGGTCTTTCCAACATCCGGGTCACAATCAGGCCTTGACGATGGCTCAAAGAAATACAATCCATGTCTAAGTCTATGTCCTTAAGCTTATTCCTCTGGATCCAAATGCCATGTATCGCCAACCCTAAATCCCTCGGGGAAAGGATCCGTATGATCCAACACGACCTGCTTGAAAGCCGTTATCCAAGCCTGTCCCTCAACAGACGGCAACACAGCAGAGTACTCCCCGATCTGAGAAGTCCCCTCCACTCTTCCAATAAACTCCGTCCCAGTAATCCCCCGATGGTAAAAGTTCTCTCCCTCTTTTAGCTCCCCTCTAGCATGAAGAACGGCCAATCGAGCACACGTTCCTGTTCCGCAAGGACTTCGATCTAGACGTCCAGGGGATACAACAACTGTGGTGTTCGCAGCCTTTCCATCCTTGTACTCGTAGAGAGGTTCCGTGAACTCGATGATTGTGACACCGTGAATTCCCGAGTTCTCGGGATGAGCGGGGTCTGTTTGGTCCATTGTGGCTCTCTTGATGCGTTCGCCGACTTCCACTAGCTTGGCTCCTTCGTTGCTCTTGATCTTGAGACCAACCGAGGCAGCATCGACCAAGACGTAAATCATGCCTCCATAGGCAATGTCGACTTTCACTTTCCCGAGCCCAGGAACATCGATCTCCTTATCCAGCGCAAACACAAATGCCGGCACGTTATGAAACCGAACACTCTTGCACTTGCCCTTCTCACATTTTGCATACGCAGTAACCAGTCCAGCCGGGGCATCAAGCTTAACCACCGTCTCAGGCTCTTTCATCTCCACCATGCCCGTCTCTAACAAACAAGTCACCGTCGCAACTGTATTTGCGCCAGACATAGGCGGATATTCTTCATGCTCCATGATGACGAAGCCATAGTCTGCTTCCGGGTTTGTTGGAGGAAGGAGAAGGTTGTGACACATTGCTGAGCAACCTCTTGGTTCATTGAGAAGAAGATTGCGGAGGTTATCTTCTTTTTGGGAGAAGTATACCATCTTCTCGTACATTGTTTTACCGGGGACATCACGGACGCCGCCTGTTACGACGTCGCAGACTTCGCCGCCGCAGTGGACGCCCACTGTGTTGAAGCTGCGCTTGTAGGGCATGTTGAAAGAGTTGGAGTAAGGTAGTACAAGAAGAATAGAATGATGGAAGCTTCGATGTTGAGTTAGTTTCTAGAACTCCTTACACAGAATATATGCAGATGTATTTCGGAATCATTAACCGTAGTCAATTGGTTCTATTCTATGCACACTGATAACCAAATGTAATTTATCAATCATCAAGTTCACTTCAGATATCTCTTCGTTATCTTTCATACATATTTAATGTGAGGTTAGTGTAGCCGCCGCGGGGTGAAGAAGTCGGGCTCGGATCCGTGGTCTACACCCACCGGCAGTAGCTTCCGATGAAGGTCCAGATCAAAACAAACTCACGTACTGATTTCAATATGATAAAAGCACCGAATAATACATTATAAACACCTATGCTTGCTTCTACATGTAATTAGGCGCACCCTTTTATATAATCCAAGAAATCACCGTTCGTACAAGCCATCCATTAACCTTCAAGCTCTTGTGGCGCTGAAGAAACCTTGCCCCGTTTCTGATACATCTCACTCGTCGAAGCATAACCTTCAAGTCCCTGCGGCGACATAGGCATAGACATTTTGTGGTCATTGCGCCCATACATCTCAGCTGTCGCGATGTGAGGAATCTGTGCACGTTTGTTCTTGTTCCGTTTGCGAAGGAAGAGCCATGCAGCTACAGCGACGATGGCGATACCAGCGGGAATGCCGACGCCGAGTCCGATCTTCATTGCTTGACCGTCGTCTTCTTCAGTTTCAGTTGAGTTGTCTGATGATTGGGTTGATGTTGATATAGCCTCAACAGAAGTCGTGGTAGGAAGTGAAGAGGTCGTTGTCTCACTCTCAGTTGAGTTTCCGAGGGCGAGATTGCCTTCATCGTCGAGGAAATAACCGCGTCCCTCAGCGCAACATCTTTTGTTCTTGTCTACGCAACAGTAGCTTCCATCCTCGCATTGTTCGACCCTTTGGGAAAATGTTGTTCTCCTCCTCTGTGACGGAATTAGTCAAACTGGTCAAGAACAAGTTGAGGAAACTTACCTGTGACACAGATAACAGCGCACTCCTTCATATCCCAAGGCGCAGCAGCACACGGCCCTCTAACAAACATATTCTTGGCCTGTCCTTTCCTTTGGCCTAGCCGACTCGGCATGCACTCTGCGTCCGGACCATAACAGGCGGAAGAGCCAGGACATTTTCTATTCCCTTCCCATGGTTGGCCATCTACTCCCCAACACGTTCTGTTATTGTTGTCTTGAGAGAATACATATGTGAGTAGAAGGAAGAAGGCACTGAGGATGGTACCGAGGTGCATCTTGAAGACCAGCTTCTGAGCTAAAAGAGAGAGTGATAAATGATCGCCTTGTAAGGAGGGAAGCGCTTGAGTTTTAGAGCGCAGACTGAAGACTCGGCTGTAAACAGCCTGCCAGCCCCAATAGTGTTATATGCTGTTGGCTTGGCCGCATATCCTGGAACTTTTAGCAATTGGATGGATGGGATAGGGATTCGGTTACAGGATCTGTAGTCCTATTGACGAGGGATCTTTCTGTTAGAGCGACACATCAACATTTCCACCGTCTCAACAGGAGAGATACTTTAGTCAGTCTCGTGGACCCTATGGAAACTATAGATAGTTCAGACCAAGTGAGAAGCTTCTGCGAGTTATCAAGAGTTGTCAAGGAAGATTGTCTGTCTCAAGCGCCGGAAGTCTATACTGCATCACTAAGTCTTATAAACAAGATCTCTTTGTTGTTAGTGTGAAAGTATCATACTATCAGACAAGATCAAGATCCATTATTAGGATCACCGGAATCAGACAATAGTTAAAAAGCAAGAACAGACAACGAAGCGGCAAGAGGCAAGCGGCAAGGCAGACTAACAGGGTGAAGTTGAAGATCAGCAGCTCAGGCAACCACAACCCCTGCATCCCTCAGATTCCAGCGGCTCGTATTTCCCCATAAGGCTGCGTCCCAGTTTACGTTCCAATCTCGGTTCAAACTCGTCTAAGTAAGGCAAAAAGAAGAATACTCAAGACCTGAACTCGAAGGAAAATGAAGAATTCGTGAGTAGAGTGTATAGATGAGTGATAAAATATCATATCATGTTTTTTTATAGCCAAGAAACTCTGAGACGCAATTTCATGTGGTTGGCTTATTGGTCGTCGTCTTCAATCCTGCTCATCAATAATTGGGTCCCCCATCCTGGAAGCCATCCAGGGGTGCAGAGTGGATTGCTCGGTAGCCGTAGTCCGCTGCTTAATTAGGTCCCGCCTTGCCCTCCATCTCTGCTATTCTTGATTCTCCATCAAACCTACGTCACGCGATCATGTCGTTGGCATCGGCACTCATTCTCAGAGTCAGCCAAATCATAAGAGATCCTCCGCGCGCTCTTGTACGATTAGGCATATTCGCTGCGTTTTCTATTCTTTTGATTCTTGTTACTTGGAAAGGCTCTTCGGTGTTGTCTTATGGCTGGAGCGCTGCGCCGATAAGCGAGGCTGAGCTTGACATTTCGTTAAAGGCGAAGGAGTTTGGCGAGAGTCCCATTAAAGCGCCGTATAAAACTACTTTTTGGGAAGTTGGTCAACGGTCGAGGGAGTTGAGGAAATGGATTGAGAAGGCTGATCATGTTGGGACTTCTTCGTTTGCTGGGCGACAATTGCATGATGTTGTTGAGACGACGGCGCAGGAGTTATTTCCGTTCTTGAAGAACCCACCGCGCAGACCAGGGACGAAAACGCCGCTGGCTGATTTGAGACGGACCTTCAAGAAGGGATCGAAGGGAATTGTTATCCCCGTTGGAGGTGGTGAACAGTCTGTTCGATTCGCCGGCCATTTGATCGTCAGTTTGCGAAAGGTCTTGGGTTCTCGATTACCGATTGAGATCGTGTACGCGGGAGAGGATGATCTACCAAAGAAGGACCGCGACAGAATCTCGAATCTGGATGGTGCAACTGATATCGAGTTTGTCGACATCTTCACCATCTTCGACGACACGACTCTGAAGCTCAAAGACGGAGGTTGGGCTATCAAGGCTTTCGCAATGTTAGGTTCTCGCTTTGAACAGGCAATTCTTCTAGACGCAGATGCCGTTTTCATCCAAAAACCCGAGGAACTGTTCTCTCAACGGGCATACAAGGAGAAGGGCGCTCTGCTCTTCCACGACAGACTTCTTTGGCAACATGCCTTCAGATCGCGCCATGATTGGTGGATAGACCAAATCAAGGTCCCGTCAGCGGAAATGAACAACTCCCTTGTCTGGACAGAAGACTACGCCGAAGAATGCGATTCTGGTGTCGTAGTCCTCAACAAAGGCCGCGTAGACACTCTCGTCGGCTTGCTCCACGTCGCATGGCAAAACACGCACGACGTCCGCGAAGAAGTAACCTACCGACTCGGCCACGGAGATAAAGAGTCTTGGTGGCTCGGTCTAGAACTCAGCGGTTCACGATACGAATTCGAGAAGCATTACGGTTCGATGCTAGGCTGGGGTAAAGAGGAAGGAAAGGTGTGCAGTTTTGTCATCGCACATACAGATGAGAAGGATAAGTTACTGTGGTACAACGGAAGCTTGTTGAAGAACAAGAGAGTGGATCCGGAGGGGTATGAAGCTCCAGAGTATTGGATGATGGATGGTAAGTGGCACAAGGGTAGGACGAAGGATGATATGAGCTGTATGGATGGCAGTGAGGTTTTGAAGTTGAGTGATAAGGAGAAGCATGTCCTAAGGGAGAGTATTGATGTCGCCAAAAAGGTGGATGAGGCTTTGAAGAGGGGTTGATGATGTATATTATTATTTAGGATGTAATTGCATAGTATAATACTTTCTCTCTTGGCATATTCCAGTCTTTCATGATTGTCTAGAGCTAGTTGGGCCTCTGTCAAACAACTTGGCATTTTCTGTATGGGGTAAATATACCGGAACATGATCCGTAGTCGGATGGCAATGCGGAGAAACGACACCGGTAACAGATGCCGATGAGATATCCCTCCAAATTATATGGAGACGATTTATTCAAGATCAATTAAAGGAAGAGAAATACTGGGCAATTCGTTCTTGGTGGGTTTATACGAGCTGGGATAATAGAAACTTTGGCGAATGACGGTGCTGACGGTTATCACGATCAAGCGGAGTAGTCTACCCCGACCTCGCATTTAGAAGCTACCTTGCGATAAATAGCTTCAAATTCCCATCTCATTAACTGTAACCCCAATTCTTATCTACTTTCACAATATTTGTTAACGTAAGCCAACATGTCGAACGGCCTACTCATCCTCGGCGATGAAGAGATCCGCAACCTTTTGCTAACCCTCTCAAAACCCGAAATCCTCACCTTTAAAACGGTTTTAGAAAAAGTCCTCATCGACTTCTCCGTCGGCGGCGAAGGCCAATACCAACCAACCCCAGACTTCGTCAACAGACCCTCCGGTCAAAAGACTCTCTTCCGCACTTTCACTTCCCCAGACGGTGTTGGCACCAAAATCGTCGTTACACCAGCGCCCATCACAGATGAGAATGGAAACACGGTGAATCGTCCTCTTGGTGGTTTGCTTTCGCTATGTGATTCCGCGGGTGTGCCGACTGGTATACTCAACGCTGCTGAACCAACAGGATATCGTACTACGCTTTCTGCGCTTATTCCTTGGACGTGGAGACGATGGACGGAGAATATTGTTGTTTTTGGCGCGGGGAAGCTGTTGGTTAGGCTTGCCTATACCTATGTTTGTGCTTGTGTTTGTGTTTGCCTTACTGACATACAGTCACACAGCTGTACAAGTCACTAAGGACAAACTGCTGATGCCTTCAGAGGCATTATGTCAGGACTATTATAAATAGTCCTCTTTCTTCTAGCTAGATTAGACTTAGATCAATCAAGCCTTCTTTACACAACTTACTGAAGCAGGGGCTTTGGCATGCGAGACTTGCCCTGGCACTTAGAGGAGATGAGATCAAGAATATCACCATCGTTAACCGTTCAGTTGGAAGGGCAAGGGACTTGGTGAAGCAGGTCATGGAAGAGAATGAGAGGTACTGGAAATCTGAGGCTAAGCTGGAGGTTCTTGATCCTGCGCAATCAGACTACGACGAGGCTTTGGCGTCACTGTTGGGCTCGGCGGATGCAGTATTCTGTACCGTCGGTTCGACAAGTCCTCTGTTCAAACTCAAAGCAATACTCGGCGATGGATCTCGAAGCAGATTACCCTTCATCGGAGCCATCGGCTCATGGCAACCCGATATGATTGAATTAGATCCTGAGATGCTCCGTCACGCAGCTTTACGAGACGACTCATACAGTCCACGCGGCGCAAAAGGAAGTATTCTTGTTGATGACCTTGAAGAAGCACTGGTCAAGTCTGGAGAAGTCATACAGAGTGGTCTTGAGAAAGATAGTTTGCTGCAAGTGGGAGAGATTCTAGACTGGCTTGATGATCAGTCTGAGAGAAAGCCTGAAGAAGGTGTTGAGAAACTGAAGGCGTGGATTAGTGAGGGGTTTGTGGTGTATAAGGGTATTGGAGTTAGTGTGACGGATATTGCTGCTGGTAATGCGATTCTGGAACTGGCCAGGAAGCGGAATGTTGGGACTACTATTTCCAACTTTTAGTTTGGGAGAAACAATGTTAACATGATAATGCGTTGACACTGGTGCATACTGCATTGCCACGAGGGTATCGGCAGAATGGTTCTTTAAGGCTGGCCCTCTAATTCCAAGGGCGACAAAGACATCTTGGAACACTTTTACCTATATATCTCCGGCTATCGCGACGTGTGGGACCTACTGAACATGGAGGTCACTCGCAAGAGAGGTGGTACACTGGATCTATGAGCTTAGTTTTTGAGATTTGGGATAGCTTATACGCAATCAACTAGACCGACTTGTCGGTTTGTGTTTGAAGAATTATCTGCCTAAAGAACAAGGAATGAGACAATTTAGTTACCTTATACCAGCCTCAGACAATTCATCTGTATCCAGTATGTTACCAAGCCGGTCCAGACCCTATATCATATACAGTATAGTTAATCACATGCTGCAGCCAACATGCAATGCAGGAGAAGTTGCACTCCCAAATTGTATAAGGCAGGGTATAATAAAGAGAAAATTACCTTGCATCGCATACAATTAATCGGCAGCTGCTGATCGTGGATCGACTTCCGGGGTGCATGCATGACGTAATCTACCGGGCTTTTCCCGCTAAAACCGCGTCCCTGGGAAACCTAAACCCGAAAAAGATGAAAGATGCCTAGAGAGCTGTTCATAGCTCTTTCCATCGTGAACATCAAATCCGTATATACTACTTTTCAACAACATCAACGCGCACTTATCTTTTTGTTCAATCGCTTGCGCACATTGACCCCCGTCATGAGATAGCATCCACACACAAATCCTGACTGACTGAGCACACCTCGCCCATCATCATGTCAGTCAGCCCAGCGCCATCCCTCCAACTGGCGGAGTATCTCGAGAAGCTGCCCGGCACGACGTTTAGAAAACTCTACCAGCAGCCCTCCACCGCGTTCGCCATCTTCCGTCGCATGCTCCCCCATCTCGGTTCGTTTTACCCGTCTCAAACCTGCGCGCGCGCGTTGTTCTAACTTCTGAACAGCAAAGACTTTTGTCATGCGCATCCTCTACCTCCCTAAACCGATTCTCCTAAGCGACCTCGATGACTGGGTAAAGCCCAACGCAAAGCGCCAGAAGGATCAGGCACTCGCTGTCCTGCGCGGATTGCATATCGTGACGATTACTACGCCGAGCAAGGAACGACCGCAGGAGATGCACCTTACATCGAATTTTAAAATTTCGTTACGACTCGCGCTTTCGGGAGGCGGTTCACACAACTCCTTTGGTGTGCCTTCAACACTACAAATACCACCTGAAATCGACATCGCTTTCCTCGATCGCTATGCTAGAAAGAAGTGGGAGGATATCCTGCACTTTGTCGTGTCTAGTGTAGGCTATAAGAGCACGGGCGAATCTTCTGGACCGAATAAGAGCGTGAAGGAACTCCTCGTCGCGGGCCGTCTCGTTGATCGAAGACCTAGTGGTGCTATCGGCATTACGCAAGCTGGCTTCACCTTTTTGCTACAAGAGGCTAATGCTCAAGTGTGGACGCTTCTGCTTCTCTGGCTCGAGGCTATGGATGTCAATAAGATGGCCGGTCTCGAAGCTACAGATATGCTTTCTTTCCTCTTCGTCCTGGCCAGTATGGAACTTGGCCGTGCGTACGATACTAATGCTTTGACGGAACAGCGCAAGAACATGCTGCCGTCCCTCGTCGACTTTGGTCTTATATATATCCCCAACCACAAACGCTCCATGTTCTTTCCTACACGACTCGCTACAACACTTACATCCAGCGGTAACAGTCTGCGCAGCATCAGCGACGGCGTAGCAGCCGCCACAGCAGCAGCTCTCCAACCAGGCCAATCCCGCGCCCCGGGCAGCAGCACAACAGCATCTGCCAACGAACAGCGCGGCAGCGTAATCATCGAGACCAACTATCGTATCTACGCCTACACCCAGTCCACGCTCCAAATCGCCGTTCTGGCACTCTTCACCAAGCTCCAAATGCGTTTCCCCGACATGGTCGCCGGTCGAATCTCGCGTCAATCCATCCGTCAAGCCATCAACTTTGGCATCACAGCCGAGCAAATCATCTCATACCTCTCAGCCCACGCACACGATCAAATGCGTCGCAGCGCAGCACTGAACAACAAGCCCATTCTTCCACCCACGGTAGTCGACCAGATCCGTCTATGGCAGCTCGAAAACGAACGTATGAAGACAACAGGCGGTTTTCTATTCAAGGATTTTGAAGATCAAAAGGAGTATCTTGCTGTGGCAGGCTTCGCGGAAGAAGTGGGTGTTTTGGTCTGGCGGAACGATGTCAAGGGGATGTTCTTTGCGAGCAAGCATGAGCAGATTAGGGATTATCTGCGGATTCGAAAGAAGGCTGAGTAAGCTCGGATGGACGTAGACAGTCCTTATGATCTCGTGCGAAGGAGCTCTCTTGAAGAGAAAAAGGACTAGAATGGGGAGGATAGCATTGGAGTTCATGGCGTTAAGTTGATTGGACTGAAAGGAACCGGGGAGATTGCTATTCCATTAGCTATAATGCGCACGTCGCATGGATATCATATAAACAACACGCTCAAGGCTCAGAATGTCTACTCTTCGCACATGTGACACACCACACCACGGGAAACTGCAGATGAGTACCAAAAGTCTATTATTGAATTATCATTAAACCTCTATAAGCCTCCGCTGGCGATGGAACTTGACCATGATACAAAATGAAACGCTAATGAACCCAAATGCTTTTCCATCCCACAGCGATATCATCCCCAATCATAAACAAAGCGATAGCAAAGAAAGAAAGTGTGCCACAATACCAATCCGAGCTTAAACATGTCCCTTTTAGCCTTCATACACTTTTTTCCTAATCAGCCGATGACAAAGAAGCCTGCAAACAAAGAATACAAATGGTGTTGGGTGCTCTCCTTCCTTTTAAACAAAGACCTCTAGTTGAAGGAGAGTCGTTTTCCGCGTTCTCGAGCAGCAAGGGTTGGGTTTCTCTTCTTGGAGACTGGTAGACCTGATGGCTCTTGCATGACTGGTAAACTTCGTCGTACACTGGAGCTTGTGCTGGTGCCTCCACTGAAGATTCGTCCCATCAAGCTGGTGTTTTCTATACTTCTTCCTTGGGGGAGAAGATTCGGTTTGTTCATGCGGCGGGCGTATGTCTGCTGCCAAGCATACAATGACCGACGAGCTTCCCTGGTGACACAAAGGGTTTCGAGATGTTGAAAGATGCGCAAACATCGAGCATCTTTATTGTTCGGTGGTTTGCGTGGCTTCGTGTCTGCCAGGCTTGTGAGAGCTGACGTCGTGGTAGAGTAAGAAAGATGTGTCGGGCGAGAATTGGCAGCAAAGCAGTCGGGTCTCATAGAGTAAGGTTGAAGACTGCTTCCAAAAGACAAGCCTGGCGAAAAGGCATCTTCATTGTCGTAATCCTCGGAGAGAAAGCGATCATGCAGAGACATGAAGCGACCAGACCAATATGCTGAAGGTTGAGACTTGGTGATCTGACGAGGATCCGATGGTGTCTCCATGGTGCTTGTACTGCTGCATCGAGAGGCTGACATGGAAGTTAAAGAAGATCGTGCGAGACGAAATTTCGAAGTGCCAGCTGAGAGAAGACTACTCGTTGAAGATGCAGACGTCTTGCGAGATTGATCAGCAACGATTGGAGGTTGAGGAGTTGACGGTTTTGAGCTCAAAGGTCGAGAAATAGAAGACTTGATCTCGCTCAGAACAGTCAACGTGCGAGACTTCGGGAGTTGACTCTTATTCATGCCTTGAGAGGGGGGAGCTGCTTCTTTGTGATCAAGGGGAGGGACGTTCTCGTCCTGAATCGAAGTGTCGACGGATGAATATACACCAAAGCTAGAGCTATTGGCTAGTGTCTTCCTAGAAAAGTTGGTGAAAGATGCGGTAGTCGGGAGAGGCTTGACAGGAGTAGCAGTCAAGAGCGATTGATGAGATGTAGTAGCAGTGAGACCAGATTTGGCAACAGTAGGAGGGCTAGCAAGTGAACCGTGAGTCGAGAAGCTTGCAGAGATGCGTCGAGTGGTCTTTTTAGCTTGTGCATTTTCTTTGTCGGACGATGAATCGTCTGAACAACAGTCTTTGATCGTGGGAACAATGATGAGTGTGTCGCTTCGAACAAAGTCTGGTCCTCGAGAGTTCTTGACGGGCCCAATGGGTCCTGATATGACGGGTCGTTTTCTCTTAGATCGGAAGTTGGTGGTTGGAAGTCGTAGTTTAGAAGAAGGTAGGCGTTTGCCCTCAAGCCCGGCACGAAAGGTATCCATGGTGTCAAGAAGTTGACAGGTAGAAGCAAAGTAGTTATTGTGCTGGTTTCGAATTCTCCTTGTCAGAGTCTGCGTCTGAGTCGGGGTCTTTCTCTGAATAGACGTCTCTTTCTGATTCGTAGTCTCTTTCTGATTCACAGTCGAGACCTAGGCTCCTGAACTCAAGTTCATGGACGCAGGTTTGCACAAACGTCCCAGCAATTAGACGGACTTTGAATCGGTATACCTGAAATCTCAACGCTGCTATAATGCCTAGCAGGTAGACTTCTTGATTGAATCTGTGGAAGTCGAGCAAAGTCAAATGGTCGGGATCTGATGTACACGCACACCCTGGTCGGTTGCATCGACTGTACGGCGCGATGGTAGTTATCTATAACAGGAGCATGAAGTAACGGACAAGAAAGGCTGCGGTGAGGCGGTTGTAATCGTAAGCAGCACGATAAGACATTGTATAAGAAACGAGTGTAAGTGGATGGTCAGTGAAGATTCCACGGGTCGATGTTGTTGTTGATGTTTGTTTTGTTTACCTTCCCAGCACCTGCCTGGATTGTCAGTTGACGGCAGCCTAAGAGACGAAATAATTGGTACAGTTACGTCAGTATAGACGACCACTTAGATCACTTTATTTTGGCGCCCCCAAATTTCAGGAACTACCAGATAGCTGGCGATGCAGTGGCACTGCGGAAGGAACCAGGGCAGATGCACTGCCAGACTTTGTCAGTTGGTAGTTGGCAATGCTTTCTATTCCCAGGCGTCACTGCCTGCCATTCGTGAGTCTAATCCCAGCCTTCTTTCTAATCCAGTCATTGTCTTCATCAAACACTCCTGACCAGTGCTATCTAAAGATGCCCATTGCTCTCTCCGTTTACTCCGTTGCTTCCGTTACAGAACTCATCGTCCCACCCATTAATCGCAAATTCAAACTTCAAGTCTCCCTCTCCTTTCGGCACCGCATTGCCATTGCCGTCCCAAAGCGCCCTCTCGACCATCGTGACGTTACCTTCCCAATCGACCAGCACCACCGTCTGTCGCTGCGTTCCATACATGCCCGTCTCGAAGCCCATGATGGGTGTTGTGCTTGGATCTGGTCGTCCTTCTGACATGAGCTCTTCGGCTGCTGCTTGATCATCCGTCGCCCATTGGCCAGGTCCTTTCGCCATGGCTGCTTCCATTGCCTTTCTATGTTTCTCGTCTCCGATCAATGGGATGAAGACGCTCTTCTTGAGCTCGTTGATATACTCGACCAGACTGGCGTTTTCGTTCCTTGGTAGTGTGTCGGTGCTTAGGACATCCAAAAGATTGGCAATGAGATCATTTTGGCTCGAGTTGCTGGACACTGCGTTGTCGATAGCTTCGCGGAACAGCTTCTTTCCAATAGAGATCTTTGCCCATTCGTCCTCCTTCCCTGTCGCATCGAATGCCGTGTTACTCAACCCCCACATCTCACCACGCTCTTTAGCAATGATAGGCACCTCATCGACATTGCCTGCTCTATTGCTAATGATAGCGATCCCAGGAGTCTTTCTCCTCAACTTGCCGCAAACCATGGAGAATCCCCCGACGCCTTTAACGCCGTCATTCTCAACAAGTTTGTGCACGCTATCCTTGAGACTCTCCTCAGGCGGCGTTCCCAGCCAGGCAGTAACCATACCGCCTCTGCTTTTGGCAGCATGAATAGGATGATTCTGGTCCTTAATGTCGGTTTCTCGGTAATTGGTAAGTACAGCCATATGACCGTCTTTGCTTAGTCCCATCCATGTTCCCTTCTCTGCTCGTTGAAGATCCCGGGATGACAAGACTGGTCGGCCAGATGTGCTGTGCGTCCACCAATGTGGTCGCGATGTAGGTCTGAGAATGAACTCATCACGATTATCGATGGCGATTAATGCATAATCGGGATGTGAAGTGGTGAGAAGTACGATGCACATGTTGTCTTATATGTATGTATGTCTTTGGTGTTTCACTCCAGTTCGGAGATTTATGTCAAGTAATTTGATGTTGAAAGAGTTGACGCAAGTGGCGGACGATCAGGTACAGATAGACGTTGGGTAGTGGGGGAGTCCCTTTTAATATGTCTCATTAACCAGGTACCAAACAAATTGTACAACGCTTTCTCTAGCCCAACAAATACGTGTTTGGTTCACAGCCTCGGTACTATGTAGCGTCATGCGTAAATGGTCTAGATGCCGAATGATCTGATCTAATCTCATGGATGTTTGTCCCGGCTAAGGCTACGGGCGGCTTCGGGCTTGATTTGCGGGGATGAGGTCAAGTTTGCAGGGGTCATGACTACGACAGACGTGGGATGCCAATGTGGTGAGACCTTGGTATCAGACTCACGTGGGAAATGGTCAATGTTTGTAACCTTAATTGGTTCCAGATTGACGGGGTTTACCGATCTACTAATTGGATGTTGAATGCTCCGTTTTCGGGTCACACCACTGAGGCGCATGGACTTACAGCCAAGCATCATGCCACTCGCCAGGGCTACAGAAGAATTGGTTACCCAGAGCAAGACATGAAATAATTTGGTCACTTTATGGTAGGTAGTTTAGATCAGCATTTAGGCTTCTTTATTCTAGTAGCCTAAGCCTTGGAGGTCGTTTCTTCTGTAGCCACCTACCTACCTAGCCACTCTCAACGGTAATAATTGCGTAGCCTTAGGATAGAATTTTGAGTAACCAGGACCTACTAAACACATTGACTTAGTAGATGTTCTACGAATATTATCGCATTGAGAAAACTGGATACTGCAAGCGCCTACCCTTTTATCGGAGTCCAGTGCAAAGATGCATGGGATATCCTGAGCTCTCAAAATAGACACAGCTGTAGACAAAGAGAACACTCGCTCTGGCTGATAATGATTACGGAGGCCTCATGCGCATTTAAGTTTGTGAAGTTTTACATCTGCGTGAGCTGAAGTCAAACGTCCTTCATCGAAGTCAATATTTTGCCTCGGATCCAAGATGTCAAGTGAAGCAAAACCCAAGGTAGATTGGGATCGGGAACGGCAGTGTTGGCTATCAGGATATGCAAACAATAAGCATCACGAATACAATGATCATTCCAAGTATTATTGCATGTACTTCTTGTAAAGATGTCAAGTCTGGCCCAGGCTGTTGTTAGTATCATTGCGACCGTACAGGAGGCCATCACCACCACGGATATAACATCAGTACCACAAAAAGGGGCTCAGACGAGCGCATCAACGAAAGTAGCAGCAAAGATCAACCTGCAGTAGCCAATTGCTCTCATTTCTCTTGAAAAATGAGTCAAACATGTCGCGTGGGAAAAGGATTTCTGAAATTTAGTTGAGTGTTGCGTCCATTAAGCAGAGTATATCATCTGCATCAAACAGGGTATCGCAATCCATCAAACCAAACCCCTTGTTTTTGCACTCATTTTCTCGGGAATCAGAACTCTAAAGCACGGTATTTATCTATATAAGAAGGGCATCCTGTCCCCTTCCCTTGGAACCAGCATCTTCAGTCTCTCGACAGCTTCATCGGAAAGTGATCACACTGCTTTCCATCATCATCTCAAACACTCAAGCACTTGCAAAGCCTCCTTGCTATCATCCAACAAGTAAGTACTGCACCTACCAACTAATCTACCAAGCTTCTGGTTCCCGTCAATAATTCCCCATACTTTTAAACTCATCTTCAAAATACTTGTTTTCCGCATCCTCGGCAAACGACATACTTTACTTCACAACAGTACTAACGAGTATTCTATCAGTTACCAACACGAACCCGTCTCAGTATCGTTCGGGTTTATAAATGTCATCATTTACACCGATCAATCGTCAGGCCGGTACCCAAGCTCCCTCTCTTACTCCTGCCGAGACCGGGCTTCTTACACCTCCTCCCACTCCTCCTCCTGTCAACGTAGGCGCAGCTCTCTTTCATTTCGGGATGCTCACGCCTCCTCCTAGTCCTCCTGCTGCTATGCCTCCCCCTCCCCCTCCTACACCTGTTACCCCAGCCCGAGCACCAGCACAAGCCCCAGCACCAGCCCGACCATCAGCTGCTCCCAAGCCTCCCAGGTTGCGCAAATGTGACGACTGCGGCGATACCTTCAGCTACAAGAATATTGCCGACCACAGGAAGGTCCATAAGATGCTCGGAGACGAAGGTGGGCTGGCTCGTCCCTGCAAGCAATGCAAGAACCACCCCGAGCGGTGTTATGTGGCCATCCATCCCGAGAAGCTCAACACGTACGCGTGCGCTTGCTGTCTCGGCGCCCACAAGGCTTGCAGCTTTAAGTCGATCAAGTTTGAGAGACCGAATGAGTGGGCTGATAGACATCCCTTCTTGTTGGAGAAGGAAAACATCCCTCCTGAAGAAGAGGACAGTACTTCAAACTCATCGGCGAGTAACTCAAACTCGTCGATGAGTACCTCAGTCTCGTCAGTGGAGGTTAATCCTCATAATAGGTCCTGGGAACTCTAATGAGCGCATATGACGTTCTTAACGCTCTTCTACCCCTTCAGGGAGGTCACAGAAGAGTTCTCCTTTGAGGCTTAGGCTACTATAACAAAGTACTTATGGGCGAATGTGTATGGGTTGTCTTTCTTTGGTTTTGAGTCAGTGCTGGAGTTTAAGGAGTTCAATAGAAGGAAAAGGAAATGACTTTTTGTATTCAGTTTTCTCAATAGATCTTTTCTCTACACATCAATGTTTCATCAAACTTGTAACTTTTCTGTGATTATATGTGTTTAAGCGAACGGATGTTCTCATAAGGTCGATGCGACAACGATCGGTCTATCACGAGGACTCCCCCAAGACAGCATAAATAACAGATATACAAGAGCAAGATATATTCAAGTGTCAGTACTAAATACAAGACCTAATCCTCATGTTTTCTCTCGCACTATTAACTCCCCATACAGCCAATGTATCCTAGTCATCTCCGAAGCGGCGACTTCGGCTCAGCAGAAGACCTACGTTTAGTTCCCGGCTTCTTCTTATCCCCACCCGCACTCCCATTCTGACCTTCCTCCATGGCCTCAACGACAGTAGCTTGATCAGATCGAAGCACGACTCCCTCAGCGATGACTTCGTCACGGCATACAAACTGAGGGAACAGAACTGCGAGGACAGCAGGCTTGGGACTTCCCTTAACAGGCTTGCGAGTGATGGCATTACCGACGTCGTAGTCATCGTACTGTCCCGCACCTCGCGAATCTTCCTCGTCGGGCAGTTCAGCAGTGATCATATCCCTCGAGCGCTGCGCATCTGCCCAGAGTGCAACAGCGTGTCTAAACAGTGCCGGTACAGCACTAAAGAACCCAGTCTGTTTATACGCCACGACAAGCGGATGAAGAGCCGTTCGCACCTCATTGCTCGCTTTACGGACAATATCCTCTTGGATAGTCTCGACTTGTTCCGAGTCGGCTAGGGAGCCGAGAATTTGACAGCGGTACACGGTCTCGCGGCGCTCGTCGCCTTTGAAGAAGCCTAGCATGCTGGATGCTGAGGTACGCATGTCGTGGGATACGTAGAAGGGGACGAATATGTGAGAGAGGAGGGTTTCGGAGATTACTGCGTCTGCGACGGCGCAGCGCATCTTTGCGGCTGCTTTTGTGGTGCGGGTTGAGATGGGGATTTTGGGGAAGCGGGCGAGGAGTTCTTGGATCTCGCTTGCGGAGTCCTGGTAGACGGTCAATATTGAATTGAAGAAGGATGGGTGTACAACTTACGACTGCACCGTCGTGGAAGTTGAAGTACTCGTTCACGAAATCATGAACCTTCTTCGACAACTCCTGAAGATCAGAGCGCCTATAAACGTCAGCAGGTTACCACTTGTCAATGGTTCAAGTACTCACAGCTTCTTGACCTCCTCAGATCCATAATCCCTCAAAATGCCCTCTCCAAGATCACTCTGCGCCTTACCCAACTTCCCCTTCACACTCTCCAATTCCTCAGCACCAGTCTGCATTTGCGACCGATGCAACTCACACTCCGCATTCATCTCCCTAATCTCAGCAGCATGGTTCTTAGCATGCATCTCCGACGCATTCAGCAACTTCCTCAACTTATCCGCTTCACCCGCTCTATTCTCCGCTTCAGCAAGTTTCTCTCTTGCTTCTTGTACTTCCTTCTCCATAGCCTCAACGGCCGCTTTTTCGGACTCGTACGTCTTGTACTTTTGTTCAAACTCTGCAAATATCATGTCTGTCTTTGCGCTGGCTGCGGCTTTGTGCTCTGAGAACTCGCGCACGATCTTGTCGTTGAATTCGCGGAGGCGCTTGACTTCGCCTTGCTTGGCTTCGAGGTCTGCTTCAAGGGCTTTGCGCTCTTCGGCGGATTTCTCAAAGTCTTCTATGGAGCCGACATCTTTGGAGACTTCCTTTGCTAGAGCGAGGAGCTGCCATAGCTTAGTGTGCTTATTGGCGTTGGTATTGGAGTTGGTATTATTGTTTTGTTTGTTGGTGTTGGGTGTTTTTTCAGGAGTGACAGTGCCATTGCCATTGGTATGACCATGGCCATTGACCTTGACCTTGGGATCCGCCATGTTTGTTTGATGTAGAAAGAATAGAGTAATCAATTTGTTGCATTATATCGCTTGAAATCGTCACATTATATAAACTTGTCGCTAAATACACGATATGAAAAAAGTCCGTTTCAATTTTGAGGCCCTCCTCGCAGAGCCTCATCGTCCGTTCGTAGGGTGAGGAGACAACTCATCACCACCACACCACTACACCGGTCAGTCTAGAGGCAAGTCATCTTTTGTTCCCCGCGAAATCATCCTAGTGGCTCAACACCAATCGGCGTACCCAATCCTCATAAGAATCAGGCTGAACCGCATCAACGGGGCGTTACACCACACGCGGGGTAACCCCAATAGCAATGAGCCTTTTGTGCTTAAGACACCATCATCGTCTGCAGAGCTGAAGTTTGTCGGAGATGGTCGTCCTTGTAGCCTATTGAGGGTGTCGCGTTGTTTGGTCTCTTGGTGTAACGGTGAAAGCATCGTCTAGACAATTGGCTGTCAACTCTTTGCGATAGTCGGTGATGCGGTCGCCTTGCGCAGATGGAACTCTTGAGGCCATCTCGGCGCTCGTGTCGCAGCATTAGCAGAATCATCACACTGGAGCCTAGAATGAATACTCCGTGTCCTTGTCAACGTTGTCGTCCATGTCCTCCGTCTCGACCTTCTTGAGCATATTCTTGGACTCCACTCTCTTCGAGCTCTGGCCCTCACTGAGTCCAGACTTATCAAATAGATGAAGCTCGACAGATTGAGGCGCTTCTCCAAGGACAGGCTTTGGAAGCACCTGCTTATGGACGCTGTACCAACCGTCCTTGTCCATTAACTCATACAAGACTTCCTCAGAGTCGTGGCGGGGCTTGGTGGCCAGGAAGACCTTTGTAGTAAATGGCTCCCCTGCGGGAAAGTAGGTCAAGTTTGCTGTGTGAATGGCCGAAAGTGTTTCCACCAGGGCTGGAAGCATGTCGACATTGTAGGTGCAGTCGCTGAGCATCACGAGATCCCAGGGTCCAGATTTGACCTCAGGCCCAAAGCGACCCTGTCTGCCCTCCTCCCAATCCAAATTCTCGTAGATCATTCGCACCGGAGTCTCCTGGAATCGTAGGTGCGAGTTCTCCAACCTCTTCATGTTGGATCTGGCTCGTTCCTCGGCCTCTGGCAGATCTGTCATCAAGATGGTGCAGTCACCGTCAGAGGGACCTAGTCGAGGGTACACAGCGCCGAGCCCGATACCCAAAATGCCCACACCGCAACCCACTTCCAACACACGGATTGACTTTTGGCGGCTGAATATGTTTTTCATGGTCCTCATGCAGGGGTTGGTGCTGGACTCGCTCTCGGGAGCAGTCTCGATACCCACAAGTGCACATGTCGCTACTACGCCGCCATCCCATATGTGACGTGCGATGCTCTCTCCGATCTCCTCCTCAATCTCAATCGTTCCCAGACCGCCGGATGTCTCATTCAACAGGAGCCTTCGAATGGATACATCTGTATCTGAGGGTTGAAGTGTCAATGGTACCCAAGCTGGCATGACTGCACCCTTCTCGGCGGCTTCTCTCCGGTACCGCATCTTCTCGGCAGACAAGGCCAGAATGCGGGGGACACTTTCGGCAGTGTGAGGAGGATCCGATGCCCTCACACAGATATGGACTCTCATTCCTGATTCAATAGCTCGTTCAAGAGCAATAGGAAGTTCCAAAGCTGGCTTGGCGACACGCATACCGGGCTCCCAGTCAAGGTGTCCTGGATCTGACAGGAGCCATGTTGAGCTGCCTTCTGGTGATGCAGCAACCGCAACGACTTGAAGGTCTAAAAACCTCTCCGGGAACAGAAATGAGTCTCCGAGATCAGTTGTGATGGTGAAGAGTAGTTGGACCAAGGTGCCCCGTCGATTTTTTATCACTTTGGGAGATCGAAGAAATCTGATATAATGCATCTTGCGTATTTGGGGTATGAGTGCCGGCCAGTACCCAAAGTCGGTCCGTTAAAGCTTCACTTGTTTCTGGATGCCTTTGATCTTACTCGATAAATATTTGAGTTTCAAACGGTGACTTGCTGGCGGTTGTTGACTTTATTTGCGCCTCGATGTCCTGGTTGCCCAACCTCTCGCCTGGGCAATTTTGATCTTCAGCTAGCTTAGTCATCGCGTTTCCGCTTCACATGCAAGCCAACCGCTTCGGGTCGCTTTCAAGCGAAATGTTGATATTCCCTTATTCGATATGAAGGGACCCAAGAGTTCGTTACGTTTGACTTGGGGATCGGGAGATATAATCGATCATGTGCGCTTTTGCTCCGGGGTGTCGTCCCAACGCTGTGGGAATGCTGGTCGTTGCAGGACCCATATCTGCAAGGAGGCTCCTTCCTCAGCTCAATCATTTGTCAATCTCGCTTTTGGCATCCATCTCAAGCGACATCAAAGACCATAAAGCGAATACTTTGAAGTGTTTGTTCGTATCCGTATAACAAAGAAATGAAGCGAACTTGCTGCTGAAGATTAAGTCCGCCCCGACTTCATCTCGTCCCCAACCAACAACACCGCTTGCACTTGCTTCCTGGAAGTCCACAGCAGACTGGAAAGATGTTGGGAGCCAAAGCAACTCACAGCTTACATCGGAAGGAGTCAACTATAACTTTTTCCATGGCCAGCAGAAGCAAAAGCGATAAGGCAATTTATATGACTTGGGTGATATTGGCGGTTCTGGTTCGCGGGAGGCACTTCTTCACTCTCGTCTTCATTCTAATCTCTCGAAAACACGACAAATTAGTTCATTGGGCTCCCTATTTTCGCTCTCGCCATCTTCTCAGCCGTAATCCAATATGAACATCGATGTGTACTGAGAATGCTCGGAGGAATTGACATGAGTAGTTACCTACCCGGGAGCAGCCCCATGTCAAGAAACGGTCATACAGAAGATGTAGACTTGTTCATGATATTGATCGTACCGTTTCGAGATTAGTTATACAGAAGGAAAACAGCTGTTTATACGTGTTCATTGTCATTAGAGTTAAGTGGCCGATGCGACTTGCACACCTTAGCTATTGATATTTGATTTCACTGGAGAGGCAATTGATGATACTTTGGAAGGAAGACTTATCAAAGGTTTGCTATGTAAATATACCTTTGGCGTTCAATACAGAAAGAAAAGGAAATGGAAAGTGAAAAAGGAAAGAAAGGATATTAGCTTCTGAGCGAGAATTATTATTGCTATGCCCAACCTATTGTGTCAATCACGCCTTTGCATCCAGCTATCACGTTTTGAACTTATCTCCCTCAACAACAACCCTCCAAAACACCACCTCACAAATATCAGACACGATATCTTCAACCATGAATGAAGATCAAGAAAAGCTCCGCGAGGTTCTACAGTCAAAGCCCTGGTTCGGCTTCGACCTAGACGACACACTCCATGAATTCCGCAAAGCAAGCCGCGCAGCAACAACACACTGCCTCAACCGCATCGCCAACACATCAGACATAAAACTCGAAGATCTCCAAGAGAGATATGGGATCATACTCACACAAGGCACCGCAGATGCTTTTACGGACGGCAAGACTTCACATGACTATCGCCGAGCGCGCTTCGCTGCTACGTTGAGTCATTTTGGGCTGAGTCACGACATTGTCGATGAGTTACTGAACGACTACGAAGGCATCCTCGTCGAGAACTTCACTCTCAAACCAGGAGCCACATCACTTCTCAAAGCTATCAAATCATCAGGTCGAAAGATAGTAGTCATTACCGAAGGTCCCCAAGACGCCCAAGAACGAGCCATCCAAGATCTAGGCATCGCCAAATACATCGACTTCCTCGCAACCACAAACTTCTTCGGCGTCTCCAAAACATCAGGCCTCTTCCCCAAAGTCCTAGATCATCTCCGGATCTTACCCAATGAGATCGTCTACATCGGCGATTCACCACAACGTGATATCGAACCCGCGACCAAAGAGGGCATCTATGCGATTCACTTACACGAAACCCAAGCAGAGCCGCTTGTGCTGCAACCCCCGAGTATCAACTCATTGGACGTGCTAGCACAGCTCGTGACCCCGATCTAGCGCTACAAGGCTGAGATCTAGTGTAGTTCAAATGATACACCCGTTTCAACGTGTCAGTCTCTCACAGGAGATATTGCTAACAAACAAATCAGACGAGTGCAACGTTTGTGATACTGTGATATTTCAGCTTTTGGTAGTATAGTGGTGAGTTATCACATTGATGGTTGAGTTATTAGTCCGAGACATTTCACGAGCACTGTGGTTATCTCTGTCTGGGCTGATGTTACTCCCATTATCAATCTCCCGTATTGATCATCGCTATAATTAAAATAATCGTAACTCAGCCTTGTGGTGTTGCTGATGCTGTGCCTCTGACGTTCTAAATTAATCCAGCTGCATGGTATCTGACAACGGCTGAGCCTCGCAGCTTAGGTATGAATCCGGCGCTGAGGGTTACACGGCTGCCATTCAATTTATCCCTTCGTGTTAGGGTGTGTGCAAACAGAGCACGGGAAGATGCATTAATTATTCTGTCACCGTACTGCAGGTATCCAGATGGATGGACAGCAGAGAGATCCATCTGTTCGGGCGCTAGAATAAGTGCTGATCTAAAGCGGTATAAAATGACCACATTATTTTATCGCTTATTCTTGAGGGCCATTTTTTCTGTCATTTGATGCTCGGTGAGATGTTACTTGAACGTGGTCAAAATGGAGTCTTGACACTTCACTGATCATCCACCGAACGACTTGGCAAGGATGTCCTCATTTGATCATACCGACATACCTCATGTCCAAACTACCTGATTCTGGCAGACAGCGATACTTTCCCCTCGTTTCCCCTTTAATCGAGACGCGCACGAGCAAGAGGGGTAAAAAGGTTTAAAACAAACTCAAATGGCTTGGTTTTGAGGCACATTGCTTTTCTAGTTACAGGGTGGTGGTGAAGATCCGGGCCGGGGAAGGGGGAAGAGGGGCGCTGCAGTGAGGTCATGTCATGATATGGATGGCCCTGGTCAAGCACTGTCGTCATGCAGTTTCATAAACTTGATCGTCAGGAATTGGGTTTGGATGTTCCAATCGAACTGAGTTGTGATGAACGGTAGATCATGTGTTTCAGAGGGATCCAGTAACTTGACTCGTGCAAAGTAAAGCCATTTCTTTTTTGAGGCCAGAGGACGCAGAGGTGGAATGTAAAAAACGCGCATGGGTATGACTTGCAGCTTCAAGGTTAATCCCCCGTTCACTTAAGGGATAGGTAGGTAGGTACCAAAGAAACGGTTGGAATCTGGTGTTCCAGAAGTAAGAACCACGGCCGTTGGACTAGCTGGGGAATGAGAAAGTTAACCGTAGGAATGCATTTATTCGTAACGGATTACTGTTTGCTCGAGTCAAGAGTTTGCTAGTTATTGTAAGTTTGGCCAAAGCGTTAGAGTTATGCCCGTGAGCCCGGAAATGCCGCTGCATTTGCCTTTTTGCTAAAGTAGAGGCTTCACTACCAACTGACTTGCGTACATAGCAATGTAGTGTTGGGAAAGTGAAAGGAAGGACAAGAGAATGGGTGTGGGTGCAGCGAGCGCCTACAAGACCAATCAAGCCCATGGTTGCAGCCGTGAACTGTTCTTCTGTCGTATCTGTGATGCTGACCTCTTTCTTCACTCCCACGTGTAAGAAAGAGGTTGGGGGTGATGGGGGGCCAGATTGATATGCTGGATCTTGCAGCTAAAGTCCTACGGATAGACTGGGGGCACATGTGATATGATGTGTGTGATGTCGGCCAAGTCAGGGTCTGGTCGCGATTACGGTCGCTCTGTGTTCGCTAGCATCCATGATTGTCGTTTACCGGCTATCTTGAGTAAATCCATGTCGGGTCTTTTGAGCAAACAAAAAAACAGGGCCTCTTTTGCTCAGACCCTGGGCTTACGGTACAGCATTGTACCACCACATCCTTTTCTCACCCCGGACCGAACCTTGACACCCACTTCTTACCATTGTTTTCTTGCCGGTTTGTTGATCAGATGTGACAGAATCGTAGTGCACACCGGAAAAGGTCCCCCGTGGTTTAGTATCCCATGTGCGGCGTCTAACTCACGGCGGCGCCCGTCATCGTGAACAACCGTGAACATCCATATCATCACACAGAGCACAAGAAATGAAACACTGGTCACTTTACGGGAGAAACCACCATAGGCTACTCGGCAGCATCATAGGTCTTGCAGGCATGAGCAAACATTCTACAAGTGGCATACCACCAGGTACAATCAATCATAGACATCACATTGTCAAGAACAATAGTTATAAAATAAGTTTCGGATTTTTTTGCTCAATAATTAAAGATCCTAATTCAATAATATCCAACTTGAAAGTGGTATAGTCGAGCTCCCCAACTCCTCCTCATAGTTCTAATGCATGAGGGACATTGCTTTCCAAATCCATCAATGAGGAACGTAAAACGTTAGATCCTCCAAATTACCGTGTAGTAAAACCTTCCGTTCTAAGTGCGAATCACTTTTTGTTATCCTAACGCGCTTGATCCCATAAAAAATAAAAGACAAAGAAAAGTAGTTAAAAAGATCCGTAAGCTCCGAAACAAAAAATTCCAGAAGAACAATAATAATCGCGTGTCCTGTCGATCCTCCTCGTTGCTAATCCGTTCCTTGCGGATAGCATCGCTCGCTTGCTCGTTTTTTTGCTCTCCCTCGCCAACTGCTCTCGCGTCATTCCAAACGGAAACAAACACCTGGGTATCTCGAATTGGAAGAAAAAGAAGTCCCCTTGATATCGATCCACTCCCTCCGCGCGCGCGTTGCATTGCTGGTGGTACAGGTCGCCCCTTGATCCTTGGTGTCTTTGATAATAATTGCCAAGTCAATAAAAAGAAATCGCTTCCTCAGGGGCGAGATAGAGATGTCGTAAAAAAGAAAAATGAGAAATCCATGTGGTGTTTCCAGGGATTCCAGCGAAAGTGGTAGTATACAGCGGGTATATGGGCATCCAGTCCGGCAAGCTTTGGTAAATGTCACTGGCCGTGTCATAGGAGTCCATGGGTATAGATAGATGGTAGTTCAGGTCAGGTAAAAGTCAGAAACATGGTCATGGTCCTGGATGATCCTGTGGAATAGTGTGGTCCGCTTATTTGGTAGGGTTCCTGAGGATTTCTTCACAGTTGGCGTCAAAGCGAAGGTTGAAGAGCCTCACGTTTTGCATAAACTTCTCGGTCTTGTCGAGCTCACGGTCACGACCGAAGAGGGTCTCGACGAATTCAACACCGGCATTCTTGCCAAGGCCAGCTTGCTTGCGCTTAGCGGCCTTAAGCATAGGGGCTTCACAAGCCTTGAGAAGAGAGCGAAGCTTCTCAGTGAGACGCTCACCGGCCTCGATGAACTCCTCAACGAGGTCACGGTTGTCGGGAGTGCGGACTCGGCCGACGGTCTCCTCAGCTCGCTTCACCTTACCGGCGAGCTGGATAAGAAGAAGCCACATCTCGCCGGCCATGTCAGAGATGGGAGTGGCAGGACCCTGGTGGTAGACGGTCCAGTCATAGATCCACTTGCCCAAACTGTTGGCATCAAAGACACTACCGAGGAGTAGGATAGGCTCCTCGGCAGGATCCCAGTTCTTGAGTGAGTATCCAGTAGGAATGCGATGCTTGCGGGCATCGGCTTCAGTGGCCTTGGGAGTGGAAGGGGTAGACGCAGGCTTGGTGGGTCTGGCGGCAGCGGGACGAACCGTCGAAGGACGAGGGGGAGGAACCGTGGTAGAGGAGCGACGGGAGTGGGAGGGGTGGTGGCCGAAGCTGGTAGGAGGTCGGGATTGAGGCGAGGTGAAAACGGAAGCGGCTCCCTCTCGTGTGTAGTATTCATCGTAGCCGACAGTGGTAGCACCCTGGTAGTCGTCGTAATTAGTGTACCGTCCTCGGTCATCATCAAATTCTCGAGGTAGGAAAGCGGATCTGCGGTGATGATGGTTCTTGGAGCGGGACTGTGCAGGAAGCACATATGTATGTCCCAGCGCCTCGATGATCTCGTCCTCGTCGGATTCTCCATATGGAGTGGAAGCCCGGACATAGGTAAATGAGAATCGGCGGTCGCGCTTGGAGCGCGGAGATGACTCGGAAACGGAAGGCCTGCGCGACGAAGAAGTTTTGACATGACTCACATCTGCCGTGCTATATTGCCCGATGCTGTTGTAGCGAGGCGAGTCCTTTGGAGGACGAGGGCTGAAATCGCTAGCCTGGGAGTAGCTGTTGAATCGCGAATGGGCCACTCGAGTCGCTGGCCGCCTGGGAGTTGACTCGGCCCAGGTCGGCCTCGGGGAAGGGGTTGGAGTTGCGGACGACATCCTCGTGTAAACGCTGTCGTAGTCGTGGATCGGGGTCGATCCAGGAGTTCGTGGAGAGTGGTAACTCATGATATGGTGAAAAGATGTCCAACTGACATCCACTGTTTCCAGGCTAAAAAACAACTGCTCTCCTCCCGAGCACCCGCAGTTGTTGGGTTGTGGTTTCGCTCGCGGATTTTCGGTTGTTGTTTTTCGTGTTTTTTTCGTTGGTTTTTTCTAGTGAGTAAGTTGAGAGGCTGTCAAAAATGTCAAGACTGCATGCAGCAGATTCAACAATCAAGATGCGCCGGGGAAGAGACGCCCAAGGGGAGGTGATAGGAATAAGCCCGTCACCTCGGTATGTAGTCGGAAGAAAAGAGGTTAGAAGATTCTTTTGCGACGGCGAACATGACCAATGGGTATTATATCTCTCCTCAACTTGGAGGAATAGGCACCAGATCCCGTAGAACCCGGTAGTAGTGTCGAGAAGACGCTGGACACTCGAAGTGATCCAGTTGAGTGATGATTAAGAAAAGAGCGATGACGTCGATGCACGACGTGCTGATAAAGCTTTGGTGAACTCGTTTGGGGGGACTTTGTGATTGGCAAGCGCCAAGATACGTGTAAAAGAGAGGAAAGGAGGGTTGAGTGGGTGGTGGCCTAGATATATATTCCACTCGGGGGAGAGATTTGTGTGTGTCTTTCTTGCCTGGTGGACACCGCACGGCCGACTCCCAAACCTGCCTGCCTTTAGCGGGTGATGACAGGGGAGGACGCTAGTGAAGGAGGGGCGCCACCAGGGTTCAGAAAAGGACAAGGGGTGTGTGTTCTAGGTTTAGGGGGCAGGGGGTAAAGCCGCAGCGCTCGTGAGGGTGTGAACAAGTTGCTCAGAACCAGAACCAGAGACAGGGGAGCCTGGCTGATGCAGGCTTTGCAATTGCACTGCACTTTGCACTCCCTTCTGTCGCTTGCTCTCTTCCAGTGGCTGGTTTCTGGTTGCAGTGCAGTTGCTGCGGTTCGTTTGATGATTTATTTTAGAATTATCGTGCAGAATATTCTCAGATGAATTAAATGACTGTGAGTCGATGATATCTTTTGACTCAACGGACTCGGACTCTTCTGGTGTGTCCCAGAACCAACTGGAAGATGACTCAGAGAGGCGGGCAGTGTTAGGTTGTTGCGGTATTGTATTGCGACCGAATTAACAGCGTACGGTGCAGATGCAGCCCAGGTGCGATGCAGCAAGTATTGCTAATCAGGGTGTAAGAGTAAGAGAAGAGCAGAGAGAGTTTAACGCTTAGTAAAAGATTTCGACTGTGCGCTGCTGGGCTCAATTTCTCTCCAACCAGCAAAGTCAACGTGCGGCGCACTGGCCTCACATCAGATTTGTTTGGCGAAATGAGTTAAACGGTGACGCAGTCCGTACAGTACCAGACCAGGACACCGCTGCAAAATGCGGCGCGGCACTGCGGGCCAAGTTTTGTTGGTTTTTTTCTGTCGCAAATGGCTGTGGTAGGTTTGACGGATTTTGATGGCGGTGTTTCTTAACGCCCTACCGCTGCCACAACCCAATTCCTTCTCTTGTTGGGTACTGTTATTTCAGGTTCGAGTAATTATGAATCAATTCGAGTACTCACGCGCAATTATGACTCAACCTTTCGTCACTTGTCAGCTTCCAGATTCAAAGATATCGAGAGGCGAACCAGCCGCAAGAAAAGGGGCATATGAAAAAATGGTATCGATAGGTAGGGTCAATTATAAGAGGCAGCCTTTTCACATGAAAAGGGGACAGGAAAATAGCATGAAAAACGGGACAAAATGATTTGATTGATTGCTTTTCCAACCAATTCAGCTCTGAATGTCGTAGGTGTGGGTGTAGTGGCGCACTGCTTTCTTTGTCTCTCAACAACAAGACAGGCACAACACGAGGGACACCGCGCGCACGCACACACAACGCACACAATTCGAGCTTCCCCTTTTTTGTGAGGCTCTCTTCTTTTCTTTTTATTATTTGTCCTTGCCCTCTTGTAACACAGATAGCCAGCCACCAGATGCAGGGAGAAGTGTGATACCAGGATGATAAGAGAAAACTGCGCAACCTGAGCGGCTCCGACAGAAACAAGACAGGCGACAGAAAAGGACTTTTTTCAGAAAAATGAGAAAAACTTTTACTTACCACAGACTTTTCGGGAGGCGGGGTTGATTGCCGGTCTTTGGTGAGAATATTGCTTCCTTGACTCAAATGTCTCTGTCTGTTGCTGCGTCCAAATCGCACACCTCTGTTTAATCCCCCTGTTCCAAAATTCGATTGCAGGACTCGCCAGAAAAGGCACAGGTATCCAGTGCCTTCCAAAAAGAAACTCCACCAAATGCCAGTCGAATTTACCGGCGGGCAGTAAGCGAGATTGACGGCCTGGGTCCAAATCCAAAATCCCAACGTCTTGCGTACCCGGATGCCCGCGATTCTGTTCCGGTGAAAAATTTTCCTTCTCCTTGGGCTTCTAGGCGCGCTGGCGGCAACGGACCAACAGGGGATAGGCCAGCTCGGTGTGATTCAAGAGCCAGGGCACTCAGTAGACCGTTACACCCCCCGGTAACTCTTTGATATTAGATTAGATCAGTGTAGCGTAAAGTGAGTCCTGGGTAAGGTCTGTTGAAAGGCACAGAGACACACGGGAATACGAAGCTGACGCAACGGAGCGGCCAAATGAGAGCGATGGGCTTGGGGCGCCGTTTGCCTGGAGCTTGTGTTGTGGTCCCAGGAACCCATGCAAACACTATCAGGCCGGCCCTTAATAGCACTTGCTTGACACAAGTGCGACGCGAGGCTGGCAAAGACTACCGGTAGGCTACCACCTGGAGTCGTTGTGCCGTCAGTGTCAGCCGAGTCAGGTCTGTTGTTGAATGGCTGGACCTTGTCTTGTGTTGCAGCCGAACGAGAAATCCACTGGTTGCCAGTGCTTTGGATTTTTGATAAATGTCAACAAGGCTGGAGCCTGGAATGGACGATTGCGAATCAAGGTTAAGCAAGACAAACAATGGAGTTGCGAGCCTCGAAGCCTTGGTAACTTGAAGTTCGTGATGGGTTGCCTGGTCTTCAGTTGATTATACGGAGTGGCACGTCGTTAGGTAACAGTAATCCTCGTACAGAGTAAATGTCACGGTGGCGGAGAGATGGGTGATGAAAGTCCGCAACACAAAGCAAGCTGTGCCGCCGCAGTAATTAATTAATTACTGTAATCAATGGGAGATCCAAAAGACCGTCGTAGAAAATCAGGGAAGGCTGTCGAGTTTTATCAATCAGCCTCAGGTTCTTCACACCATCAGCTTTATCATCACACGGTCATGTTGTTGACGTTAATTGTGTCATGACGTTTTCATTGGGCGGTTTGGATGCGCATACTGCACATACATCATCAGCAGGAGCAGGAGCAGGCAGGAGCGATGGTGTCGTGCATCTTAGGTTATCCCACCTTCCACCTTCCCCGATTCCCCAAGTGCTCTCTTGCATATTCTTTCCCTTGTGACAGGTGCTTCCTCCACTACCAGACAAGAATATTACATCCTTACTGCAACTTCTCCGCATCACATCACGCCGCTCAATAAACGCCGTGAATTCGGTCACTACCAATCGGTAAAAACCATTCTTCGATTCGAGGTTGCACTTCTTCAGCCGAATGCATGTGATGAGCTCTTGGTTGGGTCAGGCTTACGAATACGGGTGGTAACGGAGGATCCTTTTCTTTTTCTTCCTGTCAACTTTCCTCTTTCAGAAATACTGATTGGGATCTTGTAACCCTGTCGTTGCAATATTGATTCGAGTCCTCCGTAAGAAAGACCCATATCCGAAGAAGCACCAGAATGTGCTCGAGACGAGGCTGGGCACAGGCGTTCCCTTGCATGCGAGCACAGAAACGAAACTCCCTACATCAGTGCAACAGACGTTCCCAGTCGATCATTTATCACCGTTGTCAACAAGATGCGATGTCATGCGAATGCCACGCGATTTGACGGATGAACCACAGATAAAGCAGTGGATCAACCAGCTTTCCACAGCTTCTCCGCACGGAACAGCGGGGACCAAACAAAGATGGATATGGAGGCGGAGACGAACAGATCGTGCATACGGTTCGGTACTGGCACTGGATGACTGGAGCGCGGCAGCGGAGACAGCAGACGTCAACCCTGCACCGGCGAACCGGCTCGCGAATAGGGTGCTTTCCAGTGACCGTCGGCCTGCAACTGCAACGACACTAGCTAAAGACGATGTAAACAGACACAGAGGCCTTCTTCCCGGAGATGGATAAGCGTCGTGGTGAGCCGCAGCTTTGTTCCATTCTTCCATTTTCCATTAACAACCCCCGTCGAAATTTCAATTCCGCATCTTGATTCAATCGAGACTTTGTGTCTCGAGCATCGCGCTAACATCAGTTCTGGGAATGACAGACGCTTGGTCGCGCCGCCCTTTGAGTGACTGCATTGTTAAAAGTAAATTGCCCCTTCATGTCAGTCATATCCGCCCTTGACGGCCTCCCATTTTCAGATCGTGTTCCGAACCCGAAATGTGGCGACTGACAAGGGAGCCGTGGTGCTTTCTAGCAATCGCCTTCCCATCGAATGGATATTGACATCGGCCCTTACTCCCTGCTTGCCTGTCTTTTGTTTTCTATTGGCCGATCTGTGGTGTTGATTGGAAGCGACGCCGCGAACGAGCGGCGATGGGACTGAAGTTTGTGTCTTACAGACGCAGCACTCGGCCTATCTCAGATACCCATGACTTGATGATTGATCGCTCACATCGTCTCAGATCTGCAGGCCTTTGTGGCTCTTTCAAAACGTCTTACATCCATGACTCAAAATTTGTGTTCTCGCCATTTAAACCCCTGCCGTCGAGGGCGCATCTTGAGTCGAATTGACACACATGACACGGAATTCTTGAAGTGTTTCGAACAGAACAGAAGATTTATCAATGACAACTTGTCTCGATACTAAGATCAGGAGAAGACACAATAATCTTCTCCGTCCGCATCCGGACCGATGAACTTAACATTTGATTGCGAGTGTCAACGCTCTGGCCTCCTTTGCTTTGA